CGTTTTAGTCCTAACATTATGGTGGAAGGATTGATACTTAGACTGCATATACCGTTTTTGATCTCATTTGTATGTTGGAACCCTTTGGCGAGAAAGAGACACATACTGGAGTAAAAACAGTAACATAATACTAACCTGATTTTAATGTTCTTGCAATCCAATCGCATTTGGCTCGGCTTGGAAAGTATGGACCTGAATCAGTGCTACTGGGTCATTATCGCACTAGAAGTATCGCCGTGGGACGCAGTTTGATAGAAAGGAATCTAGAATCTAAACTTGTTTTATGTACTTTACTCTCTTCTTGTTTTGCACTTCTAGCGCTCTCAGTGCCCATCCACCGGGGGCAAAGTATCCTCACACAACGGCAGTCACGTTCGACGAAATCAACAGGAGGGTGAGTGTGCAAAAGCTTAGTTTATTTTCTGTTCCTAGGCCTGGAACGGAGTTGGGAACAAGCACACATTGAGTAGCCTCTTCGTAAATGCTCTTGTCAGTAGTCTTCTATGGGACCTCGAGAAACGGCATGTGCAGAGTAGCAATGCATTTCGTCTTTACTTCGTGTTTTGCTTTGCTAGGCTCTTTTTCACTGTGCGCTTTCGTTGCCACATTGCCGCGGCTAATGCTGACTGCCCTAACCTTAGTATACTCGCGCCATGCAAACCAAGTACTCCCTTCGCTTTGGGGCAAAGTCTAGCCTCATATCTTTGTGCTGTACAAATGAATGTTCATAGAATGAATGGCTTTTTCTTTTGCTTGTGCCACAGCTTGCTCACTATAATCAAACTCGGATATTTCATACTTCTGGTTAACTGAAACCAATTTAATATGTTTGTTGTCCCGCTATGTTTTCAATTTATTTATAAGCCACTTAATATGGACGGCATTTTTGTGCAGTTCCTACTTTTTGTTCTGGTTGCCCCGTTGAGTGCGCCTCCTACCGAGCATCGGTGAACTGGTGAGAAGCAACACCCATGGAGCTCGCTTCCGCGGGTGTTGCTTCAACACGGTGCACCGGTGCTCAGTAAGAAGGGCGCTCAAACGGGTCAAATTGTTTGCTGGATGAAAAAACATATTTTTTTTAGGTGTCATGTGCTGTCTAAACAGTCCTTAATTAACAGCATTTTTGAGAGATGGATAAACTTGGGCATTTCACCTAAGTTTCATGTGTGCCAAAACTGCTTATGATTAGTAGGCATCTGCCTGCGTGAAGGAAATCATGAAATATCTACTATGTGTATGTAGCCATTCGTATAACAAATCATAATTTTATTTTGAGTCATACTTAGATAAATTTTTTATAAATCAGTGTCCATAATTCAAACAAAATTTGTGGCCTCCTGGAGTTTGTATTAATAAGGATCTACCGCATACACCATTACTCAAAGCTTTTCCGATGGGTACAGGTTCACTATATCTCTGGCATTGCTACTTTTTCTGGGAAGGTCTATAGCCTTGGCTCTACCTTCTTGTCTGCAGGTGACCTGCGTGTACAACGACCACAGCCTCTTTGTCTGGGACGTGGCTGACCTGAAGAGGATAGGAAAATCCCACTCGTACCTCTTCCATAGTGCCTGCATCTGGGGTGTGGAAGTGAGTGCCCTCTGTTCCCGGATAAACGAACCTCCAGGCTGAATACACCTCTTTCATCGAGCTCGAGGCATTGACTGCGCCGCGCAGCCTTGTCGGGTTTTCTTACGCCCGTGCCCTTCCTCGCTCGCAGACCTATCCGCTGTTGCCGGACGACTCGGAGGCTCTGCTCCCAAGCGGAACGTTCCTGACGTGTTCGAGCGACGACACCATCCGCATCTGGAACCTGGATCCGCATGCCACCTTCAACACCAGGTTCCAGCGAAATATTTATTGCTCCGTACGTATTGGCTTTTCCGCTCCTTGTTTACGAGCGGGATATCTACTGCTTTGTTGTTGGAAGAAAGCTCTCCGACAAAGCACGCTGTAACTAAACACCTTAATATAGTGCTTGCTATGGTTTATCGCAACATGAGAAGGTGAAGTCAAGCCCCTCTCATGAATCTCGCTGCTCATCTTCATTGGGGATTCCTTCTCTCCACTTGCCTCCTCCAGTGTTTGCTCTGCTGAAGTGGAAAGAGTGTGCGGTTTTGTGGAAATGGTTAGCCCCGCAGTTCTCGCCGATTTCTGTGAGTGCGGCAAGTGTGTTCTGCATCGGCACTTCAGTTTGAAACAAGGGGCTTTACTCGTGAAAAGAATTAGGCATGGCGCGGAATTCCGGCCTCCCAACAATTCCTCTCTGGAAGTGGTGCAAACGGGATATTTCGGTTGTGATTCGAGGTTAGATTGCATCACGATCATGAGTAAATCTGCGTGCTATAAAGTTTTTTGCATTCGTTACTTTTCTTCTTTCTAACCTGGGCATAAGATTTTAGTCGAATTATAAGCCCAAGGGGTGTTTCTCGCACGGCCTCTCTAACATCAGGGCTCTAACATCGGGAGAAACAACGGCTCTTTTGTCTTTGGCCGAATATATTGAATATTCGAGTGACCGAATACTAGGAATTCGGTTCTCAAATCGAATTATTCGGGAACTTTCTATTGAATTCGAATTTGTATATTCGAGTATTTGCACACCCCTAAAATTAAGAGATAACTGGAAGTTGTACAAAAAAAAATTTTTTTTCTTCATCAATAAAAAAAAAAAAAAAGTCAGCAAACAACTAAAACAACAAAAAAAAAAAAACTGTCATGATATTATACAGCAAAACAAAAACGGCAAAGCAAAAATGGCGAAATAAAAAGGGTAAAGATAAACAAGGTACTGAAGTGTGAATGCACAACTGTTTTAAACTCAACTTGCCAAAGACCTTTTATTTGTTTTATTTAGGAGCTAAGGGGTTGAGGCGGAGCATTTATCTCCTCTGCGTCTTTGCGCCTTTCGCTGTCCATGGCTCAAGTCGTTCATCCTCGGCGCATGAAAAACGTTCAGCGACGGCAGTATTTGGGGAAAGTCTCCCTCAAGGGACGTGGCACATGGTTTGATCTGTCTAATATCTCGGGTGATGAAGTTCAACGTGGACTCACAAAGCGCCTATACCTTTAAGGGCATGTTTTGACTGTTTGAAATCGTCAATATTTCTAGATACCCGGATTGGATATAATCGGGCTCGACTGCATTCTAATCTTGTTCCGTATTAGGTTAGTTCGGAATATTTCAGGAATGGGAACTCTGGTTGTTATTCATATCTTTCTGCATAGTATGAGTGTTGTCGTGATGTACGGGTTTAAAACGAGACCTAGTACGTTTACACGAGGGTGTTTACTACACTGTTTAGTCTTTAGACTGCTGGGTAGGGAAGTTCCTCTAGAAACAACAAGCTTAGAATTGCGTTAGAAAATTATTTTTCAGTTCCTTGCCGTTTCCTGCAAGTCAACTGCAGCGACCGCTGAAGCGCTGCATGCTCTACCGCTCACAGACTACACACAGTCACACTGCACACTGGCATTTTCACAATCACTTTAGCCGAGTTTGAGATCTTTTTCTTAAATTGAGCGAAGACACTCTTTCCCAAAATATTTTCACAAAAAATCACTGTGTCGCATGACCGCATGACACAATGATGGTGCGGGACATTTCGATAAGATGTGACACTGGTGACGTCATATGCCAAGACAACTTTGCACAAAGCACTCGAAGATCCGCTCCAAAACCTCGTCGGCTATGGCTGTCGCCATGAAATAACTCGCACAGGGGAGCATTTAATATAATGCGTCGACTTGTTGGATTGTAGAGGTTGATCATTTCAACTCAACTTGCTTTATCCTTCCAACCTCCTAGGAGCTTCTCGGCGTGCTGTACATGGATCCAGACCTGGCATACATTTCGGACGTCGACTTCCAAGGCGAGTTTTCAGCGCAATATCTGTTTATGCAACGTTTTCTGCGAAAAAATCGTAGCGAACGAGCGTCGTAGCAGGCGTCGCAGTGGGCGTCGTGAACGAGTGACATGGTGGGAGCATTGCAGACGTTAAGATTAGAATGTATAGAGATTATATGTAAAGTTCGAACCCCCACGGGGCACGAAGCTTGGTCGGTGTGGTGGCCGTCGATGCCATAGCTGCTGAGCTACCAACGCAGCTGGTATAGACATGTCAACATTTTTATTTGAATGCGAAAGTGCCGGCGACAGTTGGAGGTTTTGGGATGAAATAATATATAAAATCATTAATAAATAAATAAAAATAAAATACAAATAGGGTAATAAAGTAAAAATTAAAAAAAGAAAAAAAGAAAAGAGGAACAAATGAATGAAAAAAATACAGATTGAGAAATCCAGCAAAAACGACAAACTAAGTGTGGTTTGTGTGGGACACATTGTGTGCTCCCCAGGGGCATGGTGGCCCATGCCTCCGCCGATGAGGTATTGAGAAGCTGAGGGAGAGAAGGTGTCTGACATTTTCTTCCAATCGTCTTCAGGTGGGAGCAACGACAAGGTGGACACGACGTACGATGGCAAGAACGGGGTGCGCTGTTTGCGGGTGAGCCCCGACGGGCGGCACCTGGCATCCGGCGACCGCTCCGGCAACATCAGGTGATCCCGTTTCACCCAACTCTAGCTCGGAAGCACCAATGTTGGCGGTCCACTTTGGCAAATGGTCGGCCACCCATGCCACAATACCGAACCTTAGCTTGAGTTTACGGTTTGGGAGGTGCGAGTCTTTTGGGACGGTGGCCCGTACGCAGAGTGCCAGATTACGCATCCCCGGGTGGCGAGTTCGAATCCCCATTGGGGTACCCGCAATCGGAGGGGTACTTGTTGCGAATCAAAATGTCCCGGTCAAAGTAAAATCCTCAGTCCCCCGATGGGGCCTGGTTTAATGCCCCTTCGCTTAGTTCTCAATCTTTTCAAAAGTGCTGGCGGGTGCTTATTTTGACACAGGTGCACGCTTGGTATTTTATGGTGCATTCATGATTGGCACACTTGCTTGTGCAAGAGCTGATTCTCATTTTGACCCACCCTCTCGCAGGATCTACAACGTCGACGGACTCCGTGAGGTGTGCAAGATCGAGGCCCACGACTCGGAAGTGCTCTGCTTGGAATACTCTCGCGAGAACAGCACCGCTCCCATCGGAGGTGACGTCGTCAACAACAACAACGTGAACAACAAGACGGGCGTCAACAACGGCAGCCAGGGCACGGGGCGTCTGCTGGCGTCCGGCAGCCGGGACCGCTTTGTGCACGTGTTCGACGTGGAGCGGGAGTACCAGTTCCAGCAGACGCTGGACGACCACTCGTCGTCCATCACGGCAGTGCGCTTCGTGCAGGGCCCCGGCAGCCAGCTCCAGATGATCTCGTGCGGCGCGGACAAGTCCATCATCTTCCGCAAGGCGCAACTGCAGGTGCGTGCGGAGTCTTTTCGCGAGTTCGTCGATTGGCTCTGTGGCATCTGTGCGTTCGAGGCGAAGTCGAGCAAGATTCGCTTCATTGTTGTTTTAGCCGGCTATCTGGGTAAATGGGAGGGATAAAGGGTGGCGCTTAGCTCTTCACCGCAGGAAAAGAACAGTTATGGGGTGTTTTGTGTAAAAAAAATGGTTTTAGCTGCAAATGATGCCGTCAGATGTACCAAAACATCAAAATGTGGCTGAAGGAATTCTCTTTTCAACAATGTAGATTTCAAACAAGATGCTTATTATAAGCAGAAAATAAAAGGTCGTCACATTTTGCCTAACCAATGTAAATTTTTTAATTTTAATTCAATGTATCTTGCAAGGAATTGGGAGTAAGAAAATTAAAAATATACATTTTGTACCTTACTCTTCTAGAAACAAATCCTGCAAGTTTAAAAAACCCACATGCAACACATTTTACTTTAGAAAAAAAACTTTCAGCCTTTCCACTCTGGTGAAGAAGGAAGACCATCGAAGCTGTACTATGGTGGGAATGAAGTTGGCAAGCCAGAGTGCAAAGGCTGGAAAGGTTGCGCCATCTGTGAGCGACGGCGGCAACAGCCAACCGACTTGCCGGTTGTCTGGTTGCCGCTGTCGCTCATAAAGTAGTCGCTGAACTGTAAATTTCACAGAAGATATTACTGTGCATGTTCAGAACACTTCCCACAGCTCACTACACAAAGATGGCAGTCTGCGGAAGGCAATGTTTGAAATGGTCTATAGGTGACAACCATTTTCCTGTGCCAGTGAGACACGTGCTCAGGAATCGTGACATATCTCACATACTTGTGACTCATATTCTTAGGAATCGCAACAGTTCCTCATGTACGTAGTACTTGTGGCATATATGCCCAGGAATCGCAGCAGAGTTTCTCGTACATTCGTGGCACAAGCGCCACCAAAACAATGTTTCTCGCATGCTTGTGGCACGTGTGTGCAGCAGTTACGAAAGGGAGCGGTTCTCTCCTCAGGGTTCCCAGCTGACGTTCACGCGCAAGCACCACGTGGTGGGCAAGACGACGCTGTACGACATGGAGGTGGACGGTCCCCAGGAGTATGTGCTGGCGGCCTGTCAGGACCGCAACGTGCGTGTCTACTCGGTGGCCTCTGGCAAGAACACCCGCTGCTTCAGGGGGGCCCAAGGAGAGGACGGCACCCTCATCAAGGTAGGTGGAGCTCGATCTTCGACTGGCTCATGGGCTTGCTCGTCATATCTTTAGGTGGCTTCCTTCAGAGCATTCTCGTCGTCTTTTTAGGTGGCTTTCTAGATGGCTCTGTAGGTGGCTTGCATGAAATCTTTCTAGATGTCTTTATAATCTGGCATCTGAATGTAGTCTGTGACCAGCAGCGTTTCGGCACGCTCTTATAGTGCCAACACAAAGATGGAGCATGCTCTTTTTCTGTGTCAGCTACGTCGGGCTGCCAGACTAGGATGCATTGTGCACCCACTCTCCATTCGGGCACCAATGCGGCTCAGGCAAACTTGACAAAATTGACATGTCGGCGCACGACAGTTCGTGGTGTCCAACAAGTTCGACCACAGAGGGCTCGAATTTCCGACCGACACGGCGCGGCCAACATGGCTTGTCTGACGTCCACCACCGCATGCCAACGTGCCGAAGTTGTCGGACTATAAACACGCCTTTGCCCTCGCATCCGGCACGACGAGCGAAGCGCTGCCGCCGGAATGCGGCGCAAATATCGGACATTTTGGGCGTGCGGCGTCCCCTCCCCCCAGGTGGTCCTGGACTCGACGGGCACCTACCTGGCGACCAGCTGTACGGACAAGAGCCTGTACGTGTACGAGTACGGGTCGGGGGAGTGCGTGGCCTCCATGTTCGGCCACTCGGAGCTCGTCACGGGCCTCAAGTTCACCGAGGACGGCAGGCACCTCATCTCCGTGTCGGGAGACGGGTGCGTGCACACGGCGCTCCTCCTTACTTTTATTTATATGTTCACCGATAGGAAACTCGGGGCGCGACTCAGTACGGTGATGGCTGTTACGAGGGCTTCCCAGCGTCGGCATTGAGCCACGCAGAAAACTCGGTCTCGCGTGCACTGCCCCATCAGTCAAAGCGCTCACTTGGCTTTCTTCGGGCGGTTTTGTCTGCTGCGGCTGACGGGGGACACTGCTACGTATTCCGTACTGATGAACCCGGTTTGTGCGTGCAGTCGGATGTGAAGCAACCCACCGCTCGCAGCGGTGCCCGTCTCGGTTTAGTCTTTAAGAGGGACGCTGTCTCATGTTTTCACTGCGTTACCTTTTTCCATACTCGAGTAGCCACTTGGGTGCGTTGTGTGTGATGCAGTAAATAAAGAGTAGATATGCATAAACATGGATGCTATGTGCGCTATAACAGCTATCGCTGTCCCTTCTTTCCACACTGCAGCAAAGAAGGGATGTTTTACAGCAATAGCTCTTATGGGCTCCTCCCATTGCTGGAAATGACATCCGTCGTTGATGTTGTAGATGGCGTAGTACGGCGTCCTCCTTGTATGTTGCCAAAGCCTAAAAAAAGATTGTCCGCGGCGCGCGTGAATTGAGCCTGGGTCCGCTGTGTGCGAAACGGAGGCATTGCCACTGAGCTACGCCACAGTGTTAACAACTTGCTTTATACTTAAAGTATTTGTAGTATCCGATAGCTACTGCCCGTGCTCTATGAAAAAAAAATATGGCCTCTAACAAAATGTCGTTTTAGCACTCTCAGTGCCCATTGCTCGTGTTGGGAGCCACGCGTTCACGTGCTCCTGAACAAGATGAAACAAGAGCACTTGGAACAAAATGAAACAAAACAAAAGCGTTGGAACAAAATGGATATCTACAGGGTGATTCAAGGAGACGCCAGGCTTTTTAAATCGACCGCAAAATTCGGTTTCTTAACCTATCGCGCTACGACTTTGTGCAGCATTGCCCACAAATGGTGCATTTTTTTTTTGTAAAATTTGCAAAGAGCGAACTTACCTGAGGAAAAAGTAAAGAAAGAAAAAGGCTTAGCTCCTATGGAAACGCAGCAAAGCCACCAGTTTTCAAACAACACGGCGCCGTTTCGCACGGGAGACTAGAGATGGCGCAAGTGGTCGCAACGCCAACTGCCGCCAACGAACGAGCATACAACGCCAAGAGCCGATGTCTTTAGCAGACAAGGAACTGCAGTTCCTTGTTGATACCGTGCCTGTTTTTGTTTCTGCGACTGTCGCCGCCTGCGGAACGCAGGCCGCTTTTGAGTCGAAAAGATTGTCTGCTAAAGACACCGGCTCTCGACGCCGTATGCTCGTTCGTTGGCGGCGTTCGTTGCGCCATCTCTGTCTCCCGTGCGAAACGGCGCCATGTTGTTTGAAGACCGGTGGCATCGCTGCGTTTCCATAGGAGCTAGGCCTTTTTCTTTCTTTACTTTTTCCTCAGGTAAGTTCGCTCTTTGCAAATTTTACAAAAAAAATGCACCATCTGTGGGCAACGCTGCTCAAAGTAGTAGCGCGATAAATTAAGAAACCGAATTTTGCGGTCGATTTAAAGAGCCTGGTGTCTCCTTGAATTGCCCTGTATTTTGTTTTGAATGCTTTTGGTCATGCACTTTACATTGGATGAATGCGACGCCGATGCCCAACAACTTCGCCGATACTTGTTGTAGCTGTCGCTGCGACTACCGTTAATTAACGCAGGACTGCTCACTTGTTTTTTTTAACGCATTTTGATTAATGGCAGGATTGTGGGAATATTAGAATTTTTGGATGGTCGTTTCAAGTAATACGCTATTCAGTATTTTTTTCAAGATTGCAATATTCATGTTTTTCTAACTGTTGTTCGCGACAGGTCAGCCTTGTTGAGCGACCAGGAACCATTAAGTCGGTCAGTTTTATAGAGAGACTTGGAGCACATGAAAAGCAGGGTGGAGCGCTGAAGTTGGCACTCATGCAGCAGAAGCAAGGCTACCGGCGCGTTAACGGGCCTGTGCAATTTCCGTCTTTTCATCCACGTTTTCTCACTGCCAGCCTTCTGCCTGTTGCGCAAACGGTAACTTAAGCACACTAGTGCGCTTCTCGCAAGCTGTCTTTTAAAAAAGTGGCAGATTTAGTGGGGATTGATGGCACTCGGCAAAGTTTCTGTTTATTTTCACTAATTAAAAAAATTAAAGACGTTTACAAATCTTTGTAATGTGAAACTAGAGCGCAGCTCTTGAGGAGGAGGGGAGGGTACAGAGGGGAGGGTGTGCCCCTTCTACCCTGCATACCCTCCTCTCCCCCTCCTCCTTCTCTTCTCCCCCTTCCCTCCTCCCCCTTTCCTCCTTCTCCCCTCCCACCGCTGAATTTGTTCATTAGTGACGTGACACTAAGTCGTGGCGTCAATTTTACCGCTAAATTTTGTTATTTACCTTTTAGAGCGCAACTTTTAAGCGCCCATTTCCAAGTTGAACGGCGTCGCTGTCAGCGTAATTGTGCATGTTGCATTATGGGACATTTCCCCGCTAAAGTTAGCGAGAACATTTTTCTGCTAAATTTGGCGTGGAAACATCCCATAATGCAACATGTGCAATTGCACCGACTGTGGCGCCGCTCAACCTGGAAATGGGCGCCTAAAAGTTGCGGTCTCAAAGGTAATTAGCAAATTTTAGTTAATAATCGACTTATTGTGATGATTAGCTTCCTTTACTACATCCCCCTGACTGGATAACTTATCTGTACAGACCACATTAGTGTAATGTTCAGATTTTTTAAAACAAATCTGTAACGCATAAAAGAAAAAAAAATTAAGCAGTCCTGTGTTTATCTGCACTGCAGTCTCGGTGATAGCTGCAACACTTAGCGGCGAAATCGTGGGGCATTGGCGTTGCGTTAAATCACCATGAGGTGCATGAACAAAAGCGTTCGAAACAAAATAGACGTCTGACCATTTTGTTCAAATGCTTTTGTTTCGTTTTTGTTCCAAAGTGCGCGAAAGCGCGTCTCTTGGCATGAGCTCTTGGCATTGACGATGCTACGACGGAAATTTGTTATCGGCTATTTCTTGGTATTGTTTTAGACAGCTCGTCCAGTGGGCATCGCGCACTACGAAAACTTGAAGTATAAAGCTGGTCGCTAATGCCGTCGCATAGATCTGTGGCAATGCAGCCACTTCGCACGCAGCGGACCCGGGTTCAATTCTGGCAGGTGGCGGGCAATCTTTTTCGAGGATTTGGCAACATTGACGACCGAGACCCTATGCCCTACTACGCCAACTACAACATCAAGGACGGACGTCGTTTCCAGTAGTGGGAAGAGCCAATAAGAGCTGTCGTTGTAAAACACACTCTATAGCAAACAGAATCTAACCCTAATGAATGCTCTTGTTTGCAATACGTGGGATCCGTTGTCAAGCCTGGGGCGTCTGTTGTTTCTGACAGGTGCATCTTCATGTGGCGGCTGCCCGAGAACGTGACACAAGCCATAGTGAGCCGGCGGACCGGGGTGCCTCTTCCGACGAGCTGGCAAGAAGCGAGGTACGAGTTTGCCTTATGAGTTTGCCTTCTCTAAATTTCTTGCTTTCCCATTCTTTCTTTGGAGTTGCCTTTTGAAGGGGAGCGCCGGCAGTATTTCGAAATACCCAAACTAAGTGCATTTCTGGAATACCAGAGCTTCACTCTGCTCGGTATGCTATTTATTACCTCTAAATTCAAACTGTTTAATGAGAAGACGAAAAATGAAAGTTACGCAAAAACAGACAGTTAAATTTTCTCGCGCTCTCCGGTGGGGGTAACGTCGCACCAGCAGGCTACTAAAATGCACATTATCTTGTTTTTTTTTGTTTCGTTTTGACGATGTGAACTTCTCCAGCATTCGTTTCGCACCTTCAAACTTCTTCTAACCCGTTGAGAGCAAGCCACACTGCCACCGTATTACAATGTTTGATGGCGCATTTTCAGTGTGGCCAGCAGAGCCTATTGGTCTCTCGAACCAATTTGAAACTTCAATAACCTCTCGAAAAAAAATTATTGCGACTTGCAACTTGGGTTACCATTTCAGGTTTGTCTATTAATCGGCGACAATCACATTTTTGCCAGACCCCAAATTAAGTCTCACTGCACTGGCCAAGTTCACGGCAGACAATAGACCCTTTTAAAGATTCGGTGTCCTCTGGGGGTTCGGATGGCAGTTCAACTTTTTTTGTACTGAGGGCGGCCATAAAAATGTACTTCGTCGTGCACTGTCATTTTTGCGCGTAAACAGCAGACTGGGAATGGGTTCCTCCCCTTATAGTTCTTTCTAGATTTGTTTCGGTTTGAATGGTGCAAACGAAAGAACTGGTCAGTACGAATCACTGACCCTCAAACTTCATAAAATTCCCATCTTGAGAGGATTCGGAGTGGTCTTTGTGCCAGGAGGTTGACTGAGCTCAAGTTGGAAATAAATGCCGACACGGCGCATGTACCCAATTTGTGCGTCGCATTGTACCAACATCACCAACATACAGGCCTTTCGGAAGCATCTTCAACTTTCTTCTTCGTCGGCTTGCCGGAAGGGTGCCATCATAGTACGGCACAGATGCTAAACACTCGGATGATGACAGTGGTCAAAGTGGCTAGACCGAATTTTGGGATGGGCCTATTGGCCAACTTTTCTTTGTTCAAACCTCCATATGACAGATTTGAGTTTGACCCGGTCCCTTGCGTTGTCCGCAGGAAGAGTGCCATCGCCGTGACCAAGCCCCTTCCGGCCGCAGACAAGGAGGAAGTAGAGTCCGCCCTTCCACCCCCTCTGGCATCGCGGGTGGATGCCAAGGAAGATCATGGGGAGCGGTCACCCGAATACAAGTTCAGCATGGGCCCACTGCCCATGTGGGCCAAGAGACAGGTACCTTTTTCTCACTATGTTCTCCCTCAAGAAGGAGTTTTTTGTTCAGTGGTCGAAGTTGAACAGTTTCGCATGGCTCCTGGAGAGCCATGCTGCGCATGCGCGAGGAGCAGTGACGGAATGGGCAGGACTGGTATGGCGCATAGGTCAGTCCTCGATGCACGCGCCGCACGCATGCACCCGCTCGAGATCATGGCTCGCGCTGTCCGGTTGTTCTGGGCGGCAGCTTGGTTGCTTGATACATGACAACACGGCACACAGCTGGCCAAACCAGGGACGGGCGTCTGGCACGCCTCAGTGGAGGACTGAGGATTAATTTGGACCACCTAGGGATCTTTTGATGTGCAACCGAAAGCTCGGTTACACGGCGCCTTCTCTGCAATAAGAAGAGCGGAGAAGCTTAACTCATCGGATCCTGAAGTAGTCACATAATGCGTATACCGTGTGTGTGTCATTGAAGCAGCAGTAAGCATGAGAATCAAGCTAATCCTAGACAACCAGGAAAGCTGAGAATAACCAGCTGAACATAAGCTTACGCTATGTATATCTTGGCATAGCCGAGCTAAGCAATTTGTTTGTTGTGGTGAGGTTTCACAGTGTATCCCGTGCATGTTTTACTTACATTGTGGCCAGTTGCATTTAGCGAGAAAAATTCCCCGCTAAATTTGGCAGGGAATGGCAGTGCCATTACATTTTGACATCACAGTCCAACTTGACTATGTCCCAAGGCGTCGCAACATTGCTGACAGATTTAATTGTGAGCGAGCACCGGCTGGCGCTGTTTCGGCTAGCCGTGCGCCTAGAGGTAGATGTGGGTCCGAAAAATGGCGTCTGCATTCCGCTGCCACCCTTTTTATCTTTTGGTTTTTCTCCTCATCGGCCCATTTCCTTCGTTCCTTCTCTCGCTCAAATGTCGCAAGCACGTTAAATAGTCCAGGCTGTGACTGCGTGGGCCCGATGCCTTCACGTGACCTCGCAATGATGTCGACCCGCACGTTATCTGCCCAGCTCATTTGCAACACATTCCGCAAGTCTCCAAGTCAATGAGATAGAATCAAGACATTCTTAAATTTTCGTCTTTCATCCCGCATGACTCATCTTTTCGACACAGCTAGCAGACAAGCTCCGAGGAAACCTTCCTTCACAGTGCACATATTGCAAAGAAGCGGTGCGACTCCGAGTGACTTATTCGTTTCTCTTGCCACGACAGATGATGGAGATGAACAACAACGGCCCCCCCAACAGCTCGGCGGCCAATCAGAACGGCCAGCCGCCCGTGCCGCAGCCCAGAGGCCGTTGGGCGCAGCGCATTGATGCGGCGAGGTCCATCTTCGAAGGTGGCGACCGCACATCGTCCTTTACGGCATCCGTCAACGGCAAGGGCGACTCCCCCACCAAACGGGTCCGTTCTTGTCTTGGCTGTTTCTGCGGCTAGCTCGCGGCTAACTGGAGGCTTTAGGGCAATAAGGCCCGAGGGTTGTGAGGTCCGCGTGTCGACTCTACTAGAGGTCACGTTTAGCTGGTCGGTGTGATCTGCCGATAGGTCTAAGAAATGTAAAGGCCAGGAAAGCGATCATTTCTTTAAGAGGACACTGAACACCCAGCTAACCTTTTTTGTTATTGGTTAGGAGCAATTGGGACATTTTGGCACGTCGGTTCGAAGTAAAAGCATGTTTTGGAATGGCTCCTAGACATTGAGCTAACAAGAAGTATTTTTCTCAAGTTCCTGGGTTGCAGATGGACGTCAGAAGGCGAACTTTCTCTGGGGAAAGAAATGTTAGCGCAATATTTTTGTCGTAATACTCATTGTGAGTGGGAAGCGATTGCTATACGTGCTTCCATTTCGGTGTGTCGTCCCGCATTAGAGGCACGAAATAGAAACAGATTGCAATGTTCAAAATGGGCCTCACAACCTCAACATCGCCCAAAACTTTTTTTTATTATTTTGTTTAAAAAAGTAATTTTTATTGTTCTAACGTTATACATAAATTTTTTTTTTTTATAGCAACTTCAGCATGTTTAAGAGTGCTTTTTGGTCGTAAACAAAATTGTATAATGCGAAGGTCAGTGAAGAGATATCAAAATGAAGTGCATTATGAACCAGTGAAGCGCAGGTTTCTGGTTCTTTTCTGACGCTCTGGCCTATTTGCATTCTCTGATTGAATAATTGATGTTGTCAATTTGACCGATCATATCTTTTTTTCTCAGAGTTGAGTGGCATGTTATGTTGCCAAAGTACTCGGTGCGTGAACGTCAGCGTGGTCATGTGTAGGTGCTAGATTCGTTTTGGCTGCTGTGCACCAAATGAAATGCCTTCGCATATCATTTGGTGCTTTGTTTTGTCTCTGAACTCACTTCTGTGCAGGCAACTTCACCTCATTGCAATTTGCAGATCTTTTTATAGTTTTCTCCCGAATATGCGACGAGATTTCAGGCGTTGTTTTCTTGTTTACTTATGCAACTAATGTAAATAAATAAGAAATGTGGATAAACACAAATTATATAAATAACTTTTTTACAGGTTAGTGTGATTTCTCAGTCTGCCTGTGGTAACTCTCAAGGTTTTACTATTTAAAAAAAAAAGTACTGCATAAAAACATTGATTGAAATCAGTTACATTAATACCAGTTTCTACTGTTCATTTTTTCAGAGTGTTTTTTGTGGTTCATAATCTCTTGGTATTCTAAAGCTACCAGCATGTTTGTAAAGCAGTATCATTTATTCTAAGTATTGTGCGGTCGCAAAAAGAGGGAAACAAAAATAGAATACATAGCTGGAGCTGCAGCTTATTAATAAAGCTTTAGAATACAGTTCAGCAGAAAGTAGTACCACGTTTACTGAAATCTGTTTATAAAGACGTCCAAACCTATGTAAGGCATCGATCACTGGAACTTTCTTATCTATTAAATTGAGCTCTTTGATATAAAGTGAGTTGAGTAGCCATACTTTGTAAAGAGATGGACTGTGAATGATGCAAATTTGAGTTATCAAAAAATCTGCAATTTTGCAATTGTTTTTGCAATTTCTCTATGCCTCTCTTAAACTTTCTCAAATGTTATTCCCCACTTGCGACGTCTCTTGGACACAGAAATTACCTATCTCTGCTAGATAGCTACTACCACTTCAACTACCAAAGATCTTGGTTTTTTGGATGGTATTTTAAAGAGTAGCATCTCCGTGACCAAAGAGCTTGCGCTAGAGGTGAGCGAATATTAAATCTTTGATTACAAATTAAATGTGAATATTAAAATTTGACCGCAAATCGAATTTTGATGTTTTTGAATATGAATCCATTTTACATTTATTGTTAATTGCAGGCATAGATACTTCAAGAAATCACACCTGGAAACTTGTTTAGAAAGCATACCTATGAAAAGGAACAGTTTTATTTCGAGAGAAACATTTCACATAGTCTGTGCGCCTGTATTAGAGGCCGACGAGCAGCCAGAACAAAGGCAACCCTGACTCAATTCCTCCTTGCCTTTCGAGAAGGAGGGTGACCCTTCTGTGTTCTGCGGGAAGTAGCTCAGAGACCCGTTTCTGCGGGGAAAGGAAGAGAGAAGAGTGCGAGAGGGCATGGAGAGAAGGAAACTGGCAACAGGTGTTCTGCCCGTCAGAAAGCAATTTTGTAGTTCTCCCTTTAAGATAAAAGCTCCTGATGAGTTGGGTAAGACATAAAGTAGCATGGCAAGTAAGGCGGTGACTGCCTTATTTATTTTAAATTGTCTAAACCTTTATCTGATATGTACACCCAAGATTTTTATATTCTCATTTTTAAAATGCGACTGCTTGATTGAAACTGGCTTTACATATGCCACGGGTTGTCCTGTTGCCTCCGAGATCGGCCCGCTTGATATTTTTAATGACATTATTATTTATAATATTAGAATATTAATAAACCTTGAATAGTTTGAATAGTATTAGTGTAACCAACACTATTCGTGAATTATGCCGAGTTTCGAATATTCGCACACCTCTAGTTTGCATCTTGCTCACGCTCTCCAACAAGCATATTACATTGCAGACTGTGGTAGGCCATAATGATGTAATGCAGTTCTCCATCTTGTGCTAGCCTAACACCCTCACCCTCTCTTGCTTGCACCAGGAGGCGGGTAACGCAGACGACGACTTTGAGGTGTGTCCCAAAAGCTTGCAGGAGATTGAACAGCCCTCTCTGTCTCTGCACAAGCTGGTAATTTCCCGCCTGCATTTTCCTCCTCTCTGCCTCACTTCCCTCGTTGTGCCGACGACTTCACTTAAGCCTCTTATAACCAGAGCAGCTTAAAGCAGGTTCACATGTTTATGTTTGAGTGTGAGGGACGACATTGGAACCGCTGCAACCACTTACAACAAAAGAAAACGCTGGCGTCATTTATTGGGGTAGCCTTGCAACACGTGTATTCTGCATACACAGTGTTTTTTTTTTAGGCTTTGCAGATTTCTTTTAAGGGGACACACCCCCTACGGGGGTCAACTTTTGAACTTTTGTATTAAAACCAATGAAATTTACAGGGTAGGCTGGCGGTCATGCTAGAGGGTGTATAGCAAAATTTCAGGTCTGTCGGTTAAATGAGAAAGAAATTAGAGTAGCTTCTATCAGCAACACGCCTACATTGTTTAGTTAATCTATCGTCAGAAAACTATCACAATATTCAAGATTTTTATTTGCTAGATATGTAGCAGAATGCCTAGAGGGTGCGGCTATGGAACGTTTTTTCTGAAAAGTAATTTACTTCTATAAATTTTCTCTTCTGCAAACTTGGACAACTTTTTGGTCTTCTGTGTCTTCGACAAAATGTCAACATTTTTTATACAAGACACCCGTAAAGTGACAAAAAAGCTCCATAGCCGCATTCCTTATTAAATTTCAGTCAGGAAAAAGGAAGAATGAGCCTTCCCTGTTTAGCCATTATCAAACGATAGATTGACTAAATTGGATTTTATACCAAAAAGTGGAACGGAGAAAAATGCGTTCAAAGTGCTCCAAACCCTACCTCTTCTTTAGCTTTGGTGGGCAGAGAATAATTTATAAAAATTGAACTATGCAGTGAAAATTAATTAAACTTCTTGGGAATACTCTCTAGATGTTGGTGGATATAAATATGGTATTTTTCAAAATCAACTTTTTTCGCAGAAATTTTTTTTTCTGGGCAGTGTCTCCCCTTAAAAAAAGCTGTGAAAGTAACACTGTTGGTTTGCAGTATGTGTCATGTGCTGTCACTGTTACCTGCGCATCGTCGAGAAGTTGGTGGGGTGGGGGTAGCATTTTTTTCATGTACAGATTCACTCTTTTTGTTCTGCACGTTTCCTGCCATAGTCTCTAATTTTGCAACTCTGTTCTTCTACACTTCTAACGCTTCCCAGGTTGTGCAGTGTATAACATAGGTTGACACTGCACTGAGCTGACACTAGGCAGAGCCGGTACTTTTGCGGATAATGGCTTCTTTGTGTGTGAGTCCGTGTAAGATGGAACATAATGCTGAGCCCGGCAGCAGGAAACCAGATATTGTTTCGCCTTCCGTGCTTTGTTTGCCATGCACCAAGCTGCTACTTGAATCGTTTGCTACACTTCATGCGAAGCACAAATGTCCAGGTAATGAGTCACCAAAACTGAGTCAAGCAGTACTGCGTGAATGGGTTGAAAAACTTGTGCTCTGCATTTAAAAATTTGCAGCCTTTATCAAAACATTGGCAGCTGTATCTACATCTGTCAATCGAACGGTTCTGTGTAGAAGTACAATGTACATGAAATTGCTGGAGCTATTGGCGCTCTGATTAATCGTGCGACATTGTGGGACCTCACAACACATGATGTAGTCTGTGGACGTCATGACGTCGAATAATGGTGTCAGTTGATTTCATGCTGCATCAGGCGGCATTGTTGCATGATCTGACATCGTGCAAAGTGCACAATGTCAGATCCCTCAACACCCAGACTCGACACCCAGTGTTGCTAGATGCAATAATGTTGACACCATGGCGTCGCAGGTCACCACGACTTCGCATTGCGAGTCGCGACACAATGACGTCGGGTCGTGCTACATGTTATCCGAGTTAGCTTCCGTGAGAGTGCAATTCTTGCATTTAAAAATTTGCAGCTTTTTGCTACAGTGCACGACGAAGTGACGATAGCTGAGTGAGTGCAGGCGCCTGTCCTGTATACTTCTTGTCCTTGTCTTTCTGTTGCGCTATTTTATACGTTTTACTAAGATGAACCAACTAGCCCAACAACGTACCTTACTAAAGTTTCTCCGTTCAGGATGCAAAGTCAAGTTCAATGCGGAGGGGTTCTGCATGAATCTCCAATGAAGACTCTTCAGTTTTTCTGCATTCGTCAGCGTGCTGCCAGCTAGAACCATTTGGCTGAGTTTAAATAGTGTCTCTCTGACTGGTCAAATATACTCTTATTCAGCAGTTCACCTAATAGCTAGTCAACTAAGCTCATATTTCAACCCTAAGAATATACTAATATCGCTTTAGTGGGACATAGTACGTAATATAAAGCACAACCCGCATATTCGTCAAATGACTTCTCGATTGCTACTAAAACCTGAATTGACGTACGAGTATCAGCTGCTTAGTGGGGCGCCAGCGGGTTAACATGCTCCATGGCTTAAGACGCGCTTGCTTAAGTTTCTTAATTTTCCTGTAGCCTGTGTTGTTGACCGAGCAGGCATCTGGAGCTGTTTCTTATTAAACGCGGATACGCACAAAAGTTAGATTTTGCGGACAGATAAGTCGCATGGTCGAGGCATTCGAGTTACCTGAAGATTACTCTCTGTGGAACAATTCTGTAGTCGTTGCCGCTTTCCTTAGCTGATTAAAACTGATTAAAGTCTACTAAAGACTCTCCGAAGCCCATAGTTTCGGTTTTGAACGAAATCTCCGAAACAAAAGTTTGACATGAAAAGAACCAAAAGCACTGGGAAAACAAAACCCTGCTCTGCAAGTTTGTGTGCACCGGCTACACTTAACCGTCGCAGTTCAAATACCTATAAAATAGGGCATTGAACAGAAGAAAATGTGTTAAATTGAAAGCGCCACCCGTTCAGGCGGCCCGGCCGAGCCGATGCGACCTGTTCCCAGCCGCCACGTTTGTTTGGTGGTGGCGCCTCCTATACACCCCGTGCGACGCGACTGGCGCGCCGCCGCGCGGCCGGTACCGAAGGTAGGCAGTGAGCACTGCAGAGAAAACGAAACCGAAACCACGCCGGGCGTACGTTGGTACGCGTTATCCGAGTGGTGCTGTTGCGCTGGGTTCACAGCATGAAGTGCTGCCTGTGCTGCGTCATTAAGTGCTTCAATAGTTATGCGTCGTATCTCGTGGAGACAAAGTTTCACAGTTTTTCACCTCGCCGATGTCTTGTGCGACAGCGACAACGATGGAGCCGTGCCGTACGACGCGAGAAATTTGGTGTCCCGATCATGTCTGCCACTGTGTTGGCACGGCTGACATATTCTACACTGCCGCTTTGCGCTCTGTGTTTGTTTTCGTACCAGTAACGCCTACATGTGTCGGCGCCGATGGGACGAACTGAAATGCCGTCCCACACTCCCGGGTATGCAGTGCCTATTTCGTTGGAGGAATGCCCTCCAAAGAAGTTTTGTCCCCATCGTACGTGTCGATGATATTTCCGGACAAATATGGCACGCAATGTGTACTTCATGAAGAAAGATTTGAACGGTAAAAAAAGTGACAAATATAAATCTAAAGAAAACAACCATGAAACTCGGAATCACTGGAGAATCGGCGTTTGAGTATGGAAGTTTATGTGGTGTGCTTTCTTTCTTGATCAGCCCCCTTTTGAATTTGGAAACACTGACACCCCAAGTTCCGTAGACAACAATTTTTGTTTCTCGGCTTTAGAGCCACCTAACGCAAAGTGGTTCGAACTGGAAGTACCGTCCACTGGTCCCTTCCTACCTGTAAAGTGTGCACCTCCCACGATGAGTGGTATTTGCTGACAGCCTTTGACGGTCAAAGCCAGTTCCCATTTAATTACGCCGCCCAAACTAAATTTCCACCTGGTTTCACTATGCCAACTATTTTTGTTATAATAAGTGTTGTGCCAAGTGACGGTCATGTCAAAGTACCTGTGGGCCGAAAATCAGCAGCTCGCACAACAGGTTATTACACAACAGCTGAGCGCAAAAGCCCTTGGCGGCCAAACCGTGTTCTGGCCGACAACTTTGTCTTCACGGCTTTGGAGCCACCTTTCATAAAGTTGTTTCAATTGGAAGTACAGTCCACTAGTCCCTTCCTACCTCTAAAGTCTTCACCTCCCCCGACCAGTGGTACGTATTCTCTTGACAGCCTTTTCATGGTCAAAACCGGATCCCATTGAGTTACGCCGCCCAAACCAAATTTTCACCTAATTTCCCTATTCCACCTTTTTTTTTTTATAATAAGTGCTGTGTCATGTTACTGTCAAGTCCAAGCACCTGTGTGCCCAAATCTGCACTTTGCACAACTCGCTATAACACAACATTTTGGGTCCAAGATTGGATATACCGTACAGCTTTATTTATTTATTCGTTAGAAACAACTTTCACACCTGCTGTCTTGATGAAACTTGGTGCACTTCGTGCAGAAACTTAGTGGACATCTCACTCGCCTCCAATATCATCGTTCCAGCAGTCCTACGTTTACAGCGACGAGCGAAATAAATTTCCCACTCAAAGCAATTATGGTGGCGGCCGTCTTGCTCTTGGGAAAATTGCTCAGACTCCTTTTTTGGCCGCAACTAGAGAAATTCCCCCGAATAACGACTAAAACTCAATATATAAGAAGAGGAGAGCAGCTAAATGCCCTTCTTAGGTCTGCCCCAGCATTCATGCAACGCCACCCTCAACGTATCGGCTCAAAAAGCAAAAGTTTCGTCCGAGCGCGCTTCCGCCGCCACAGCTTGGCATGCGAAAAGGCGCCGCAGGCTGCTGAACGCGACTCACGGTCGAACGCCAGCTCCTCCGCTAGCGGCGCTGCGCGCATTTTTCAAAGCGCCCCCTATAGTTCCCGCACGGAGTGTATAGGTCGCTGAAGTCGCAAATTGCTGCAGAACATTATTTTTTTTGTGTGTGTGTTCTTTAGCTTGGTGGGTAGACTTTGATCTCCCTTGACATTGGTCTGACTCGCAGCCTTCAGGACGCGTCACCCAGAGGGGTACAGGCGACCGCAACCGCTGCCCAACGGACTCGAGCAGCGCGGCGAGCAGCACGAGGATGGAGGACGGGGATGCGGAGGACGAGCACTCGGACACGGAGGGCTCCGAGATGGTCTTCTATCCGCACTCCGAGGAGGGCTCCGAAGGGGGCGACTCGTACGTCTCTCGACCTCTGTATACAGTGGAAACAGCGCGAAACCACGGGGACGTGGAAGAAACGCACGGGACGAACACTCATCCCGGGTGTTTCTTTTACGTCCTCGTGGTTTCGCGCTGTTTCCAGTAAAAATCGCCACCAACTCGCCCAACTACCCATTCTTCTCTGTATATCATTCATTATTTTGGATTCGGTGATCTGTTCAGTTGGTTGTTTCGAGAAATATTGCGCCAAACTCGGATTTTTCAGATTTTGGCCGTCGTTGATTTACCCGAGCTATCATCTTACACGTGTGAACCGGTTTTAAAGGGGCACTAAAGTAGTTACAGAGACCATCTATGGTCATAAGTCGATCTATGGGCAGTAAGAATTAAAAGCCAGATTACGTATATATGTGGTTTATTTCCCTAATAAAAACGGGTGTGGTTTATTTCCCTAATAAAAACTGGAATACATATAACGATCTGCCCCTTTCTTTGCGATTCGCCGCGGAAACCGGAAGGCACTTTTGGAGGTGTTTCATGCCAATCGCAAGCGGCCTTTGTCAGCCTCCTTGCTGCACGGAAAGCAACCGCTCGCGATCGGCTGTCGCGCCCCTGAAGGTGCCCTCCGTTTTCTTCGACGAATCGCAGAAACAGAAGCACGTTGCAATCTTTGATCTCAAATTTAATAGGGAAATCTACCGCGCATCAACGTAATCTTGGCTTTTGTAGAGCGCTCAGAGGCCATAGGTTTGAGTCACGACCGTACGTAGACGATCTCTGGGACTACTTTAGTGCCCGTTTAAAATGCTGCTCTTGCGCAGAGCATTCCAAGTGCGGGCCACGACCGAAGTGGACCTCAAGGAGGCCCGGAGGCGACTTCACCGGGTGCGGCCAGACAGGCCTGACAGGCCGGCCAGGGACCCCCCTTCACTCTACAGCAGCGTCACGGGTGAGCACGGACATCTTCGCCACGCACCACGGTGTCTGAAAAGCGTCTCGGACGGGTGCGTCTAGCGTCCTATCTTGCCCCTGCCTCGAAAATGGTCCCGAGGTCGCAACGAGCAAAGTCGCCGAAGTTACTGTGTCGCGTCGTCGGATGTCACGATCCTGGCAGTGGGTCACATAATTTCCGGTGAAGTTGCCACTGTGGCAGCGCCCCAACTCAGTGTGAAAAATTTTTTGTAAATGGTCGAGCTGAGAACGAGCCAGAGTGGAATAGGTGTTAGTCACGTTCACCTCTGCTGCCGTGTGGCCTCCAGGATCACGACGGGCAACGGCACAACGGCATAGCACTTCCATGGTATTGTCCGGTGGCATTTGAGAGTCCACATTTAAGGACGCTGTAGACATGTCGGTCGGAGACGCGTTCCCGGCACCATACTGCATACCGTTCATTGAGGCACGGGACAAGCTTCCTCTCGTGTAAAGGCTGGTTCACACGTGCGTTCGAGTATGTTCGAGTGCATTGCATTCCCTTGTTTGGAACTCCAGCCTGCCCCTCTCCCTCGTGGACGAACAAAGAACCAGAGTAGCAGGGACGACGGCGGGGGTGGCGGTGGCGGGTACTCTAGGCCTTGGTAGTGCTGTTACCGCATGCTTCTGGTTGGCATGACCGTGCATCGTGCAGTTCTATCGAAAGAAGCTTGTGCTTTAGAGTATGAATGGTTATGTCCTGCTTTGGAACTTCTAAAGTTCAACATGCTCATTTCGTTGTTGCACTTCAACCTGCGATGTGCTACTGCCTTGACCCCTTCATATTTGTAGCCAAATAAATTTTAACACACTGATCATTGTCAACGAGCAAGCGAACGGGAAATCCCGGAGAATCTATCCCCCATCTCTTCTGCCGTTTCGGAAGTACCGCTCCGCCATCTATGGGGCATTGGAGTTACGAATACAAGCTTACGACGAAATTAATTGGTCATCTACAACGTCGTCCAGCATAAATCGAGGGACCACATTTGGGGACGCGGGAAACATACCAGTCGGAGAGGCGTTCATGCCACCGTACTGTGTACCGTTGATGGAGACACAGGAGAAGGTTTGCCTCGTGTAAAGGGCGGTGCACACATTTGCGTTTGGAGCGTGTTCGACTCCGTTGCATTCCCTCATAACTCATTACTTCAAGAGAACACGGTGGTATGCTGGCGCCACGTGTCAGGTAGCCCTGGAACACTTCAGACTTCTGTATCACTAGACTGAAGGTTTCGGTGTACTCTAGACATACCCCGGGTTTCTAGGAACCCAGCATGCGAACCCACGACTAAAGTGCAAATTCGGCATTGTGTTTATAGTGCTGAGCTAATGCCAGGGTGTATGTGTGAAAAGGTCTTTATAGACACACTGGCAGTGTTGCCAATTTAGCGGTTTTCTGAGTTATTAAGCGAGAGACGGTGTTTTGTGGCTGGCGGGATTTTTAGGAGTTTTTGAGTTATGTTGGCATGCTTTCTGGAGGCCTAAATTTTTCTCCAGTTTGCATTTATCGGTCCTAAATGGCTTAATTTCCGTGCTAAGTTAGTCATGGGGTCGTTATTTCTGCTTAGTCAACAAAGTTGTCAGTGAGAATAATGCATGCCCCGCCATTGAGATCTTATGGGGAGAAACATTGATGCAAGACATTAAAACAGTCAATCTCAGCCTGCACCTTACATTTATTGATTCATAGCTGTTTTATAGAAGTCCTTTAGCGGGTTTATGATTTTTGAGTTTGTGAGACCGCACTCTAGAGGGACGATCCAGGAAACTCGGCGAGACCTCCGGATTTTGCGCGCAGACTTCGCGAGTGAGCTGAACAGCGACGAGGAGGACTCAAGCACGGCGGCAGAGGGAGAGCCCGGCGTTCCGCGACCTCTGGGCGGCTCAATGTGCGTGAGCACGGACAACCTGGACAAGCTAGGCCAGAGGGAGAAGTTCATGAAGAGCAACTACGAGAGCCTGGACCACTCCGGAATGGAGTCCGGCCTGGATTCCACGCTGACCCCCGTGGCTGCCCTGCGCAGCTCCATCTCGGCCAAGTACCTCCACTCGAGGGGCAGCACGCCTGCAGCTGGGCTATCCTCGCCCGCTTGGTGGGTCTACCCCCTTTTTTAACACAGGGTGTGTTTAGGCCTAAAATGTTGCGAAACGCTAAAAGTGTTGCAAAACGCTAAAAGTGTTGCAAAACGCTCAAAGTGTTGGGGAAACGCTCAAAGTGTTGGGGAAACGCTCAAAGTGTTGGGGAAACGCTCAAAGTGTTGGGGAAACGCTCAAAGTGTTGGGGAAACGCTCAAAGTGTTGGGGAAACGCTCAAAGTGTTGCGAAACGCTAAAGGTGTTGCGAAACGCTAAAGGTGTTGCGAAACGCTAAAGGTGTTGCGAAACGCTAAAGGTGTTGCGAAATGCTAAAGGTGTTGCGAAACGCTTAAGGTGTTGCGAAATGCTTAAGGTGTTGCGAAACGCGAGAATTGTTACGAAACGCGAGAAGTGTTACGAAACGCGAGGTGTTACGAAACGCGAGGTGTTACGAAACGCGAGAAGTGTTACGAAACGCGGGAAGTGTTACGAAATGCGGGAAGTTTTACGAAACGCGGGAGGTGTTACGAAACGCAGGAGGTGTTACGAAACGCGGGAGGTGTTACGAAACGCCCGAAGTGTTACGAAACGCCCGAAGTGTTACGAAACGCCCGAAGTGTTACGAAACGCCCGAAGTGTTACGAAACGCCCGAAGTGTTACGAAACGCCCGAAGTGTTACGAAACGCCCGAAGTGTTACGAAACGCCCGAAGTGTTACAAAACGCCCGAAGTGTTACGAAACGCCCGAAGTGTTACGAAACGCCCGAAGTGTTACGAAACGCCCGAAGTGTTACGAAACGCCCGAAGTGTTACGAAACGCCCGAAGTGTTACGAAACGCCAGAAGTGTTACGAAACGCCAGAAGTGTTACGAAACGCCAGAAGTGTTACGAAACGCCAGAAGTGTTACGAAACGCCAGAAGTGTTACGAAACGCCAGAAGTGTTACGAAACGCCAGAAGCGTTACGAAACGCCAGAAGTGTTACGAAACGCCAGAAGTGTTACGAAACGCCAGAAGTGTTACGAAACGCCAGAAGTGTTACGAAACGCCAGAAGTGTTACGAAATGCCAGAAGTGTTACGAAACGCGAGAAGTGTTACGAAACGCGAGAAGTGTTACGAAACGCGAGAAGTGTTACGAAACGCGAGAAGTGTTACGAAACGCGAGAAGTGTTACGAAACGCGAGAAGTGTTACGAAACGCGAGAAGTGTTACGAAACGCGAGAAGTGTTACGAAACGCGAGAAGTGTTACGAAACCGAGAAGTGTTACGAAACCGAGAAGTGTTACGAAACCGAGAAGTGTTACGAAACCGAGAAGTGTTATGAAACGCAAAAACTGTCATAAAACACGAAAAGTGTCGTCACGATATGCGAAAGGTGTCACGAAACACTAAAAGTGCCACAATACGCAAAAAGTGTCGCAATATGCAAAAAGTTTCACAATGCGCGAAAAGTGTCATGAAACACTAAAAGTGTTGTGAAAAGTGGCACGAAACGAAAAATGACTCAAGACACGAAAAGCATGCCAAAGAACGAGAAGCATCTAAGCGTCACAAAATGCAAAAAGCATAGCAAAACATAAGTGTCAAGGAACATGAAAAGCATCAGAAAACGCATGAGGTGTCATAAAACACGAAAGGCATCATGATACATGACAAGTGTCACAAAACACAAAAAGCTTCACTAGAACCGCTGCAGAGTGTGACAAAACCGATAACACGGCCAGTTGTCTTTGCAAAAGGCCGTGTGTCTCGGCGGGAATTGAACCACCGACCTGATCTGATATTGGGGTGATAGTTGGCATATATGTACTCATCTTGCAACAAAAACTTGGGGCGAAACTGGCTTTTTTCTTGAGCCGACTACAAGCATAGACTCTTCTGCGAGTTTCTCACAATTGTAGAAATAGGATTAGATGAGTTAAAACAATGTCTTATTAGTTGAAAGTAACTACTCAAAATAAGATTGTTTACTGTGTCTAATATTTGGTTCTGCTTCTACACAGGGCCAACAAGACCTCCGGGAGCAAGTCCGATCAAGAGGTGGCTATCTCTGCTTTTCTTAGTCTTTCCAAGGGCCTTTTTGCTTCGGGTTTTTTTTCGTTGTCTCTTTTAGTGACGGGGAGAAAACCACTGGATCACTTTGTCCAACTTTCTAGTAATCTGGAATTTTCAGTCTCCTCCATGAAAGTGTCACCAAAACTAGTCACTATTTGTGCTTATTCGATAAATCTCTTCAATTGAATACCTTCCTGTCGTGCAAACGTCCAAGCTGGCTTCGTGTTTTTCGAACAAGAGAAAACAAAGTTTGAAGGGATTGTTTGATCGAAACCGGAAGTACTTAGGTCTTTGCGCTCGTTACATCAAGGGAGCCTTCATATAGACAAACGTCATTTTTATTTTGGTAGATGAGATCCCAATATAAATTAAACCTTTCGCGAGCACCTGTATGAAACTGCACCTCGAATACTGCCAGTGTCAATGACTGACATCCGTAGCTGCTGCATGATGTCACATAACGCAAAGGATGGTCGGGATAACAAGCGTCGGTCGATGTCTTTTATTTTGTTTCGAATTGTATAGTCTCCTAGGCTGTACCCTACTGAAATGTTTCCTGTACAGCAGTTCCCTAGCGTATGCAAAAAAGTTGCGCCATTTAGCGGGATATTACTCGAAAACAGTCGTTAGCTTCGAGCAAACGTATGCCATTTTGTGCATACACAACTGTGATGGCCACCGATCAGACAAGGCAAAGAGAAGGATGCCGTATTTTCCTCTGAAACGGCATCTGGGTTCACGCATCGGCAGATTCAGTGCATCAGTGATGCGGCTGCAGGTCGTTCCCTCGGAGGCAATGCCCGCATGTCGAAGGCAAACGCCAAAGCGTTCAAAATGCATGCAATATGTCTAGATCGCCACTTGATTCTGACAAGCTTGGTGGATCATAGCTACACTCCATTTTCACATGCGGGTCAAGCAGAATCGGACTGCATGCCTGCTAAATATAAATTTTGGCATCGTTTCAAGATGGCCTAGTTGTTGGTTTCGGTTTTGCTGCATAATCAAACCGATTGATCAGATTTGGGTGAGGAGTGGGTGGACATAGTTGAATATCGTCGGCACGCCATCACACCTCGGCTTATGAGCCTTCTGTCGGCTTAGAGCTCAGCTTGTAGCTCTGTTGTGAAATTATTGCCCAGTGCTCCCTACGCATAGGGACAAGCCATTTTGCTCGTTGTTGCATGTCTCGCCAGTCGCAGGTTCTGCCTCGTGGGTGTGGCACCCAACCGCGCAACAAAAATGAAGCACGCTGGGGCATTTACTCACTGGCAAACAATGAGATGGAAAGGCGCACTTTGCATTACGTTACGTCAGAGCTTTAATATTGCCAACGTAAGCACCATTTATGCTAGGATACGATTAGAGCAGTTTAAAAAACCATTATCATGCAGAGGGGCATATAAATTTAGACATTGCACGGAGGATGCGTTTTGTGGTAATAACAGTGATGTTCAACTGTTTGCTCGTACACAAAATTTGACCGGACAATCCCTTTAAAAAATGGCCTTCTTAGTCCCGTTCCAAAGTCACTATACAAGCCATGCTTCGGAGTAACGACACGTCGGCCACCTTGGTGTTCAAAATCGCTGTTGCCAATTATCTGAAGCTTTGTTTGAAACCCCGAGGTATGGATTTACATCCTCCAGAAATGTTAAAACAGTCCGCGACAGAGCGAAACAATGTCCCCTAAGCCGAATCCCGACGCGAATGAGTGCAGCCTTCTCAGTTCACCACTCCTAAACTGGAGAGGCCCGCCAGGTGTGACAGAAGTCCCCAGACTCCGGTTGGAGACTCAAATGATTGACTCGGGGGCGGCAGATAAGAGGCGACGAAATAACAGTTGCTTTCCGCTCGATTCTCCCACAGATCGGCAACCAGAACCGCTCCAAGCGACGGGAAGAACTGACGCAGGCCTTGAATCAGGCACGGCAGAAGCTTAATGCGGTGAGTGTCCTCGAGTGCCAACGCGGCCGCATTTGTCCCACAATCCGCTGTGGGGTTTGCAGGGGTGTCGCGACTCGTGCGAGAGCATAGGCGTGGCGTTGGCGTGCAGTTTACGACGGTGTGGAACCTTCACAGAGTTTGGTGTAGTTGCTGCGTGCATTACCGGGGCCCTAACATTGCGGTGGCTTGAAAGTGTCTCCGGCTGGCGCGTTTAGCATCCTACACCGCTCATGCATCAAAGGTGGTCCCCAAAAGTTGATCGTACAAGTTTCGCCAAAAAGTAGGAACAAACGCGGGTGTCACTGTCGTTGCGTCCAAACTTGCGACTGCTGAAGCTTTTGTGGGAGAGTGACCTGCGGCAGAACAGGCGTCTGCCACAACCACGTCTGCTACCTTGCCATGGCCTGGGTTGTGACAGGTGATTGCACTTTGTATGTGACCTCGCTTTTAATATTGCCACAACGTGTTTAATGCTTTACCTACCTGAAGTTCGCTCGGCTGGCAAAACGTTGCCCGCAACGCTAGGGTTTTTTTTTCAAGTTCTTGGTTGGCTTTGGCTACGTTCGTGGTTTGTTGAATTCTTATGGTGCCGTTGTTGCTGTCTTGGGCGACCCTTTGCCTTTTATCGTATATGTCGAGTGGTTTTATGTATGTCATCTGTCCCTTCTCAAGTGTGTTTGGTCATCTTTGAAACTGAGCGTTCCAGCCCTGTTTTGTTGCCTCTTGTGGCATGAGACCGTTTGTGAGATGGTGGCATTGTATGATGTGGCTTCACTCTGAGGAACTGAGCTTTGGGCCGTTGATTCTTGAGTAGGTTGCAGCTGATTGAATGAGGACGTTAGAGGAGACGTCTTTAGCATACCTGCCAACTCTTCCGAATTTTTCGTAAAATGTACGAATTGGGAGTAATTTTACAGTTTTTCGAATCTTGCTCCAAATCTTACAAAAAACATATTTTTATTTTTATTTATTTATTTTCTTTTTTTGTAACTCCGTTGTTGGCGGTATCTTGCACCGCCACAAGAGGACGATAGGTACCGTCCACAGCAGCGTCGTGGTTCTAACTATTTGTCTATCCGGTGGCCACGGATCGAAAACCAATCCAAAGCTCAAAGCCTTGTGTTCGGCGGTGCACGGGTGCACGTTGCTTCGGCGTGCTCAGACGTTGTTGGGCCTCGTTGCTTCGGCCAGTTTCGAGGCGAGAAGTACGGCGTCTGTGTTTGTTGCACGTGTAACTGTAGCATTCTCCTGGTCACTGTGGCTTCGCGGCATAATGCTGAACTCCAAACCTCAAAAGAGGTACTTTCAGGTGTTCCTTAAGTGCTACACGTCGAAATTTCCGTGCTTTGTGCCGCCCGAAATGCGAGAGAAGTTTGGATTCTGTAGCACAGGCACGTGTGATGTAAGCATTTCGCACGCTGGCCAGGCTGAAGCTGCACATCGCTTCGCGTCACCCCCCCCCCCCGCCCCCCCCGCTGGGCTGCGGAACTTTTACGATTTTGAAAGTCCACAGGTTGGCAGGTATGCGTCTTTAGGTCTAGACTCGGGTTTTTGATTTAGGGTCTTGCTGAGGTTTGCAAGTATGCGGCATTATTGATTTGAGACGGAAAGATTTGCCTGCTGACTGCAGCATTTTTATTTTTCTGTCTCATACAAAATTGAATCTAGAGAAATTTTGTTTGAATGTAAAATATTGAGATATTCACTATGCATAGAACGTTTAACGAAGGCACACTTTGTAACGAAGGCATGAGCAATTAAGGTGTTCATAGTAATGATAATGCTATAAAAAAACTTCTTGCTTAAATTGTCTTTGTTCTATAGAGTAGTCCTAGTGATCCCATGTTGCACATCCTTCCATGTTAGTTCTATGAACAAGAATGTGCTGAAGGCATCGCCTCTCTTTTCAGATCGGTTCCGACAGCGAGGTAAGAGTCAGTCATTGTGTGCTCAAGCCTCTTGTTGTGATTTGTGACTGTCCAAACAATGTCTGCTTCCTGTTGCTGAAAGGACGCCACAAAATACTTGTTGACCCCTGTTTGCATGCCATGAGCTGTCACGGCAAGCCTGCTTGCCTTGAAACCGTTATGCTGAATGCTTGATTTGAGCTTTCATGCATGAATCTGTATTCTTGCTTTTATCCCCACCCCTGTCCGTTTCTATCTGGATGAGCCTCATATCAACGTGCATTTATCCAACCACAACTGCGCGGAAATGCATGAAAGATCTTTGGCAAATGCATTGACTACTGGCGAATTCCACTGGCCCTTTTGGAGCGCTCCGGGATCAGTAGGTCTGAGATGTGGAGCCCGCATTCCAAATGGAGTCTCTCTGCAGCGAAACATAACCACTCCTCTGTGATTGGCGGATTTTTTCCCGTCATTCACCTCCCGGAAATCCCCCTCCCCCGGTCCCGGATCTCGAAGCACGTGTTTTCGCAATTGCGGTGCCAACAACGCATGTTCAACGCACGAGCAAAGTTAAATGGGGACATAAGCCTAAGTTTCAAAGTTTTTTGAAAAAATTCATTTTTCAATTTTGAGGTTTTCGGTTTTAGAAACTAATTATACAGCCTTACGCTAAATTTCATAACTATGCGCCAAATAGTTCCGTTGATATAAAATATTTTGAAGACATTGTGAGGCAGTAACAAAGTAAAGGAGTTCAATGTTTGAATGCATTTTTCTCGGTTCCACATTTTGCTGCAAATTTCGTACGAAGGAATCTTTTGTTCGAAGGTAAAAGTTTTCTGATACCACAATCACGACATTTCTGAACCGAAATTTACTGGGGAATCGGGCTATCTACTTTATTTTGTTTTACATTAAAGTCCTCCTTGAGAAAAAACCATATTTTCAAAAATTGACATAGGACAGATACGAATCTCATATTTTGAAGTAATCTTTCTTCCTGAAATATTTTCATTTGAGTTATAAAACCTAGGTAGCCTGAAGTCCCACATCCCCCCCCCTTTATACTCAAGCAGTTAAAACAATGCTTAATAGCTCCATTTGCATATCATACATTTTTTATTGAAGAGTGACACATCATCTTATGCAGGTATGTAAAGTTGCCCTAGAGAGCTGAAAGTTTGCACAGTACACCTACATCTGAAGTTAAATTTCCCCTGCAAATTTCATTCCAATCACTTGAGTAGTCAGAAGTTCAACCTCTAGCCAGTGTCCCCCCTTAATTCATGATGTGAAAGATGAGTGTCGATAAGCGATGTGCATCAGCATAGCCCACTAGCCTCTTTACTGGAATACTCGTGAACGGTGTCTAAGTAAGTCCTGATTTTCAACCTCTCCTGCGGAGGTTCGAAAAGGCATTCGGATTCATGCGGGACATACAAGCAATCCTCATCGTAGCTGCTACTCGAGCCACTGCTGCTGGAGGAGCTGCTCGAGCAACTTGACAAACTATCTTCAAGCAGCAGCAGCAGCAGTAAAGCGGGCCGCACTTCGCGAGCGGCCATTATGAAGTCTTCTTTCTGAACAAGAAAGTCACGACTGTGTACCGAGCGCTGGCCAGTTTAACTTCCATTCGAGCCCGTCAAAATCGGCGGAGGGACTTTCTTGGATCCAGATTGAGATTTGGAATGGGAGCTGATACAAAACGACTAGTGGGACATGTCTCTCCTGATCTGAATCACCCCGTGAAATAGGTACGCTCCAGAAAAGTCGATCCCGATGCGCTCCAATGCGACCGGTGAAATTGGCCATTAGCTTCTCATCTACAGCAAGGACCAGTGTCGCCACATCCGAGTGGTAGAATACTATCTCGCTGTATTCTAAATGCTGGGAATTTAGAATGCATTGCATTTTGAGTTCTTCCTGGCTTTGAAGAAAACCTGTTTTGGCACAACACAAAAATACATACCTGTTTCTCGTAGTTTCTGTTCGGCACCAGACTTGCAAAAAGAGCACTGCTTCGGCAAGAAGGTCAAAATAGGTCGCACCACAAAGCAGGTTATAATTTGGAACAGATAGTTGGAATTGAGTGAGGACAAAGAAATTAAAAGCTGGTTTTCATTTGGTGTAAAGCCTTTGCCAAAACAGCATTGTGTCACTTGGTGATCTTGGGGTACATAATGAGTACTTTACTCATTACACCATGCTGTACTCGTTATAGTATAAGCAAACAGAAGATTGCTGTTCGTAATTGTAGGGAATTGAAGTTCCTAGTGCTTGTAGCTCAGTGCAATGTCAGTCTGTCAATATTGTTGAGAATGTTTCTTCCGCTACCTCTCGTGCCCTTCAAATGGTAACTTCAAATTTTAGTTTGCTGTCGGCCCCACTAAAAGCTGCTGCCGACAGAAATTGTGGTCCAACCCGTTGACTATGCGATAATGAAAGCTACTTTTTGAGACGTTTGTCTATGTTTAGCATTTACAAAGGTTTGTGCACATAATTCAAGTCTCGCTCAATACAAGTCTAGGCTCCACTTTCACTCGGATTCCTTGCAATATTTCCTCCTGCCGCTGATAAATGCCGTGACCCCGTTTCTCTTTTCTTCGACTGCTTCAAAATTTGCCATGCGTGGGCCTCACCATAGCCACAGTTGGCAACGGGCTACCTGCACACTGTGTTCCTTGTGTTTTCTGTGAGCATGTTGCCTGCCTCATTGCTGTGCACATGGCATGCGTGTGGCTCGCCAACACCCAACTGTGTACTCTCGGCAAGTCTGTGTTGTCGGCATGTGCACACAACACGCTTCAACATTTTTTCACGGAAAAATGGAAACGCTCTAATCTTCGCATCTCTAATATTCTGAGGGTCTGTTCACTTTCAGAAAGCTCAGCCCTCCTTCGTTTTGTGCCCCCTTAATTAATTCCTTTTTTTTTATTTTATTTTTAAAAGTTTAATTTGTTTCTCTGGACTCAGTGGTTAGCCCCCTTCTTTTGTAGTTTGCTGTTAATATGCCTACCGTTCACTGAAGTACCCAACCGCAATCCTCAAGAGGGATTGTTAATAGTGAAAGACAAATTTTATGTAAACTTACCCCCTCTCTGTGTTTTTTTTTTTTTTTATTTCCTTTTTCTTAATTTTTACTTGCTGTTTTGGATTTCATATATGTTAAAGGCTTGTTCGCACATTTATGGGTAGCCCAGGAACCTTTGCAATCTGCATATAACTAGACTGACATTCTTTTGCAGTATTCGAAAGGTCAAATTTGTGTCAACGGTACAAGAATTATGCACGAAATATATGGAGGTGAGTTTTGGGGCCATCCGTTGGACGGAACCTGCGTGTCCCCTCGTCGTGAGGGGGTATGTGGGAACGGAACGTGCTTGAGCACAGTCGAGCGCAAGTCTGTCTCTAAAATGAAAGACGAGGCAGGAGCTGATGCTTTTTGTCGTTTGCTTACTTTGTCTAGGGTGCCTTCATGCACGCTTTGCTTGGGGTGATGACAACTGACCCTTTTTGCTCGTGACTCTTCTCGTTGCTCTGGATCACGTGAAACAGCGTCCTCCCAGGACGAGTGCTCGGCATCGACCGTGCCACAATGGCATTTTGTTACCGGCCGTTTCTTTGCGTTTTCCCTGCGAGTGCGTGTGGTGGCCATCGAGTGCTTCGCAGAACGGCCTCACCCTAAACGGAAGGACGTCGAGGCACTTTGAGTTTGACGGGCGTTGTTGAAGGAACCAATCTCTCGACCTCCTCGCATATCTTGCAGCTGGGCTGGCGTAGCAACCTGAGCACGAGCAAGAGCATCGGGGACCTGCACAGCCTGAAGGACGGGGACTCGTTTGAGCGCAGCTTCTCGGAACTCAAGTCAAGGGACGACTCCATCCGGCGCACCTCCTCCATGACCGACATCAGCTTCTCGTCCAGGCGCCGCCTCCTCCCCACCTTCCCCAACAGCCCCGGTGGCAGCGGCACGGGCACCGGTAAGCAGCGGAACGTCCCACGGGTTGTCTTTCTGACCCTGGGTGCTCCGACTCCCAAGTTAATGGTCGGACTGTTTCTGGACGGTTTGAGAGATTTTTTTTATGGAAGGGCCCGTAACCTTCCGTTTGCAAAGCAGCTGTGCTTCACCTACTTCCTGCTTTTTGAGCCAACACTGCTTCTTTTTTGTAACTTGGTTTTATACCCCCGTGCTCTTCCCTTTCACTCCTTCAACATTGAGACCAGGTTCTCACTGAGGCCCTTGCAGGTGTAGCCCTGTTTTCCTGATTTTTCCTTGTTCCCTCGCAACTTTTGTGCTGTTCGCGTGAAGGACACATCCATAGAGGAACGTGCATGACGTCAGCGTCGAGAGCAACATTCTCCTCAGCTTCGTTATTCACACGGACGAGGTGCCGGTGAGAGGGATGTCGGCGATAACGCCCAAATTTATCAGTTTCCGCTCTTGACGCCACTACAGATGAATCTGGTGGTTTATACAACGATGCCAAAGCTTTCGCCGACAGTGTCATTAAAGGAAAACTGATCTGCCATAAAACCGGGACTTCTCGTGTGGCTCGAGCCATTGCGAGCTCACTCATGAAGCAAGGCGAGCAGAAGTCCACACATGCAGTGGCTGGCGTCGCCAGTGCTTTCAACATTCTGCTTTGCGTACCCACAACGGCGCTCTGTCTCGATCCCTTCGGGCGATGCGAAGCGCCTCAAGATTTGTACATCCTGAACCTCCTCCGAAGAGTGATGCCGGGGATTTCTCCCAGGAGCACGCATCATGTGTCGAGAACGTTTCGCATTTGCGACGCTGTGCCGCCACGACCGTCGCGGAACAGACATTACACTGCAGCATAGCAAAAGCCCGACATTTTCGGCGAGCGACGCGCGGCCCGGGAAGAAATCTTTGGGACTTCTCTGCAGCTCAAATATCTGTCGAGAACTGCACCCTTCGTCTATCGATGCGCATTTTCTGTCGTCCCTTCCGCAGAGCCCTCGGCGGGCCTCTGGGCCCAGGCCAAGCCCCAGGCGCCTCCCGCACCCTCTTCGCCGCTGCACCACTCGCCGGCACCCGTGACGAGCACGCCGGCGCGCCTGAGCGTCCCGCTGCGCCCGTCCTCCTCTTCGAACATGTCCCGCAGCGCCAGCATGGGGTCTCTGCATTTCCCGGACCAGTACTCCCCCGGCAGCGGCCCCCCTGCCCCGAGCCCCCTGGCCAGGGCGCCCTCCGCCCAGCTGTTGACGGGCAGAGGCTCCTCGGCGCTGGCCAAGGTCCGGTCGACTTCGGCCCTGGGGAGGTACCCGCCTGGGGGACAGCTGCCCCTGCTGGCGCAGAATTCGGACGACTCGTCCTCTTCGGACGTGGATCAGGTGAGGAGTGTGGCTTTGGGATGGAAGACCCTGTTGTCATGACCTCAAAACGTTTGGAAGTCAACCTAAAAGCTTGAAGTGACAAAACGCTCGAAAAAGAAGCCCTTATAAAGAAACTGTGCACTTGCGAAAAATATTTTAAGTGCGTAGCACTTACGGACCAGATCTTGGCGATTTTATGCCCATGGGATGTAGCCTGAATGGTGACAATGCACCAATGTCGCGGTGTTCGTGGGAAGTCATGAGCGCGATGGTTGTTTTGCGACACCGTGTCGTCACGCAAAATCGTAGTGTTGCACGACACTGTGACGTCGCATGAAGTTACGGCGTCCGACGACAGTATGTCTCGACTCGACGTTATAACCTGGTATCGCGTAACGTGATCCGACATCACGTTATCTAACCTCGCATTGCATTATGCTCAGGTGATGTAATGCCACGTGATGTTGCAACATCGAGCGACACCATTACGTCTGAGAGGACCTATGTACTTAGAGCTATGCATTTGGACAGCCTCCGGGATGAACCAGAGACGGGTAGTTTATATTTAGGCGAAAGCCTTATATGTCTCATTACGGGAAAAGGCAGCGTCGGTGTTGTGCCCGAAAGACTGCCATAAAAAAAAATTGCTGTGGCTTAGCTTGGCTATGCCAGGATATACGGGTGCCGTGCAATGTGAGCTTGCGCGCATTCGCTCCGGACGAATTATTCGATGCGGAGTCTTCCCGAGTTCAAACTATCAAACTTTTCCTCCCATAGAAATGTATGGGCGCTCGCCGGGACTTTTGAATACGGTCGAATTGAACGAAAAGTCAAATTAACTGAGGTTGAACTAACAAAAGTTTACTGGACTGAAAATCGTGAGCAGAATCTGACCAAGGGATTCGGGTCATGACAAGTTGGTGATGGCCACTGGTAACAATGATCAACATTTTCTCGTGTTGCTGTTTACGCCAAGCCCACTTACCCCAGACAACCTTCAAACCTAAGTCTTTTAAGGCCTGCACTTGCTTCTTATCGCAACATTTGGTCTACTGGCCACTGTCGTTTGAACGAGCAGATGACAGTTTAAACAATCGGTGCGTGAAGACGCATTGAACGTGGTCCGCGGGTGGTCTGGACAACTTGACCGTTTTCCTCCGTTCATGTTGCAAATAAATTCGACGACCAGAAGTATTCACGAATTTGACCCGAAGTGCTTCCCACACAAGCGATTGTGGTCAGACAGTGTCTGATTTTCCCATTTCACGGCACCCCTTCCCATTCTCGGTCGAACCAAGCAGACAGAAAACGCATAAAAACTGATCTTTGCGCCTTTCTTAGCATACAGCCCCAGTTGCGGCGTTTTGACGAGAAGGCATGCCTTAGCCTGGTTCCTTTCGAGACAGCACAGGAATGCTCGTCCCACATGGCGATTTCTGCCCACACTCCCATACCAAAGTGCGCCCAAAGCGCCACCATCTCGGCGTGACGTAACAAAGTTGAGTTGGTGTATAGGACATGTCACAAGATTTGTGACAAGATCCACTTGTCCCCCGCCTCCCTCTCTCCAAAATTAAATGGGTAGGCTGTGTATACAACACGACTGCAAGTTTTAAGCATGGCAATGTCTATGTGCCGAGTATAGTGAAATGAGACGCATGTATAAAATGGAATATTTGTTTTAATGTTACGAAATTGATGCAGTGAAACTAGGGTTGTGCGAATATTCGAAATTTCGAATAGTAGTTTCGAATAATTCACAATTCGATATTTGCTTCAAGAAGAACTACAATATTTGCGTTCTTCGAAGTGTTGATTGCGGCGGGTTAGCCCCGTTGAGTGCGATTCTTACCGAGCACCAGTGCACTGCAGAGAAGCGATACCCACGAAAGCGAGCTCCGCGGATGTTGCTTCTCTGCATTACACCGGTACTCAGTAAGAAGCGCACTCAACAGGGTAACTTGCCGCGATAAACAATTGGAAAAGTATGAATATCGCAGTTGCGTGCTTGGAAGAAAAGCATAGATCCAGCAGGATGGTGCACGCATGCCGGTTGTGTTTGAAAATAAATGGAAACTTTGTGAATGTATATATCTACATTGTAGTAAAAGTTCCAAAATTAAACTGACTGATATGCAAGAGTATACTATGTTAGGCAGAGATGTCCTTACAATCTGCATTCATCATGCTTGGTTCTTTCTCTTTTAACTTGAGATTAAAGAAGGAATATTTTATATAGCAAGATTTGTAAATTCACTCAATTGGGTATAGTTCGCCATCTTTCTAGGATTCATTTTATGTCAAATCCGTCGTTTACTTGCCATCCCAAGACATCGGACCTTATGAAGATACAGTTCAAAAACATAGATAAACTTAGCTTATAAATGAACAAGTGGAACAACCTTCACAAGTTTGGCTGGGTTGTCATCTAAGCATTATGATTTGGTAGTGAAAGGCATGGAAAAACTGTTCGATATTCAAATAAAAAATATTCGGCCAAAATCACTATTTGCTTTGAATTCGCTTCAAACTCAAAATCCAGTATTCGCACAAGACTAAATGAAACACAAATATGAGATGGAACGCATTTATTTGTTAGTCACAATATTATTCGAACAAAACAAATGTTTAAACATGAGGTAAACTTGCACCACTCAACGATACACAAGAAACTGAACGAAGCAAATGTCAAGACACAACACAGGCGTATTCAATCGAAGGTCGCACAGGCCACCGAAACAAATGCAGATTAAAACTGGAGTTGAATTTTGTCTTTGGAATGGGCACGAGCGATTGATTATTGGACGATGGTAGGAGAAATGCAAAAAAGGTATATCGTAGTGTTTCAGCGGCGATGTGACTTCGCGCCTCCCCGAGTTCCGGCTGACAGGCATTGTACTACTGCCTCCAGGATCAACTGCCTGCTATCAGGATCGGTCTCCGGAATCTGCACTACAACAAAAAATGTTTTGCGACAAACACAAGAAAGAAAAAAGATAGAAAGTTATTTTATTTTGGAGATTGTTGCAGATAAGTACTTTTGAGTGGTTGAGTGTACATGGCCAAAGACGCTCACGTTAACAAGAAACGCCGTCAGCGTGTCGCCGCAACCCACAGCTGGCTCATTCAGAGGGTGTTTGGAATTCCGAGCCGGAAGTGTGTCACATCGAGCCGCCCTATAGTTAGTCTGTTTTTGTTGCACAATGTTTTCTTACGTACACCCCTTTGGGCGAGACGTCACGTCAAAATAATTAACGGAATATTTATGTCAAAGCGTGGCGCAGCAATGCACTGGATCGCTCGTTGGACAAAGCAACGTACTGCACGGTTTCTGAAGGGCTCAAGATCGAACCCGCCGCTTCGGCCGTAGCCAATCGTAGGGTGGGACGAAGCGCGGTCAGAGCTCGACAAGATCGAGGCGTCGAGAGGTCGTTGCGAACCTCTCCCCTGCCTCCGTCACAGGTGGAGCCCAGCCGGGCGCGGGTGTCGCTCAGCCGCTCCTTCGCCTCCAAGGACCGCTCTCCCGGGGAGTCGTCGTTCCTGCGCTCCCGCAACACCCCCCACGAGGGTCCCCGGGCCATGGTGGAGCCCATGGTGCTGCACAACGGCGGCAGGGGCGCGCCGCAGCAGGACTCGGACGGCTCCCGCGGCTTCTCCGGCGGGGCGCCGCAGCAGCAGGCGCTGCCGGGCAACCCCCTGCACGTCCCGCTCACCCGAGACCTCTGCGACCGGGTGGCCGATGAGCTGGCCAAGGTCACGCGCTACGCCATCCAGATTTTTCAGAGGGTGCGTTTGCTTCGTCGTTCCCGGCTGGCGCTTTTACCGCGTCCCAAAAAGCGGTCCCTCGGATCGGAACGTCCCACGGCACGATGCTCCAGCTTTCGCCGTGTCGTTCGTTGCCCTGAGCGCACCGGTCGATGATGTGATCGGGGCACTGTACCGGCACGGCCGTTTTGCTCATCCTTGCGTGAAACGTGTTGTAACCCAGGGTGGACTTCACAATAGACTTGTGGCTCTCGATTTTGGAGCATCACACCTGCCCAGCGAAATCCAACATTTTTAGGTTGTGTGTTTGTCGTGCATTGCATTGCGTGCTTGCTAACGCTCTGCTAACACCCGCAAACAAATGCCGACAGACTCCAGTTTACACCCGTGGATCGTGCATGACTAGACACTAGGGGGCCTCGAACACTTCTTAAGCTGTCCTGCACGCACAGCATGCTGGAACCAGAACCAATAACCAGATAGTTCAAACAGCCGCCGATTTTTGGGCTTGCTCCCTTGGCTTAGTATCTACACAGGATTTTTTTTCTTTCTTTTACAAATCATTGCTTTGTTTAAGCAAATATTTTTTTTGTTTCTTTCTGTTCTACTGGACATTTATTTTTAATTGGATTAAGTCTGCAGTGCTCATGCGAGAGCCAACTGAGGCACTTTAGTTTTCATTCCTATGCCCACTTCACTTCGATCATGTAAAACTTCCCTGGAAAGCGGGGAGCGCAAGAGAAACCCCTCATGTACGAGCACTGTATTACATACACTATTAAAGTGGGCTTCACAGTAGTCTCGGTGTCAGCTGCGAAGAACGGTCTAGCTTTGGGTGGTTTGTGCGGGACTCATTCCGCGTCCTGGTCTTCACTGGCCCGAAAAAGCCCACGTTTTTCCCGCCGGGCGCAGGTGACGATGGACATGGAGCTCTCACCGGCAGACAAGTCTGCCATGACCAACACCCTGGCCCAGGGGGTGGTGCAGGCGCAGCAGAACCTCAGGCCCGCCGCTCCGCCCATGCCAGCCTGGGGTGGGAGCGGCCCAGCCTCGGTGCCCCCTCCCCTGCCCACGGCTCCCCCTCCCAGCCTGGGCGACGTGGGCTCCCCGGGCGCCGCGGTGCCCGCCGTGTTCCAGCGCTACCCCGCAGCGGGGAGGTTCGTCAACAACGGTGCCGCGGCGGCTGCGTTGCAGGTGCCCTCTCCGGCAGACATGTTCCAGCAGCAGATGGTGAGGGTCCTTCTTCCGGTCGGCCAGTTTGCGTTTGAGTGGGCTCGCATGCACCGTGTTTGCTTGTAACAGCTCGTGGCGAGAGAAAACACTGGCACCGTCTGGCGGGTAGCCCTGTTACACTTTGAGGTGCATACTACATATTTTTACGATTTTTTGCATTCCCTGTATCTTTGAAATAATTCTCACTGTGGAGTGCTAACTGCGATACCTCTTAAACTTCACTTATTGACATACCTTTCCGATTCTTTGGGTAAAAAGAAAGAACACTTGTTCCTTGGGAAAATGACAAATCTGCCGAAGGTATCATGGGCGCATCTTTGGGACTGTCTATTCGGCTAGCCTGGGCCATATACCTAAGAACGACTGAAAGCCTACAAATCCCCAAATGCGTTCAACTATTTCGTGAACGGCAAGGCATCGGCAGTGGGCATTAACCTCCTCCGGGTGCCAAAGATACGCGCCGAGCTTCCCCACAGGAGTCGTCAAGCCGAGTCTTGGTTTTAGGAGACAATCTTCCGAAAGCTTTTTATTATGCTGCCTTTGGTGCGACGCGAGTTTCTGTAATGCACAATTTTCTGGTGGTTTGACTCGCTAGCTTTGGTATTGAAGGTTCCTTTCTTAGGTCACCGTGCACATTGCATTTGTATGTGGCGTAATGACAGATCGTTCTACGAAGATTGGTCGGTCGAGGCGTCGCATTTTCGCGCTTGTGGCGTTGCGACATTTGTCGATGGCACATTGAAGCGGGCTAGCACAGCCTGCCGATACAGTCGTCCTCTGATCGCCCAGTCTCGGCGGCGTCGGTGGCATCCCTTATCTCGAGAAAATCGAAATAACTTCACTCGTGACTTTTTGTTTGTGACTGTACACGTTGGCAACTTAAAAGCGCGACACTGGGGCATTTCAAGAGCGTAGCTCTCACGGAATTGCTCGCTTGTGAGCAAAGAGTCATGACGCACCCACTTAAACACAAAGTAAACATAGGAGAACCAGAAGTTTTTCTGTGCCCCCGTCATGGCGGTCGGAAGTGGCGCGCACACTGTGTGTACTAATACCTTTCCAAGAAACACTCGACCCCAGGGGCAACAAACCGTTTTCTAGCCCAGTCACGGGGTTTGAGGCTAGATCCTCACTGGCGTCCCTGCTAACCCTAACCAAATGGATTGTGGTTTTCATAGGCGGAGCCTGTGTAGGCGCAGTTTCAAACACTGCTGGCGGCTAAATTCTCGTGTTTTCCTGCTATATTTTGTGTTTCATGGTGTGTGTATTTTCCTGGGGACATTGAGAAAGCATTTGCACCACATTTAAAAAAAACAAAAAACCTGTAAACTATTTCTGTTGGGTATGTGCACGACAGAACGAATGAAACTGGAATGTTAGTTGTTGTGTTGTTTTTTTTTTCACGATGTTTTAACGGTGTCGCCCGATTAGCCGCTTGTCAAACGAGAAAGCGCTTGGCTGTCGAAAATAACTTGCAACAAAAGATAGCCGAAAGGCATGCATTTTTCACGCTCACAAATAGCGTTTTTACCGATGGAGAGGACGCGGACATACAATTTAGTGAGTGTTAACATTCTAACAAGATATTGTATGTACCACACGATGCAGCATTATCTGAATACATTTATTTGAGAAAGATCCCTATTAGAAAGAAGCCCTATTTCTTACAGTGGAAGATAACACAGAAAGGCTACACAGCACGCATCAGAAAATGTATGTGGAAACTTTCGAGAGGGGCAAGAAAACGTGGAATGCAAAACCGCAAAACACTGGTAGTAGGGAATCGCACGGAAGTGCGAAGTGAGAGGGTCGCTCCAGCCGCATCAGCATCAGCAATGTGTCCAAGGGAGTGGCAGGGAATTTCTAGCTGATAGAGGGTGCGAGAGTCGCACCAGCCGCATTAGTATCAGCAACGTGGCGGCGGCCTAGGAGCGTTTTTTTGGAAAGGTGTATAGTCGGAGGTGGGGGGGCTCTAGAGCTCCCGATAGATGGTGTCGGTGCGTGCTCTTGTCGTATGCGACACAGTTGGTCGCACTCAATGTGTGAACCAGCTTTCAAAGGGTTAGTGTTTGGCCTCCAAATTGTAACCACGGTTTAAACCTAGAATTAAACTTCGCAAAGTCACCTAGCCTCACTTCGAGCTTAAATTACGGCGTTCGAAACTTGCAAAAATGACCCTTGCTATTTATTTGAAACGAATGCGTCCGGTCCATGCAGTAGAAAGTATCGAACCCCGGGACGCGGGTCCTCGAACCGGCTTGCACCGTTCCCTCTTTTCATTGCACCGTTCCCTCTTTCTTTTTTTTTTTCGGCGTCTAACAAACAGCATCCTCTGGGCCGCAAGGGAGACCAGATGTCGCAGTCGAGCTCAGACCTCAACGCCTTGCTGCAGCAGTACTCGGAGCAGCTGATGAAGATGGTCAAGGAGCAGATCAACCAAGCCAAGACGACGGACAAGTCGGACGGACAGTGACGCGCGTCTGTCGAACATTCCGAAATCCGGGTCGTCCTCGTTTTCCGGGCACCCGCTCCGATTTGCCCGCATCCGGTTTTCGGCGGACCGCCAGAACTATGACCTTCCTGGTCGAGAGATTCGTTGCAAAGCTCACGCATTTTTATAGTTGTAGGCTTAAACTATGGAGCTCGGAGCGCGTCTCCGCTCCGGTCGGAGACTTGCTCCTAAGCTGCAGTGAAAACTTTGCAAATAGCTAACCCTCCAGCGTGGCGACGACATAACTACGCTTTCCACGGCGCATGGAAGGTCTAATGTTAGTTTTGTTCCGGATTCTAAACGCGCAGCGTCGGCGAGCTTTTTAGACTCTCGCGACGTGCCAGGAACCGCTTCCGCCACCGGTGCCTTTGCCGTTCTTTTGACGCGCGTCGACGTTCACCTTGTTCTGTAAATAACCGGTGGTTCACTTTGCGTCTCGCGGAGACCCGCGCCGTCTTTTTGGCGGGGCTTCAGAGTTTCGGCAGGCGCAGAGATTGCAGCATTCCGAGGGAGCGCGGTCCGGTGATGTTTTTTGGGGGAATTCGCACCCGTTTGCGGCGTTTCGTCCAGCATTGTACATACGATACACACACTTTGTCGTTTTAGAGCAAAGACTGTAGTATAGCGTTTTTTTCCCCGCGTGCCGTTGTGTTTTAACAAAGAGGGTCCGCAAGCTCACCAGCCAAAGTGCACTTCTTTCCACCCTTATGCTAACGGGCTTCGTATTTATATAACGTAGGGTGAGGGTGCCAAACGTCGAAGTTGTTGTCTGCCGCGAGTTTAGAGGAAGTGAAAAATTTCAGGGGGGGGGCTTCTAGAAACGCGGCGCTAGACTGTTTCTCGTAACCTTTATTACGAAACCTTTTTTTTTTCTTCCCCCCAAGTCTTCCCTAGGCCTCTTCTACTAATTGGGGTACTCAGGTGCCAAATCAAGTGCTCAGTCTTCGAAACAACGAACGGAGCATGGAATTACTTCTCGGAGACGTTTTTCTGGATCGTCATTCCTCGTCCGTGTGCATGTTAATTCTTTTGGGAGAATTACCACATTCCTTTTTTTTTTTCTTTGTCAGACGGTTTTGTTTATTTGGATTTTTAACACCGCCCACGATTTACCACAGTTCATGTGTTTTTGTTTGTGCATGTGTTTTTTTTGTCAGATACTTTGGTGGTACCCTTTGCTTTTGCCTTCCCAGTCGTTTGCCATTGGCAGATATTGAGATTTGCCACTTGTGGGGCAAGTCTGGGTGTCTGCCCTTTGCAAACCACATTCCACGGTTCACCTGGCAATTAATGAAAACTGAGGGTTTCACAGTGTGGTTTTAAATTGTTTTACCGATTTACTGTACCAGAGACACTGCTGTCTTCATGTACAGGCACTTTATCTTCACAAGGAATATTAATTAAAAAAAAAAAACTTGCAAGAAAAACTGTGGCTCCTTTATTTAGGCCTTCACGCGGTCTGGACAATTGCTGCAAACAAAGGTGATCGCCATACCAGGTTCGTCAATGGTGTGGCAACACAATCATCCCAATATGCAACGGAGTTCATTGAGGAACAAGGGTGCCGAAAAAGACCATGCAATCAAGGGAGCTGCGATTGCGGGGCCTAGAGGGCCCGCCGACAAAAGGCCCAAAGGAATTCAGAGTGCCTCATCGTCCTAGACTTTTATCCTGGTTCCACATAGGTTCCAGTTGACATTCCACATATTGTAGCATGAGCTACACTGGCAGAGGTTCAGCAGTTCCACGTGGCTCCCAAAGAGCCGTGCTGTGCAAGTGCGAGGAGCAGTGATGTCACACGGCGCACAGCTGGCGCGCCAGAGACGCCGCCGCCGTTGCACGCGCCTCGCCGTTCTGCGCATTTCAGAGGAGTGACGTCATAGCTGCGGCAAACGCACTGGTGCCGCCGCGTGCCCAGCTGTGCGCCTCCGTTGCGCAGTAGCCAAGTCTGACGCTGCACCGGAGCCGCTTGATAGCACCTCTCATTTTGTGCGCATAAGCTCGCGCTACGTATATCCTGGCACAGCCGAGCTAAGCCACCACAATTTTCTTTCTTGAACAATCAAATTCTTCAGTGGATTGGAGATTAGATGTGAAACGCCATTTCTCTTCATTTTTAAACTTTTTTTAATCTCGAACCCATAGGCGCTACATGGATTGTCGTTCCAATTGCCCTGTTCCACTTAAGTGCCCATTTGCTCCAGATGAAACTTCCAGAAGGGGCAAATGTTTTGTACATTTGTTGTTTATGATTATCAATTCGAAACGTTGTTCTGTATAAACTATGAGGTATTTACAAGTATACAAAACACTTTTGTGTAAACTATGAAGTATCTGCGACAGGGTACTTACTAATTAAGAGAAACTTTTTGCAAGTTATGGTTATAACCGGAACCTCGGTGAAATGAGAGAAAAAGTGTAGGCTCTCCGAAAGGAGAAACTGACAATATAAGGTGAGGAAGTTAAAAGAAGGAAAATTACGATTCTCGATCGATACCGCTTGTATAGGGCCGCCCGATTTAAAGACAATTTAAAATAAATTAATTGGATCTTTTGATCAAGTGGAAATTTCATTATAAATCCAATTGGGAACTCAACTGAGAGAAAACTGGGCACCACCAAGAAAACGACCCAGGAGAGACCAACAGGGAGAAAGGAACCTGCAGAGCAGGATACCGGTCCAACCACGCAAAGGGGCACAGAAGGGCGACAAAAGTGGGGCCGCTGTAGCTAATAAAGAGCTTCTGTTGGGTGTAGTCTTGAGAGCTGGGCGCGGAAGGGTCGGCTGCAAGGCAACCCCGAAGTTCCTGCCAAAGAACCGGGCATCTTAATTGCGAGCTTTTAAAATTTTCTTCCCTTTAAAGTTTTCAACAAAGTGGTAACGTTTGGGCCGATTAGTTCGGTCGAATTGCCAGGCATTTTAACCTACAAAATTTTCCTCCTTTGTGGTTAGATTTGTTTGCATGTATATACTGTATTTTTAAAGCTCTTGCAGGGTTCACATTCTTGGGTGTGTGGAACTGCAAAAGAAAATTATTTATAGGCAAACTTTGTGCAATTTTTTTTTAAATTCTTGAAAATATTTTTGTTAAGATTTAAAACCATTACAGGTAAAGCATGTCATTAAGTTGTGAGATATTCACTTTCTGAAGGCAGCTTTCTCAAGAAATGACAAGAAAAACGCACAAAACTAAACAATAGTCATTACAGATCTCCCCTAAATACGTGTCACTTCAGTCACCGAAGACAACTCTGTAGAGGAATGATTCATTATCTTGAGAGTCTGCTTCTGCTGCATGTACGTCAGCCTGCTCCATGCTTGATTGTTGGATCTTCGCCGAACCAAAAGTTTGCGAAGTGTTGCGAAGCGAAACTAAACTCTAGGCACGAAGCGACACGCAGCAACGAAGTCGGGGCGGTCGCCGGTCGGGGCTCGCCAACAAAAGGCAAGATGGGCAAAAACTCGTGTGGTGGCTCCATCTTGGAACAATGTATAAAAGCTTCGGCGCAATATTTTGAACCATGATGAGATTAGCAATTCCTCGAATTATTCAAGATTACAGATTTAGAAGTTCAAAAAGCGTCAATATTTTAGATTTGGTAAGTTCGCAATTCGTGATTTTCTTAATGCAATAAGTTTGAAATAACTGAATATAAGAAGTTTGGAATTTTGAAATGATACAATTTATAAATGCAGACGTTTGACAAAGCAAAACTTCTCGAGCTTTTCGAACCTTGGGTTTGGAAAAATTTCGCGACATCTCTAGTACTTGGAAAGTGTGCACCAGCAGAATCTGTCTATTTATGGTGCAGTCAAAGCCTTCAGGGCACCCAAGAATGCAATACAAAAGCACGCAAGAAAACACGAGGGATCCAGAATAAGCGCTTTGAAAAAGTAAACTCAATCTAAACAACACTCTTTCAGACCAGCGAAAATAACTTTGTTTAGCATATTGCGTGTATCGAGAAGTTCCCTGGTCGGGCTCGCTCGCAAGGATGTGCAAAGGAAAGTTTCCAGCCACTGTGAAACAAATGGAACCGAGCAGGAAAATCTACGATGGAGGGGCTTTCTGCAGACTCCTCGCTAACTGAGTAAGCTGGTAAATCTGAAGCGTTCTGCAAACTGCACGACGAGTGACAACGCGACTGGCAGTGCCTGGTGTGCAAAGTATGGAGCAAAGCAGTGCCCCGTCCTGTGTTGATACCAGTGCACCGCGTGCGAATAGTGGGCTCGCAAAGATCACGTGGGAACCCCGGAGTGTTCCTCAAGCGTTCCAAGTGCGAGAACCGAGCCGTGTTTATTTTAATTCGAAAGCATTAACTGTCCCATGGATCGAGAAAATGTCATCAGCTCGAAGCCGCCGTCAAACTGCACCTAACCACCTTTCTCCAAGTGAAGCCACAATCTGATGGCTCCCAGCTTTGAAGCCGCGCGAAAAGCCGAGCCAGACGACACCTAGTTTTCTACTCCCGATGGAGCGCAGTGAAGCCGAAACCGGATGGATCTAGAGCTTAGTTTTTTTTACTGACCTAGATGCCAAAGAAGATTTTTGTACAGTTTTTTCTTCATTGGCAATAAAAATAAAAATACAGCGTTCATTTGCAAATTTTGGTCCCATTTTGCCTCGCATTACCCTACCATACAAGTTTGGAAGGGGTCATCTTTTGCATTTTTACAAACTGCATAGGGATTAGTAAATATAAAAGGTTTCATGTTATGGTTTTAAATTGCTTTTTCTAGACATGTCAACTGCACTGGAGATGGTCTTTCTGTACAAACATTTTATTGTAAGTTTCATTTACGTTGTTACATGCTGCAAGATGCCCTGATGAATAAGCTTTTCACACTGAGATCGTTCCAGAAAGTGCTAGAAAAGAAAGAAGTGGAACACGTTAAATCTCAACACTCGAGCAATTCGAAAGGTTAACCACAACCAAAAATTTGTTTTGCCCAAATGGCATACCTCCAAAGTGCTCTGCCACATTGCAAGTAAACACTTCTCAATTACCTTTCTCTCTAATGCACTAACCAAAAAAATTCTGACAAAAAGAAAAAGCGCTCTTCAAATAAACTTGGAGTTACGTCCATTTTAGAAAAGATTTCGTAATTCAACTTCACTAGAGCAAAACTTTTTTTTTTTTTTTTTTGCAGTGTTTATTTGAGAATTGTTTTTCCACAGACTTACGGTGCTGTTTTTTGTCAGGACGATGCAGGTGCCATCCTCTGTTTCAAAGTCCCCATAGTCCTCCAGGCACCGTACCTTCGCAAAACAAGAATTGAATGGTGTCATGCACGCTGGTTGCAGGTTAATGTTTCGGTGGTGAGGGGGGGGGGGGGGGGGGGTGCATTTTGCAGGAGCGTTTGTAGGGAAGCTGAGCCTTACACAGCAAGAAGCCAGTAGAAGTAGTCTGAGGAAACCATTGACTATGATACTTTAAGGCAGCACTGTGGCCCCTTGTTTTGCACAAAGTGCAGTCTACTGCTGACTTCAGGGATCAGCAGGTTGTCCACATTGCTACCAGACTTTTACCACTCTCAAAACCAGCATCATTAGATCACTTCAGTTATGTCATTTCCCATAGACACTACTAAACAGAGATTCAAAACTTTCTTTTTTTTTTTTTTGTTCAGGTGGTGATGCCGGTGCATTGGGCCCACGTCGCCCGCCACGTTTAAGATTTGGAGAAAAACCACGTATCGTCAACTATGTGCTATAAAAACGGGCAGAGATTTCTTCGTTGGCGACTCGGTGAATCTACTGTAAAATACCAAGCAAGCGCCCACTCAAAATTTAAAGATAATAGACCCTTTCCGGAATTCAGTGTGGCCGCTTTGATCACTATCATCTGAAAATTGCATATGTGCTATACTAATGGCAGCCTTCTATGTACTGATGAAGGAAGAAGTTGAAGATGCTCCTAAGCAGATGATTCGAGGCCTATACATTTTAGATGTTAGCGCGACGTGAAGCAGGAATTGGGTGCTTGAGCTGCGTAAGCGTTCATTTCTAACTCAGTACCAGTCAATCTGTGAGAAGCACTCGCACGGCTTCGAAGCCCCTTGATGAATAGAACTCTATCAAGGCGTCTATGTGGGTTGGCGCTTCAATCCGACCAGCTGCATTTGTTTCGCCATCGACACTAAAAGAGATTGAAAAAGAATTGCACTGAAGTGCACATTATCGTTTATCGTTGACCATAAAATACTGCAGGCCACAGGTTCATTGCCGCCATTAGTACAGTAAAAGATAAACTGCCATTTGAGTCACCAGATGGCACTGAATTCCAGAAAGGGTCTATTGAGAAAAAATGGGGGATGGACACTTGTTCGGTCATCAATTTTACATATGAATGTACTGTGTGTATTTTCTCCGATCTTGCAAATTTGAGAATGGGCGCTTAATGTGGAATGGACAGATGCGCCATATTCTACAGTAGGCAAACCTACAATAAATGTGTCGCACGTGTGGAGAAAACGTGCTATGAACAGAATGAGCAATTTTCTTTAAACATTACAACGCAAATAAGAGTTTCATACATTTTTAAAATAATTTGTCACTCAAAAGCACAAAGGGTAGCCAATGACAATGAAAGCGTCTCCCAATGCGGAGCTCTTAGAAGCACATGGAATACCCCGAGCTGGGATATTTCGAGTGTCCCTCGTCGCGGTGCAGTGGCACCCTTATAGAATCCGCCCCGAAGCAGCCAAGAATGTAAACGTCCGCTTCACACACTGCTCCACTGCATCAGCGCTGAAGTGACAGGCTGCAATCAGTGCGGGGAAGGAGGGCCAAGCGGCTGCAGAACTGCTATATGGTGTCTGGACATGTCTTTGATTGGTGTGTTTAGCGTCTTACAATGCCCAAGCATCAACAGTAGTCCTGAGATGGCAACAAATGATGACGCATGATCTAGCGAGTCGTGCCGCTGGACGTCGCAATCCTGACAGGATTGCGACGTCCAGCGGCACCGAGCTTTGTCGGATGGGATCAGGATACAGCGGGACCCAGAGCCTAACGCAACCGCGGACTCTTAGTCCCTCAGCACCCCAACCGACACACGCCTTAACACCTACCACCTGGTAACAGAATACTACCGTACAACCCGTTTACGTTCCCTAACCTCCATCAGCGACATCGCTGGTTCCCCAACCGCTACCCAGGCACCTGTCCGGGATGTGGCAGCGATCACCCCAACGTGTACCACTCCATCTGAGAATGCCCCCACCCCCTCGGTGAGGGTATCACCCTCATTTCTTGCCCCTACTTTTCCACCTGGGAGGCGGCCCTATCCGGCACGGAGCTCCATGACCAAAAGCGACCGGTTGAGCGAGTTCGCCGAATCTGGGTGGCCAACGGAGCTTTGTGGTCTCTGGCACCGACCAGAGACCACAAGGTCCTTTCACTTCATCGATTAATAAAGTTTACGATGATGATGGTGATGTCAGGATAGCTATCTGCAGCAGAAAAAGCATCTGCCACATCCGTTTCTGTTGCTGCGCCACCGTCGTGACTGCGACGGGCGACTGCGTAGCACTTATAGCATGATGCGGCCGAAATCGAGGGACCACAAATGAGGAAGCAGTAAGCACAACGGTCGAAGCTGCGTTCCAGGCACCCTAGTAGCGCTTGGCGGATCCTTCCTACCTGAATGTACAAGGATTTCGGGGGGTTCCTGTACTTCATCAGGTCGAGGCCCACGCCGCCGCCGATGGACGACATGTAGTCGGCGAGATTGCTGCTGTACCTCTGGAACCATTGTTGCTGCAAGGGGGGTCAAACTTTCAGACATAGTACAGAGCTTCCACTTTCAGACTGGCGCAATTCCTGTTTGAGCTGAACTTTTGATAGAAGCGGTAATGCCGAAGTGGCAGTGGGTCTACATCTTAGGGACATGCTAAAGAGCTTTTTTAACAGCATTTTATAGCCTCCAAGGATTTTAAGACATAGCCAATCATTGAGGCAGATTCTCCGCTTCAATATAAAAAAAATATATGCTCAAAGTGAGTTTTTCAACGAGAAGAAATGTAGAGAAAAATACGAGGAGGAAAGCGTTAGCAGAGTGTCGTGAACTTGTTTGGTCTGCATCGAAAGCTCCTCTGCCAACTATGTGGTACATCTCTTCAAGGCTACATGGAGGCCGCTTGTCCTCGGCACCTAGGAAATCGAGTTGTGCCTTATGTAGTACCAATAATTTGTGAAGTTATAGAACCCTTAAGCAGATAGACCACATTAACATATCATAAAAGACTAAGTAAAAAAGCATCTTGTGCATGTTTAAGATCCCCCCCAAGACATTTGAAAACAAATATAGGGTGGTCCAAGTCGCCAGGCTCTATCTAAAATGGACCATAAAAATCAACGCCTGCACGTAGCAATCTAAACTTTTCGTCAGAGGTGTATTTGACAGGTCGGTTTTTTCTTGTAAAATTGCAAAGCGTAGCTCTCTGCAAGAAATAAGGCCAAGAATCTTGCGAGGGTCTACGACGGGCAGTGACGCAGACTACACGGGTCCAGTAGCGGGGTGTGTTTGGAGTTCCTGTTGATAGATGGCACTACCTCCTCATTGCGACGGCTCACGACGACCATGGTTTATTAAAATAAGCATAATCTTTTTGAAATGTACCTTCGGTTAAAAAATAAATGCGGACAATAAAAGCATCTGCATAACGGCGGCGCTTTTGCTGCCAACTGATTTTGTCTGCGTGTCGTCCGCTTTCTTTTGCTGGTCGGCTGCACCTTCAGACGCTGCTCCCGACGCCATCTATCAATATGAATGCCAAACACACCTCACTACTGGACTTGGTCGTCTGGGTCGCTGCCCGCCGTAGACCCTGGCAAGTTTCTTGGCCCTATTTTCTACTAAAAGAGAACTACGCTTTGTAATTTTACAAGGAAAAACCAACCTGTGAAATATACCATTGGTTGAAAAGTTTAGAAGGCTACGTGCAGGCATAGATTTTTACGGTCTATTTTAGATTGAGCCTGGTGACTTGGACCACCCTATACTTCCGGAGTTCCTTTCGCAGCATAGAGCTGATATAATAATCTAGAGGGAAAGGTCCCATGCATTTCGGCCACTTTGGATCGGTGGGGCGTAAATGCGGACATTGGTAGTCCCAATGGGACCATATTGGTGGTGACGCTGAAAAACACGAAGCAGCAAAACATCACTTCTAAGGTTTGTATCTAGTGTTCTAGCTTTATTTCGCACAAAAATACCGGCATTGTGCATAGTACAAAAATAAAGTCGACGAGCACTTGAAGGACTTCAACTTGTTGTGGTGAAACCAACAAGCCTAGCTTTCTTTCCCCGCTTTCCTGTCGCTCCCTTTCTCAGTCTTTCCCTCGAGACCAGCAATGACGGCGCTTACGATTTTCCGCATTTTACTCCTGTCTTTATCCTCCTGCTATGCAGTTTCGTGCTTTGATTGCGAGATGCTTCCTTCTGGACCCGCCTAACAAGTTTCAGAGTAATAAAATTAAAACAAACCCAATTGCCATATTGTTGTGACTGGGTGAACAAACCCTTCCGTGCTAACCTTGAATATCTAAACAACTGGGTCGCTAACAAGTTGTGGCTTTTGAAGGAAGGAATTAGGATCTTGTCTTTGTAACTGCTGAAACTATCCACAAGAACAGCTGGCGGCAAAATTGGGAGGCACCAAAATGAATCTGAAGATGTCGCGAGCGTGTTGATAGCTTACTGTTGAACAGAGTCTTTGCATACCAAATCATAATCGTCAGTCTCATGATAAAAAGAGCATATATAAAAATTAAAAAAAAAAAAAAGATATATACCAGAGTGTCGACCGAAAAAAATACGGGTTTGGTTACGGTTCAGGTTCAGGTAAATTTATTTTGTTCCGGTTCAGTTCCGGTTCGATTAATTCGATCCGCGAACCGGTTTGGTGCGCTGAACCGGTTCGCGAACCGGTTCGGAAATTATAAATGACAAATTGCAACATGAAAATAAATTACAAATAAAACATCTGAAATCAGCACATACGAAACGGGATACATCGTAGTGTAAGGCTCAGGGATTTCCACCAGGAATGGTTTCTTTATGTGCACTCAAAGGTTACCTCACCGACGTTTACGCATTCGGACTTCATCTAATTGGGTCCGACGCAGTAGCTGTAAAATCCGCGACCTCCTTACAAACCCACTTACAAGTAGAACGCGCTAACTATCCCGCCACCTCGGCGTGTAAGCAATTGAAGGAACAGTGGGGAGAAAATACAGCTTTCTTTATTTGAACTAGCCTTCGGTAACTCAAATTAGGCTCTTAAAGAAGTTTTCATTAAACAAGATACGGAATATGAAAAGCACTTCACCGAACGCAACGCCAGAAGGACGTAATAGGATAAATATTAACATAGAAGAGCTCGCTGTCTCACAAATATGTTAGCTTCTAAGTGCCTATACGAAACCGGATGCATCATCATCAAACTCCACAGCCTTTTCTTTTCTCATTCCGATGGAAGCAAGCTTCAAGAACTCGCGCGTTCTAGAAACGTGTTATGAAATGAGCACACAGCAGCATTTAGGATTTACGAGATTGTAGAAAAATAAAATCCCGTGACGCGATTTTTTTTTTTTTGCACAGTTTTTTTCCATTTTTTTCTTCCGTGCAAGCCGCGACCAGCGCAATACTGGTTCCTATGTCAAGATTCATGGATGCAGCGTTTATATTCCTAAGACTGAGTGGAGAAGAAAAATATGTAAGCGAGGTGTGTGTCAGTTGACGGCACTTAAAAAACAAATGGCATTGATAGCACATTCATTGTCAACAGCGCGTGGCCGAACCGTTTTGACATGAGCCGGTAACCATTATTTTTTTTCCGGTTCAGTTCCGGTTCGGGTTCATCGCGATAACAATATAACGGTTCGGGTTCGGGTTCAGTTCCGGAAAAAATACCGGTTCGGTTCCGGTTTGGTTCTGGTTCGACACCCTGATATATACTAGTATAAATGTTAATAAATACCTCTTGCTCAGACATCGAGGCTTTGAGATCGGGTGACAGGACACTGCCAAAGGACCAGCGCATTTCCTTGATGCACTGGAGGCGATGAAATCTGCACACGCCGAAGCAAAAAAATTGAATTTACGAGCTCATAGCCTGTTGCAGGTTAACAAAAGAAGGCCAAGCTCCCCCCAGAAAGCCCTCCAATACTCTGTAGAGAGGGCAAGTGGTGAGAAGGAAAACATTAATCATGGCAAGCAAAGGGCTTTGGGGCGGGGGCGAGATTCATTCAAAAGAAACTAGTTTGTTTTGAATGAAACTCGTTAGAAAACGGGAAAAGGTGGGGGGTGACACTCACAGGTATGCAAGCAAGCATCTCTTCATTTGCGTCAGAGCAACGTGCCTGACGTGAACCGTAGTGTGAAGTTCAACGTCCGTATTCGCTGAGGATTCTCTGGAAAGAGGTCAACATCCGTTTATCCCTATCAGGGATGGGCAAAATACATGCAAATATGTATTTAAATACAAATACAAAATACTTCCTCAATAATGTATTTAATTACAAATCTAATTACACTTCCAAAAAAGCATTTAAATACAAAATACAAATACAACCCAATGTATTTGGTCTCCTCCAAATACTTTTCCAAACACATTTCTCAAAATTTGCGTCAGCAACTTCAGGGCACCTGCAACGGGTTTCTGGGTATCTCATTTTAATTTTGCATCGCATACTCGGGAGTTAGTGTGCGAGGCTCTAGTAACGTAATATAAATGTAATCACCAAAAAATGTATTCAGCTTGGACGTAATAGGTGAAAAAAGTACACAGCTTCAAGCAGCTTTTTTTTTTTTGTCGATTACATTTTGGTATAGACCAACAAAGAACCGAAACGACCAAGACGCGCAGCACTAGCTAAAGAATTTTTTATTGTTGCAACTCGCACCAATTACGAAAAACTGGACAACCCGCGCATTTAGAATGTTCCAGGTAAAAATATGGATGAAAGTCAGGCTGGAAAGCATCACAAGTTGTCACAGGCACTTATTTAGCCAGGCTGCCTGTGAACGCCGATTTTGCCACTATTCTTGCCCTGGACTAGCACCGTAATCACAAAGTCACTAAACACTTGTGCTTGATTGAGAGACATTGCATTCGGGGCTGAACATAGTTTTCTTCCTGTTCTGGACAGTGACAATAAATCTGAGGGATGTATTTTTGCCCACAAAATTGTATTTAATTACAATTGTATTTGAAATACCCACCTTTTAGTATCTAAATACACACGTCAAATACATTATCCAATTTGTAATTAAATACAAATGCAAAATACACAAAGTATTTGAAATACGTATTTCAAATACTTGTATTTAAAATACGTATTTCAAATACTTGTATTTGAAATACTGCCATCCCTGGTCCCTATCCAATGTCATGCTTATTTGGTCCGAGCAGCAACTCCGTAAGAATGTGCTCGGAGCCAAGTCCAAAGACCGAAAGCGCGAGACTTCGCAACTCACACGTCTCGCTGATTTTCGGCAAACAAGAAGTGCATGTTCTTGAGAATCTCTCGCATTGTTTCTTCCTGAAAGGAAGTTTGGAAGTGGGGAAGTTTGTCAAGGGCAACGTCGCCAATGCATCGTTCGCGGAGCTATGCTTACTTTCAGCGGTTGCAGGTGATTTGGCGACCTTTTGATCTCCTTGACGAGTTCGAGCGCCTTGTCGACCCACAGAGACATCGTTGACGATGATTTGATGCAGAAACCAACCTTTAAAAGAAGTCTAGTATTGCAGTATTCTAACTTGTGCGCATTCGAAAAAATGGCGGGAAGTAAGTAAACAAAAAGCGAGATGCGCGAAAGGTGAAACTATTGAACACACCAAAAATAGTATTTGCTTCGTAATAATTGTTTATATTTTATTACTGACATATATTTATGTTAGAAAGTAGGTTTGTTTAAATAATATACTTTGTATATGTAACACTTACTGCCTCTCATCAAACTAAAATAACGTCTGTGACGTCACAAAGTAATGGAAGAGATGAGGCGATGAAGCTCGCCTCAGGGTTCATGGGGTCGATGGGGTTTGGAGGGTTTCGCAAGCGTCGCAACGTGGACGGCGCTACGACGGTTTCGTCTGCATTGTGGTGATTGTGGCATTGACATGGAATGTGGCGTTGTTTTTAAACGACAAACTAGAGAATCGAAACATGGTAAGCCCTATTTTGAAGATGATCGGATACACAGTGGTCACCTCACGGGTGGCAAGTCTTTTTGAGGCCAAAGACCGTAGCGGTTATCGACTTGGAACGCAAAATGTTTCTCTGATGGCCCTGGACATTGCTATCTCGTCGAAGCTGATAATTTGACACCCGCCCCCTTCCTGACATCGAAAACGCTTTGGTAAGTTATATCCTTGAGAATCAAAACAGCACAAGGGACGAGAGACCGACGGAAAAAAAGGCAGCGCTGAAATTTAGGTGACGGGACGCCGTTCCTGTGCTGTGTTCCTACATCGCGCACATAGAAAAAAGTGTTGCGGTGGTTGCGGAGTGCTTCTCTGCACGATCACTCGCGCAAGAAAAGCACTTTTCTGTATCCACGCGCTCCGACGAGACCTTCTAGGCCCATGGTTACGCACTGTAGGAGCTCGCATGATATATAGCGAAAGTTTTTTTGTTTTTTTTTTTGGCATGCGTAGCAGTTATTAATGCGCTCTGCTATGAGCATTTGGCGTATTTAGCATTAACGTAAAGGTGGTACACCATGCAGCAGTATTTTCTGTTTGTGTGCATTTTCTGATCCATATGAATAGGAGCGAAATATTGCTCACGTCATGCAAACATTCATTCTGATCCATTAACATTTTTGTATAAATAAGAATAACACAAAAACCTTTTTTTTTTAAAGGGGGGGGGGGGGAGGGAGGGTGGAGAGGAGATTACGTGTTCTCTGCAGTCGACAGCTGTACATGCAAACCAATCGGCAGAACGGCATTTTTGTTTCTTTTTTATTTCCTGTCCTTCCCTTAAATGCTGCTATCTCAGGCAAGCGCTCTCCATATTTTCATTCTAACATTCTCTTATTTGCACTCTAATTAATCACTTAACCACACTGCCAGGCCATGTGTGCCATGTGTCGGAAAAGTACATGTGCACAGTAGCAGGATGAACGGGTTGTGGCGAGTAAGCGAGCCATATATGAAATGGGTTGAGGAGTATATGGTCCCGGCCACAGTCGTGGAGCACAGCAGATGCTAGCTTCCAGATTTTAAAGTCCTGTTTTCAGCCTGAAGGCTATCGATTGATCTCACCAATAAGCTGCTCGTACATAGTAACTGCTCAGGGCCACTAGTATGCCACGGATGCAAGCCTTGGCAGCCTTGGTGCCACTGGCTGCAAGTGTTTCAGGCACGACTGGAAGTAGTACCATATTTTCTGAACTGTAGTGTGCACCCAGAGTAAAATTCGCAAAAACAAATCACTGAAAAAAGGAAAAAATTTTTTGGATAATCTGCACCCAGTGTATAGTCTTCACTCTGTGTATAGTTCACATTTAAAACCATTCTCATTTGCAGCATACCTTTAAAAATGCCCGCTTTATTAGTGCACAAAGAAGCTTTGTATCATACAGGAATCATATCATTTAGCATAGTCTGTCATTCATAAAATCTGCTTGTCATAATGAGTCATCTTGAAAAACAAATTCTTAGTTTGTGTTGAATAAAATTCCAACTTTTAGACACATATAATCTGCAGACTATATTAGTCCAGAAAATATGGTATAGTATAGACTTCGAACTGGCTCTTGGAAATATGGGACAAAAGTCCCACGTCAATCCCAACTAGGGAGAATCGGCAGTACAAAGGTTTCAAAAGCGGGACTAGTCTGTAAAAATGGAGTCATCTGGTAGCATTAGTGTTGTTGCCTGTTGAGTGAGCGCATGCTGAAATGCCTTTCGTGACCACTAAAGCTGCTTGTCATCGGGCGATAACAATTGACTAATTCCAGAGAAGCCCGAGAATGTCCTCTCGGGCAGCTTAAAGATTTGGCCGCCAAGCACCTTGAATTGCTTGCAAGGTCCAAAGTAAATGACTGAACCTGTTTTCGCAGCTTTGTGCCTTGGTAAGTGGCACTTGTCGTAGCTTTGTTCCTTACCGCAACAAAAATTCACAACACCTGGGGACCAAAACACGACGCTGTGAAAGCAGAAAAGGTTTCACTAGATTCGTCAATTGGAGATGGGTCTAAAAGTATTAAGTTCTATTTCTTTCTTTGTGCTGGTCGAAAAGAGATGTGAGAAAGTCTCTTCGTACGATCTTGGGGCCTCGAGGTAATTTGCAATTAGTGCAAAAGCGATTTCAGGGTTTTTTATCTGGGTTGCTGAAACACATTGGAGCCGGCATGATCCTGTTTCGTTGCACGTAGTCTAGTAGTGCACGTTTCCTCCCAGACGTGCTCTCAGACCAGTAATTCCAAAAATGGTGGATTGTATCACATAGTGCTCGCTCAAGTTGTAACACGTGGAGGCTGGATCAGACGTTTTTTTACGTTTGAGTGTCACTGAGTGCATTGTGACCGCTTGGAACAAGAGAATGCACTGGTGCCCCCCTATCAAGTAGTCGCTTCCAATACCGTGCCTATGTTTTCTAATTTTTTCGGAATTATTTTTTCACCTTGAAATAATTTTCGTAACGTTGTAAGCGGCCGTACATCTCGTAGATAGTGTGTAGATTCGATCTCACAAATACTGCAGAACCTTCATTCTAGTTATAGACAGGTCAAAAGGGTTCTGGGACTATCCTGTAGATGGTGTCCGCGTGTTCTTTCGTCGCAATTGGTCAAAAGCGCCCACTTGGTCGGGCTGGAGCACAAACGCGTGAACCAGCCTCGAGAGATAGAGGCTCTAGTTAAAGAACATCTTTGTTGGTCTGCAATCGAATAGTGTTGAATAATGCTAGCAGACGCATAACGTGCAACATTTTTTTTTTAGGTGATAAGCAACAATGTCGCCGATCGAATGGCTGTCAGCAACCGCGGGCAAGGTCGTGTTCGGAACAACCACGGCCCTTTGCGGCCTGGCGGCGCTGCTCTTTGGAATATTTGCCTACAACCGCCTGACCTTGGGACGATGCAAGAGCAAAAACAGGATGGATGGCAAGACTGTGGTGATCACGGGTGCAAACACCGGTGAGTCTCGACGTCTGAAATTATGAAATTTTCCATAGCAAACTTGTCCTAGAAAACTTTAATTGGATGCGGTGATATCTTGGACTGAGGAGGAGAGAAAAAGAAGTGATGCAAATGCAAGTCCTCCGTCCATGTCATCTTTGCCTCTTCATGCTCAGTTTCGGAGAAAAAAAAAAAATAGAGTGACTGTTTGCAATTGAACACATGGGTAAGTGAAACTGCCCATGTACACATCGCGACACTGTTAGCGCGAACACAACGTCGGCGCACTTTCGCATTTTACTTCTAAATAGTATTAGCGAGAACGAAATTTCATCGCTCAAATTATAGAACTAAATGAGCTCTTTCCGTAGCAATAATAACTTGAATGACATCTCTTGGTTTCAAAGAGAAAAACTGGAAAAACCGGCGATCGCTTGTTCGCGCTAACAGTGTCGCGCTCTGTACAGCAGAACCTCATTGATACATTTCTCAGGGGACCGCGGGAAAAAAACAACAACATATAATTCGGGAAAACCTAAGAAATTTCGAGGACACCTAAGCACTTCTTATGAGTTGTGAATGCGAAAGCATGAATGTCGTTCTTCTGCTTCCTTAGTTCGTCTGCGGTGTACTGGCGTGGACGGCCACGTTTCACTATTGCCGAGGTTGCGGCCGACGGCCGAGCGTGCACCCTTGTGAAGTGCCTGCATTTCTCCGAGCTTGGCCATGCAGCCACTCCGGAGTCTGCCCGTGCGGGCTCTGCTGGCTCGGTGGCCAGTCGCTCCCTCTTACCGGTGGCCGGGCCACTGCGGCGCCATGAAGAGGGCTTCTCTGGTGACATTCTTTGGAACTACACTACGCAAGAGCCAATGGGAGCCTCGTTCTTTGAAACCATGACGTGCACCAGCCAATCGGAGCCTATGCATCAGATCGCTGTTACAGACGACAGGCTTCGCTCCATTGAGACAGGGGACTTTAGGTGCCATTTGGGGCGGCGTCAAAAGCTGATAACGCCAGTCTGCTCTATGGGACAGTCAATGCATTCGCATTAAAGACCCAGAAAGCCTTTTGGGGACTAGGAGCTCGGCGGGACCGGCGATTTTGAACGTAAAAGCTGGGAAAACTTAAAAACTGGGAACGTATCAATGAGGTTCTACTGTAGTTGCAGGCAACTATGCTGCAAGGTTGTACAAACGGTTTGGTAGTACAGGACATTTTATTACTTGTGGCTTCACGAACAGGCCCTTGCAGTGCGACAGGTTATAAAGGTAAGTTGGCATATACTTTTCGATACGAGCAGTGAGAAAACACTGTGCAAAAAAGCACTTTGTTGTGTCCCGTTCTTCCCTTCCTCTTGGCACTTACTGTTCCAACAACCACTGCTTTATCGCACTCTTAATACAGGAGCAGTTGCTGCCAACAAGTTTGGCACGTCGGGCATAAGTGTAGTTGATGTTAAACTAAACTACAGTCCGTTGCAAATAAGAAAAGCAGGACGAAGTCCCCTTCTTGCCATGATTGGTGATTCCCTCCTCTCCGCTGACCTCCTTTCTAGCCTTCACTTTTTTAAAGTGAAAAGAGTGGGGGGCTCTGTGACAGGAGTTTGTCCTGATTTTCTTAACCTGCAACAGGCCATCAAAAAAATGAAAGAAAAATGGCTCGTGTTTCTTGTCTCCGTTCTACATTCGTCCACTCAACGCTCTCACGCTCTCCAGGCATCGGCTATGAGACGGCCAAAGAGCTGGCGTCTAGGGGTGCCAGGGTCATCTTGGGGTGCCGCAACGCCCAGAAAGCAGAAGCTGCCGTCAACCAGCTAGTTGCCGACACCAGGAACTCTAACATTTCGTGGAAACTGCTGGACACGTCGTCGATGGAGTCCGTGCGGGCATTTGCTATGGAGGTCCTCAAGGCCACGGATAGCATCCACGTCCTCATCAACAATGCTGGGATCGCAGGTGGGGGTGTAATTTTTTCTTGCCAGCTTCCATGTGTGAAGGCGTGGGACGTAAGTGGTTGAAGGGATGCCAAATATTATTTTGATCTACTGTAAACGACTTATTTTTTGCGGGCTCAATAATTTGCAATTTAGGTTAAAGTTAAAGTTTTTGAATAATTTGCGGGTTCTAGTTTTCGCGATGTAGTGGGATCTCAATATAGATTATAATGTGCTTACATTTTACCGGAATTGTTTGCGGGACCTATTTTTCACAAATTGTAAGCGATTTGCGAAATTCGCAAAATTAAGGTCCTCGCGAAAGTTAAGTCGTTTACAGTATTTATTAATGAGAACGTTCTTTGATTGTGAGGAGGTTGAGAAACATATAGATTATTTTTTATGAATTTTCAGACGAATGTTGTTGTTTTTTTGTCGAAAACTCTGATTTAGCTAACCGGATTGACAATATGTAGTTTACGCAAGTATATATTGACTTCCACATGAAGTCAATAATGGGAAGCTACTGAAAAAAAAAAGCCTGGTTCAAGAATCAATTCGAGGACCTCTCCAAGATTAGCAGAGCACCGTACCAACTGAGTTTGCCAGATCAGTTAATGACCCTTGCATTGTTATGTCCGCATTTCAAACAACCCTCTCCTCTTAAATAATACAAAAAAAAGCAAATCTGACTTAAAACATTTCTGAACTTGGTGCCTGCAAGATAACCAAAACAAGTTAAAGGGATACTTCAACGAAATTTGAAATATTCCCGTCGTGTTCAAAAATAGGTTGCATATGATCCACAATATCCGTAAATGACAATCGCACGTTTGTACTTTGAGCCTGGTGGCTGTATTTTTCGTTATAAACGGCCCACTCTGGCAAGCGCTCGGAGAAGGCCCAGCGGAGACCACGTGACATCCAACGCAATCGTGACGTAGGTCGTCTCAAGACGAGCAAAGCTATGGCGAGGCTGACGTCGAGAGGATGGCCTAGTCGTTCCAGCCACAGAAGCGGCTGCTTTTGTATGAATTTTGAGTGACGGGTTAACCTTCTGTAATCTTGTAGGGGGACAATAGCGACTCTTGCGACACACAAAAGGCATTCTCGGGAAGAGGGGAGTTCCTCCTGCCCCTCTTTTCTCGTCGTGGCCGGAGACTAACAACCTCCGTCACTAGCTGCCAAGGTTGCTAGACGGGCATTACAAGCGAGGCGTTAGCGACATCCACCAGGTGCTCTTTGCTAATCGTTTAATTCGTTTTAAAATTCCTTTTCGTGACTTTTTTAACAAGATATTGGTATGTTCGATGTGATGCTGCTTTTTTGAACACATATAGACTAAAAAATGAGCGCCGAAATTTCATTGTAGTATCCCTTTAATGTCAAAGCTAAGGGGACAAAAAAAGTCAAAAGTGAGCTTTTTTGTCATGCAAGATAAGCGGTTGGCATTCCTCAAGTATTGTAAAAATGAATGATCTCTATCCGGTGATTCAAATCCACAGATGGACAGTACAAGCGGTTCGTTTTCATACCGATAAAAAGGAGTAAATAGGCTTTGTGTTCTCAATGTTGCAAGCTTCATTTACGCTTAGTTTTTTTATAATGCAAGTGATAACTACATGAACCTTCTAAAGTACCTAATCGGAAAAGTATACAGTTACTTTTTCACGTAACAGTCAATTACTTTTCAAGTGCTATCGTTGAGTACTTATTAACTAGGAGTAGTTATAATTAATTACTTTTTTTGTTTGTTACATATACAAGACTGATCATAACCAACACTTCCATTTAATGTTTATGCAGGACCGAAGGAAAGATGTGTCACGGAGGAGGGACTTGAAGTCACCTTTGCCACCAACTATTTGGGACACTTTTTGCTCACAAACCTGTTGCTCCGTAAGTGGGCTTTGAACACCCTACATATATCGCAAAAGAATGCAACTTGTTACTTCATAAAATGCAGACACGTGTGTTTTTTTGAACATTTTTCTTCTTGTTTAGTTTTATATTTTAAAAAAGAAGTGCTTGAAGCCTTAACAAGCCACAAGTGGGTTGCTCTAGGGTTGCCCAATTTTTGTTCCTTTGGACAGTGTCTTGAGACAACTGTCATTCCGGTCACAGCAGAAGGGCTAGAACGGCATGTTTGACATGCAGTTTCTAAAAATTAGCAAGGCCCTGGGGAGGGGGGGAAGGGCCCTTGGCCCCATGTACCATGTTGCCAGATGCAGAATAAGGCACATTGCTGAAGGCCCTATCCGTGGGACAAAAGAGAGCCGCACTCTCTTATTGCAAAATACTGAGCATGCTCCCGTGACGCAACAAGCACCTGCCTCTCACCGTTGAAACATCAAATTTTAACCAGAGGGTCTATGAAGTGCCCAGCCTGGCAGAGTTCCGACCCCCTAAGATAATCGAGGTGCTTCTCTGTGTCAGCAGCTTCTTTAAGAGAAACCAAAGCAAAGCGATGAAGCTGTGTGCGTGCGTCGGTGCAAAGCAGCAGAGCTTGACGCAGGACCGTCGGCATAAACCAGGCTTGATGACGGCAGCACGGCTGCTTTAGAAACGAGGAACTCTGCCGAACCCCCATACTGCTATAGCATTCCGTCGGGTCAAACAAGCGCCTACCCTTTCGTGTGGCCCTTTTGCTTTTCTGCTTTCAAACCTAAAAGTTTTAATGCAGCAGCCGTTATTAGGGAGGTTTCACAGTGGATCCCGTGTATGTTTCCTGTATAAACGTCGTGGCCTGTTAAGTTTAGAGGGGAATTTCTCTGTTGACTTCATGGTGTTACATTACAGTGTCACGTGATGTCATGGAGTCACTTGACGTCACAGTGTCGCATGAAGACCATCTGCTAAATTTAGCGGGCCATAAATCTGCTAAATTTACAAGGGGGGGGGGGGGGGGGTAACTGTGTGCAGCAATTTGCAGCATTTAGGCTTTCGCCACAGTTACTTTGCATGACGTCGCAAGGAGGCAAAAAAGGTTTTTCATAATTTTCTTGAACTTTTGCACGAGTGGTTCGTCAGCACTTCACAGTGTGTTAGCTAGGAACATCCTTTTGGTTGTTCCCATTTGTGTTTTATGTGTTTCACGCAGCCGTGCTCAAGAGCAGCTCTCCGTCACGCATTATAAGCCTGTCCTCTGTGGCCTACATGTTTGGAAACATAGACTTCGCCGATCTTCAGTCAATGTCGGGGAAGTTTGTTACTGGGAAGGTGTACAGCAACTCCAAACTGGCCACCGTGCTTTTCACGACGGAACTGGCACGGCGACTCGATGGCACTGGTAAGATTGCAGTTGAGAGAAGCAAAGTTTCATCATTAGAATAGACCCTTTTTGAAATTCAGTATGGCAACTTTTATCCCTATCATCTCAGTGTATGTCGTTTGTACCAAGCAAATGGCTCCCTTGTCGAGGCTGATGAAGAAGGGTGTTCAAGATTCGGCCAAATGGAGGAAATGTGGTGCCTCTACGACGTTCAATACGTCACTACAACATGACGCACAAATTAGAAACAATGTCAGTGTGAGTGTTTACTTCGGAATGTGTTCCAATCAGTCTCTTGACACGGGTGTGGCTCTGCCTTTTGATGGCAGAAATTTAATTGAAGGGCTTATGGGTCGCCACTTAATACCGGTCAGCTCTTATGTTCACATTATTGAAACTAAAACAAATCAAGAAAGAATTATGAGGTGATTAAGGAACCAATTCTCGTCTGCCACTGACGTGCAAAAGTGACAGTACCCAATGAAATTCAATATCATGACCGTCATTAGTTTGTTGAAAGTGAATCTGCTTTAAACGGGAATGGGCGCTGCCACTATTTCAGCTTGTTCATAGACCAGTTAACAACGTAGATTTGTGAGGTGAGAATTGATCTCATAGTTTCTATTTCGTCGGTACTGTTTGGAGCATCCCTCAGGCATGTTTCAACCATAAAACTAGATTGTCAGTTTCCTTCTATTTTGTGTGTAACCATCCTTATGCAGTTTATCTTTCCTTGCTTTTTTGTTCATTTTCTTCACATTGATGCATTGCCCAACTCTCCATACTGCCATATTTGTTTAGGTCTATTCCCTTGCATACACTGTTTTTTTTGTTTTTTAGAACCACAATCTAGAACTTAGTAGTGAGGATGGACATAGATGTAGACATAGACGTAGGATGGACATAGTAGTGAGGATGGACATAGACATAGATCGACACTTCTCCCAAGTGAGTCATGCAGCTTTCAGGTGGCAATATGTGATACTCACTTTTTCTCACTTGATTTCTTGAAGGTGTGACGGCCAACGTGCTTCACCCTGGTGTTGTGAACACGCCGCTCTCCCGTTCACTCATGAAGGTCGGGGAGCCAGTGTTCAGCATCCTGTCCACTATATTTGGAGTTAAGGTGAGCAATACTGTTATGAGAATATTTGAATTTTCGAAATGGTAGTTTCAAATAATATTCTATTCGATATTCACTTTTAGATGAACTGCAGCATTTATATTTTTATAAGTGTTGATCACGGCAGGCGAACCTTGTTGAGCACGCTTCTTGCCTAGCACCGGTGCACTGTGGGGAAGCAACACCAGCGGAGCTCGCCTTTGTGGGTATGGCTTCCCTGTAGTGCACCAGTGCATGGTAAGAAGCGCACTTAACGTGGCTAACCCGCTGCAGAGTTGTTTATACAGAGAGTTTGGTCAATGGGAGGAGTGGGCAGAGCCAGGGCGTGCACCAGACGTAGAAAGTGTGCTTCACATGCTCTCTTGGCCAACCAGAAGCCTAAAAGGATCTTCTAGCGGTGGTAGCGAGAAACTCTTTTAATCAAAGGTATATGTTGGTATATGGTTTTAATAAGTACGTAAGAGTGAAGTGTAGTGACCCTTCATGGTTGAAAGTATGGTGCATGTGATGTTTTGATCATGATCATGCAGAAAGATGTAAGAAACGAATGCGCCGCTCAACTCTGTTTTGCTCGGACAGAATGTGACCACTCGGACGGCAGATTTCTGGCGCTTGGCGTACGAATGATGTCGATCGTTTCGCTAGTTGCACTCTTCCACCATGATTTTGGATGACCATGATTGAAACATCACATGCACCATATTTTCAGTCACCAAGAGTTGCTTGGATGCACTTATCAAGTTTGTGTCTCGCGACCATTGCCAGGGTATTATTTCCGGCTTCTGGTTGGCCACGTTTGAATTTGTGAACACCCCCTGGAACATGCCCAGCCTGTGTTTGGCCAATGGCGCCTCCTCATTTGACTCCTATACTTCCCAACCTATGGCCAAACTCTCTACATATACGGCTCTGACCCACTGCTATCAACACTATGAAAATGTAAATATTGTAGCCGCGTGCTTAGCAGGAAAGCTCATATCCATAGCAGGTTGGTGCACGTGCGTGCCTGATGTCTTTAGAAAAAAAATGGAAACTTCATGGATGTTGATATCTACATTGCAGTAATATTTTTTAAGTTAAAGTGGCATGCATGAGCACATGTTAAGCAAAGATGTCCTGACAACCTGTGTTGATCGTAAGTGATTGAAGAAAATATATTTGCATATAGCAAGAAGATTTATAAATCCCATTGATTAAGTATATCTGGACATTTTTATGGGTTTAAGTTTATGTAAATTGTTTCGTTTACTTGCCATCCCAATGTGGGCATTGCTTCTCGAGGCCACAGTCAAGGTATATATAGTTAGATTAAAATTGAATTATTTTAGAAATGGACAAGTTGAAGCTTGGCAAGTTCAGTTGGGTTTTCGTTTAAGCATATTGCAGTAGTGAAAAGCTTAGAGAAACTATTCAATATTTGATTTGAAAATATTCGGCCAAAACCACTATTCGCATCAAATTCGCTTCAAACTGATAATCTGCTATTTGCACATGCCGAGACTGAACTGATGAAACTTAATATTTCCAAGGTCTTTGCAACTAGTGAGTGACCGAGATTTTTTCCACTGTACTGTATCTCGCAAACATCAGCAGTACTGCCAAAGGCATGGCTGTGAGCGTGCAGTTTTGTAGGTTGCGTGAAACTACCGCAAAGTCATTCTGTAAGAACCTTCTGCTACACAAAACATGAACTGGTTTGTTCTCTGAACGTCATCCAAAATGTTTCGGCGAAAACTGCGACATTTCACGGAAAATGGCAATTTTGTAATATACCTAGTTTTACACACAACTGTTTGGTGGGAACAGTGAAAAAAAAAAAAGTAGGACCAGGACGAAGAAACACACAGACAGGGCGCTGACTTGCAACTGAAAGTTTATTGCTCTGCAAAAAGAGAAATAAACACAGAGAGCAGGAAGGGGAGAGGACAAACAAAGCAACCCGATGACATTCGACATCAGCCATGCCCCCACGCTGTCACACGAGCCTGCCACACTTATTTACGAAATCTACCTCGTCATCTGCAAGGGCAACAGAATAAACCTTCAGTTGTAAGTCAGCGCCCTGTCTGTGTGTTTCTTCGTCCTGGTCCTACGTCTTTTTTGCACTGCTCCCACTAAACAGTATGTACCACCAACTAGCTCAACTACATGCCTTGTTGCACTCAACTAACCATTTATTTTATTTTTGAATAATTAGGTTTATTATTAAAACTAGATGTATAGTTTAGTTAGAAGCATGCTGGGCATGATCAAAAATCACTAAATCAGACGACTTTATAAAGATTTAAGGTGCAGGCAGCATCTTGCAGCTTCCTGAAAGAATACTGGATTGGGGTGCAAATAGTACGATTTTCGCTTTCTCATTGGCCACATCTTTGTGGCGTGGCAGCCCAGCATCCATGGCAGCAAACTAAGAGACACTAGAGTGGCATTTTTAAATAGTTCAAATAGATCTGCAACTCCAAAATATTTGTTTGTTTTCCTAAATGTTTTGGAAAAGTGCAGGCTTCTAAATATTTAGTGGAGTTAGTGCATTGCTTAACTCAACAGTAGCTCAGCAGCTGTGTGTACGGAACATTTGTTGAAACACTGCCTTGTTGAAGCCAATAGTTTTGGCTGCCCTCCCATATCGGTTTTCAGCAACACCCCGGTATTCATTAGCTATGGACGTACGGCTGTTTAGCCATCTTGCACCTACTGGGTATTGTTGTTGACTTTTGATTAGCAAAATTAATGACTACTGGCTGTATTGGACAACCCTTTATCTCTGACTTTTCATCCTTAGGTATGTGTCACTAGAAAACAAGCAAGAAGTTCTAAAGATTTCTTGTTTTTTGTCTTTGCACAAACAACACTGGATTCGTCGGCAGAGCCTCGTCGAAGGCGCGCAGACGTCCATTCATCTTGCTGTAGCAGACGAGGTGTCCGACGTCAGCGGGGCTTACTTTGTGGACTGCAAACCCAAGGCGCTCTCCGGCCGAGGCAGGGATCCCATGGCGGCCACCAAACTTTGGGAGGCTAGTTGTCGACTTGTAGGGATGGAGGCTCGAGACCCCGTCTCCTAAGCCGACCCAAGCCAGAATTGCACGACGTATCGATACGGAGCAACGCTGCCTGGCCTAGGCGGCCAGTTTGAAAAATTTCGGAGAACTTTTGAAGCGGAAGAGCTAAAAATTGGAGTGCTTAATTCGTCTTGTTTTTCTTACTGCACTGTCTGCTAAAGGTAACGAATAATGGTTAAGGGAGAAGAAGTTGAAGAAATTATACAGACAAACTTGTAGATGTCCACAATGAAACATACCATATTTTCCGGACTATAGTTTGTGCCTGGTGCATTGTCTGTACATAAAAATTTTCATATACAGAACTCCATAAAACATGCGTGCTTTACCGATGCATTGTGAAGCCGTATCACACAGAAAATTTTTCTAAACATAATTTGTCATTCACAAAATCACCTACTGCTCATAATCAATGTTTGTGTATAGTCTCAACTGTAGATAATTTGCACCGCATAAAATTTGAACTTTTTTAAGTCCGAAAAATATTGTACCCGCCAAGTAGTGTTTGAAACTTGATTTGGACTGAACAAATGACTAGTGAACACAAACCATTGTGCCTCATAGGTCCTAATTTGTATGTGCTATTTTTTATGTACACTGCATTACTGCCTTTATTTGTGATGTACCTAAGTGTGCCATTTTCCCACTTATGACAGTGTGGAAGCAAGAGTTTGTGGTACCAAAAATGCCGGAGTTACTCCTTCTGTGCCTTGTAACCTAATGTTAATGTTATGGTTAGAGAAGCCAAAGAAATTCAACAGGTAAGTTTGTAAATGTGCTCAAGACCTGGTTTTGTCGGCTCAGGTACTTAACAAATTACTTCCACATGCAAGCCATTGTACCTGGTTGACCCTAACTACTTGTATGTGCCAATATTTACATGCGCTACATTACTGTCTTTATTTGTAATGTAGAAGCATACCACTCTTCCACTTGGGGCAACAAAGGAGTATGTGTGGTGTCAGAAATGTCAGTCATTCCTCCTGTGCCTTTTTCTGTAGCTCAGTTTTATGGATACAGAACCCCAAGAAATTATACAGGTGAGCTTGTAGATGTTCTTGGTGAAGAGAAGAAAGAGGAAGGACCTGCAGAGGTGTGTCTAAAACTGTGTTTTGTCTACCTTGGGGTCTAAACGTGTGACTTACACACACAGTTCACCATACATGGTTGGCCCTAACTACTTAGACATACTATAATGTATGTGTCCTACATTACTGCCTTTATCTGTAATGTAGAAGTGTGCCACTGCATCTACTACTGACAGCAGTGTGGCAAGAAGGGAGTTTTTGTTTTATCAAAAATGCCAGTTTTCCTTACTCTGCCTTCCTACTGCATCTACATTATAGAACAAACTGCATTGATCTTAGACTTCTAGTGTGCTATATTTTTGTATTTAGTGATTGTCATACTTTGTTGTCAAACAGAAAAAAGTATTTCTGATGTAGAACAGATAAATGGGCTAGAATGGAAAGCGCCGAATAAACAAGGACGAAGAAGGGGACAGAGACAAGGCACACTCTCAGCTGAAGGTTTATTGAAAGAAACTGACTATTAATACCGTCTATCTGGACGTTGGCCTAGTGCGCCGTCACTGCACTTGATGGATAAGGAGTTTTTCTTTCTAAGCCAACAGCCAGATAGACGGTATTAATATAGTCGGTGGTTGTTTCAATAAACCTTCGGTTGAGAGTGCGCTTCGTTTCTGTCCCCTTCCTCGTCCTTGTTTATTTGGTGCCTTCCATTCAGTATTTCTGATGTCAAAGGTGCCAGACTTAACCCAACTGTGCCTTTTTGCAGTGCCTACATCATCGAAAAAGAAGAGAAAAACAGCTATTGCTGTGCATTGTACACATCTAGTGTGCAATATTTTTATTCTTGTATTTACAATGATTTGCTTACTTTGCAAACAAAGGAGCCTCGGGGTATCAAAGTGCCAGAGTTATCCCAACTGTGCCTTTTTGCAGTGACTACCATATACTTCCACATATAAGTCGACCTCTCCAGAAATGAATATCTCAAAAATGAGTATCTAAAACAAATGTATAAACGATAAAACCAATATCTTTTTTTTTTTTTTTATGGGTGAGAATTTGGGGATGTTTAGGCCTATATTTGACTCGACCTTTACGCAACAATATATGGTACATCATTGAAAAATCTGTTCATGCTATGGTCTTGGCTCACATTTAGTGTGCAATATTTTTCTTTATAACAATTGTCTTATTGTGTTGTCAACACCTTAAAAGTGGACTAATAAACATTTTATTGCCATGCGAGTTTGAAGGACATTTGTCAAGGGGCTTAGGTGCCTTACACGAGTGTTGGCAAAAAAAGCTGGTTTTGCAAGATGGTTGTCACTAGAGATGGGCGAATATTAAAAACCTGGAATTATGTGAAAATATTGTTCGCCACTCAATACGACTCGGAACCCGCTTTTACTGTTCTAACTTCTAAATATTCAAGTTTTTCAAATATCTGAAAATTATAAAATTTAGGCATGTGTGAGTTGTGGATTTTGACTTCATAGCGAATACTGGTTTAAATTGAAGACATCTCTGCCTAACATAACTTGCATAGTTGCGCCGAATTAGCTCCGTTGAGTGCGCTTCTCACCGAGCAATTGTGCACTGTGGGGAAACAATACCCGCAGAGCCCGCGAGCTCCGCAGGTATTGCTTGCCCACATAGCGCAGGTGCATGGTGAGAAGCGCACTCAACGGAGCTAGCACGCTGCAATCCACAGTTCTAAAAATATCAATATCACAGTTGACCTCGAAGCGAATGTCAAATAGCCTATTATTCGAAACTACTATTCGGAAAGTTGAATATTCGCACAACGCTGTTTTCAGAATTATGCGATATCCAACGGCAAGCTTCAGTGTAATGTACCAGCGTTCCGGCGTCAAGCTTTTACTGCTTTGCACCAGTATGCTGGGAGAAACGACTGACATGTCGGTGCATCTCGATTGGCTCGATAGTCTCGAAAATTGTGCTCACACTTGTAGATCAGACCCCTGATTCTAAGGACGCTACTGGAAAGAAAACGTCAAGTTATATTCGAACATATCAAGTTGTCATTGCTTTGCTTGCCATGTTACATTGTTTTACCCACCTCATTCTATCAGGGCTTTTTTTTCTTACATATAGGTATGTCAAATGTTCTTTCATATACAATAAAACCTCGTTATAACAAAATGGGATATAACAAACTAAGGGATATAACAAAGCAATCATAAACCCCTTGCTTGCTAATAGGGAAGAAATGGACATTGGCTATAACAAACTAATGGTTATAACGAAATAATTACGATCGCTCCTTCAACTTTGTTATAACGAGGTTTTACTGTATAATGAAACTTCATTTTCATAGATATGCTCTTTAGAAAAGATTTCTAACTAATTTCTTTGAGTATCTATGCTCAATATACAATAAATGAAAAAAAAGATTCGTAATTAAAAATATTTGAATTTGATCTGAAGTCAAGTTTGAATTTGATTTGCAGTCAAACATTTGAGAGTTGCGCGCTTCCAAAGTCGGTGAGTTCAGGGGCAGCTCCTCTCACCTCTTTCCAATTCAGCAGGGCGAGCGGTGGAGAGAAGGTCAACTCCTCTCTAGTGTTCACTCTGCTAAATTGGAAAGAGCTGGGTGAAGCTTCCCACGAAGACTTAACCTTTCACCGACTATAGTTGTAGCCATTGCAGTGCTTCCAAGAACCTCAGTTCAAACAGGTCGACTTCAAAGTCGCACACTCCACGCACAAGCTGCCCGCTGCTAAGACAGTGGTAACAAACTGGAATCCCTTGGCTGTCTTCCCAATGGCCAAATCCGCTGGTATGCACTAGGTGAAAGTGCAGCCCCATCAAAGACACGGACACAAAAATCTAGCTTCGTACAGTTCTCCGCTTACATGAGGATTCACGCTCATTTCTCTCGCAACTCTGCTTGAAGGATGGAGTAGAGATCTGCGGGCTTTCCAATGCAGCGGAGAAATACAACAAAGGGGATCGGTGTACGAACATGTAAATGCACTGCAGCTTGGAGTGCCATATGGAGTGAAAGCTCGCGCTGCGGAACCGGGGGACAGTCCCCACCCCTGCCCGTTTCGATCTGAACGAGCATCGTGTAATCACTACTGCGCGATACACCTTAAAGGGCTCCTGAAAAGAAAGATTTTTTTTTTTTTTTTTTTTTAAGAACCTGGTTGGGACACGCGTGTCAAAAAATTAATTTTACGCGAAAAAAAAATGATTTTAGAGCAATATTGAGAGCGTGATTTAGTGGGTAGTCACCTCCTTCGCCTTCACTAAAATGTCCCGCCATCTAATCGTGCGACAGAATTGGTTCCTTTGCGAATACAACGAAAGAAAAGACACGCATCTCGCTGCATCCGTTCGTTTTATTAGTCGGGGCCCCCGCAGCCTCGGAGACTGTGGCCTCAGGAAAGCCCGAGTGCCCTCTCGGTGAGTTCCCAGGCCCTCCTCTGGAGCACGGGGTCCAGTGCGTGGGCGGCCGGCTTGGCTTCCTGGCACTCCGCGAAGTACTTGCCGCTCGTGTGTTCCAGCTCGGGCGCCAGCGCCAGGTGGATCGTCGTCTGTGCACCCTCCAGCGGCGACTATACCGGGAAGAGAGGAAGGGTGTACGTAAAGAGGCCGTCACGCCGCCGATACGTCGTCCAGTAAAGCGGTCCGCAGACACCGTCTGACACGTGTTTCTTGTATGACGAGGCGTTTTGGTCGTGGAAAAAGCGTCTGCGGTCACGTTCAAAGCGCACAGATGTTCGAAGAAAACGTGCTTAGAATATATATTGCTTGAGGGGTGTCTGCAGGTGCGAGTGTGACCTTAGGGTTTCGTCTTGTGCTCTGTGCTTGGTTAGAACTAGGCAGGCTTGTAGCGTGCAGCGTTTACGAATGAGGCACAAACCGTTCCACTTTTTCAGAAGGCGGGCAAAGAGCCAGTCGTCGTAGCGACGTACGGAAGGAGAAACCCGGTGGAAAAGGGAGCCCGGGAGATGTTGCTTTTACAAAAATTATCTTGGTATTGCAATACTTCTTTTTTTTTTTTTTTTTCAAATTTGTTGATTGTTGACGTGGATTGAGGGCGAAAACTGATGTTTCTCCCTCCTGGTCGGGGATTCCATGTTTGACCGCTCGCTATTTTCTTATTTCTCAAAATAAAGCATTAGGTCTGTTTTGGTTTGAAGACCGAAGCAATCGTATGGTTTGAAGACCGAAGCTACCGGTCTTCAAACCATACGGCGCCGTATGATTTGAAGACCGGTGGCGTCGCTGCGTTTCCATACGAGTTAAGCCTTTTTCTTTTTTTTTACATTTTCCTCAGGTAAGCTCGCTCTCTGCGAATTTTATAGAAAAAAATGCACCACCCGTGGCCAACGCTGTAGAAAATCGGAACGCGACAGGTTAATAAGACGAATTTTGCGGTCGATTTAAAGAGCCTGGCCGCTCCTTGATACACCCAGTACATATACAACATGGGTGATGGCGGAGGACACGTCATTTTCAGAGAAAGAGATGACATACCTTTCCAAACAAGGGTATCACGACGTATCTTAGGAACTTGGAGATGAAGGTCACAGGAGGGTCTCTGAAGAACATGGACCTCACAAGTCCAGGGTGCAGGGCATTGACAGTGACACCTGATGAGTTGGATGACCATACCCGAAATCAGGTTGATTTGATTATATTCTCGGATGGCATACGTATTTCCTCCAACAGTGTTTTAAGAATGCAATGAATTCTTTCTCCGTCAATTAGATTGCTGCTGCGCGTTGTGGTGGCCTCGCTGCTGAGATGCATATCTTCTGCAGCGTATTTTTCGTATCACTGAATTTATTTTTCTTTGCAAGAACAAGTAGAAGTGACCACCGTCATGGTGCAATGACGTTGCTTGCAAACCATGTATACAGAGCTCTATAGACTCGGGACTTTTACCTGTTGCTGCTTTTCGAGAGATTTCACTCCAGAATAGGATTTTCTGCAAAACCAATAATACTTCTCCAGGAGAGTGGGTATGTGGCAAAGTGAGCACATGGTCGGTTCACAGGTATTTGCCGTGGTAACTGTTACATACGTATGTAAAACTGCCGCGTCAAGTTTTCCAAGACGTAACTGGTTATTAAAATATGTTCAGTGCTACTTAGTTTAAGCACAGCAACAATTAGTACCTACACCTACCCACTGTTTGTGTTTCTGTTAAGTCGGTCCAAAATGTAGAAAAAGGAAACTTCCATGGGGGTCTTTTTGGAGTGCTATCGCAGCAGCCTTCGCTGGCGGAGATTTTGACTGTTTTGGTTAGAAGACGTGTACATGACCGATATTACTCGCACCGTAACGCCCACTATGATATTTTAAGATAAAATTTTCACTGCACGGCTGGTCTATAGCCGTGCGTTGAGGCTGAACGTCGATGTAACCGAATTGCCTCCTTACGGGAAAATATAAAAATGTAGTGAAAATGTTTCTTAATTGGCTAGTTAAACAATTCTTCCCCATCTTTATTGACCGCCAACTTAACTCAAAGTCTAAAAAGACCCTAACGCAAGTTCCATTTTTTTTTTTTTTAATCCTGTATCAACTAAAAAATCAAAAAGCACCTTCTACATACGCCTGGTTTGTGCATGGTCATTTGTTTTCCTCGAACACACCTCTGTCGCCGCAACTTGAATTAAACCAACGACAGTTTTTTGTTTGAAGCGCGAGACAATCTTTCGCAAGGTGTCATCTTCCCCATGTCGAGCTTTTGCATCCGGTCGCTCGCTTACCCCCCAGAAACAATCGTGAATGAAAATTACTGGAGCATCCAGCGTATTTGCGTACCCTCTCCACGGAGCCTGTCTGAAAGCTCGCGCGCAAAGTAGATGTTGAGCAGCTTGGAGACTCCGTAGACCCTGGCGGGGCTGTAGCGCTTCTCGACAAAGAAGTCGTCAACGTCCAACTGGGCCCAGGCGTGGACCATGGACGACACCACGATGATCCGGCTCGGTGCGCTCTTTTTAATTAGGTCTGCGTAGAAAAAAAAAAATCGCCTGTTCCCACCACCATGCAGCCTCCCCCCTCCCCCTCCCCCCTTTCACCCCCTCTAGACAGTGGAAAAGGGTGGCGAGGTAGGGGGTGTTAGTGTACCACTTACTCTCCCCCTCTCCACTGCGCGGTACAATGCTATTGGTCGCACGCGCTATGACGTCAGACCAACAGATTCAGTCCATTCTGATCTCTGCTGTGAGCTTGCTGCAGTGCGACCAACACTAGCAAGCAAGATCCTTGCAGGGTTCTCATATAAAGCTATCTCTGTGAAAAGAACAGACGTTCGCTCGGTTCAACGGGCACTTGGAAGGAGTGTTGTGGCTATCCAAAAACGGGACCGTTTCAGGCTGATTGGAACAATTAATGAGCTAATCCTGATAAAGATGGACATAAGGCACATTCTGGCGTTCAACATGTATTTCACTCCTAATAATGTCGGTGAGAAATATTTTTTAATCGTGCAACTTGATTCGGTATTGGTAACTCCTAACATTGAGTAGAAACCTGTCTCCCTTAAAGGGGTAGGCAACGATTTTAATGTTGAAAGAATTGATAGTTTGTATTTTTTCTATTGTTTATCTAAACACAAGTGACCAAACACGCTTTGCCTTGCCCCGAAAAACTGATATTTCGCTGCTTAATCGCTAAGAAAAAAGGGAAATATTTGCCGATCTGCAGTGTGCAGCCGCGTGTGGCGGTTATAGGAACTACGGTGACAGCGTCTCTGGGAGATACGCGGAAGCCGACAAACCCTGTCCCCCTCCGCTGGTACACTTGCCGTCAGCCCCGTGGCAAACTGTCTTTTGTATCGATCGTTCGCCGCGACCTTTGACGATGCTAATCCTTTAAAAGTCGACAATCACGAAGAAAGTGGCTGGGGTCTCTGAAGAGAAAACCCAAGGGGCATCCGCGTGATCCCGGAGAGCACGTCACTCGAAAGGCGACGTGGAGAGTTGAGGCACTTTCCCTTCAATTTGTTGCATTTTTTAAAATAAAAACTGGCGCTAGCAAAAATGAAAAAACACGGTTCTTTGTTTTTTGTTTTATACGTGTCGCAGATTCATTTCCGCGGGTAATTAATTGTCCAAAGTCCGAAAATCGTTGCACCGCCCCTTTAATTTGCACCTTCTGAGCTTCTGAGCCTGCCGCTTCTCCGCAATAGGAGACGGTATGTGGAGAAGCGCGCTTCTCAGGCGGCAGGGCCCACGTGGCTCAGGCGCGCCTTGGCTTTGCACATTTTATCTTATAAATTGTAAATCTAATGGTTATAATATGGATCTTGTGCTTTCACATTGTCGGACAAATGTTTAAAAAAAAACAATCACGTGCACACACCGTCACCTAACGCGAATACCAGAATTCTGGGTGTTCACAAAAAATATAATGGGATTTTCTTTTTTTTTTTTTACTTTGCATTTGCAAAATTCTAGGTGCACATGAGCCCATATTCAAGAGTATGTGTGCGTACCTAAAAGCAGATGAGTCATCAAGAAGTGCCCGAGGTGGTTGCTCTGGATGGTGGTCTCGAAGCCGTCTCGGGTCACGCTTCGCTCGGGGGGACCTTAAGAACATGCGGTGTGCAAATAAGCAACATATACGTTAACCCTTTCTCCTAACTAAATGGTGCAGTCATACTGACCGCCATCTGGTGTATTTCTTCGGCCTACAGACATTGGAAGGGTCGTGCACCTGATTGCAACATGACTCGTTGCTAAGAATTCAGTCTGAGTTCAAACATAATATGTCGAATATCGTTTAGCCCACATGCAGATGAAAAACATCCCATGGTCTGCCGCAGGGTAAACAAAGCCGGACAATCCCGTCCCACGGAGCTTTCTGCCCGCCATGATTGGTGGCTTCCTTCTCTCCACATGTCTTAGCATTCGCCGCCTTGCTCGGGTGGAAAGAGCGCAGGACTTTGTGAGAGGAGCAAGTGTTCTGCTTTCCCCTACCCTGCAACACAGACTACCGTCCCTATCCCTATCTGGTATGTGTGCATTGCATAGAGGCGTGATATGTGCCCACTGAAGAGAAAGCGTTTGACCTTATGGAAATCATCTCTTCTTACTTAGTTGTTTTAATTGCGTTGCTTTACAGTGCCTAAACAACCTTTGGCACCGTGTGTCTAGAACATTCTCTCATCAATATCGAAAGGAAAACTTTTCTTAGCGAAGCAGGGAGACGAAAAAACTGGCATCATACGCATTTAGTGGCGGTCATAGCGCTACCTGTAGGCATTTTTTACGAGATTTTTTGATGGATGATTTACACCAGTAATATAGGGGGAAACTCGGCGGCTTACCTGCGCGACCAGCATTGTTGATCAGGATGTTGAGTTGATTTTCGTTCTCCAAGAAATCATCCGCGAACTGCCTCACAGAGTTCAGGGAGCAGAAGTCGAGGCGCTTCATCACGACATTTGGGTTCGAGGTTTCCTTGATGATCTGCTTGAGTGCGACTTCGCCCACGTGTGTGTTTCGGCAGGTGAAGATGACCCGTGCCCCCCTCGCAGCTAGAACCTTGACGGTCTCGTAGCCAATACCTATACAACCACCACACCGATCGTCAGTCGCATGCACGCTAAAGCTTTGACATATCTGCTGGAGTTGGTAGATGTCGGTCATGACCGCCTCGTGAAATTATGCGTCACTGTGCCCCCTGAGCGATTTCGCATCAATGTAGTCTTACATTTTTTTTTTGTCGTCAAAATAATTTTTTGTGTTCAAAGATGAATATTTTGTGCGTGTAGATGATCAAATAATGGTTGGGAGGAAAAAAGAGACGCAGTTAAAACGTGGCAGATGGAAACATCTGTATCAGTCAAGAAGCTCAACATAACAATAAACGTGCATAAAAAAAAAATATTCTATTGCAGAAGTGGGAACCTGCATTCACAATATAATATTTTTATTTGAGGATTTTTTCCCCTTTGGAATAGGGTTATGATAAATAGAGACTTCTGGAACGTGCAGCGCCTCCAGTGGCGCTGAAAGGAATTCTGTGAACTGTCTGTGCAGAACAGGCTGTAGCAGCCGACAGAAGCAACGCAGGCGAGGGAAGCACGCATCTGCGCTACATTCTCTCACATTATCTCGCTCTCTTCAATTACAGGTGGTATGTTTCGCAGGATTAACCAAGGAGCACTACGCAGGACATTCCCATGATTCGTTCCGCGCTTGGCACGCAGCCTTTCGGGATTTTTGCGAATGCTCCGTTACAAAGAATGCGCTGCTTTAGGGGCATTTATGACACGATCAGACTGGTTCCCAAAGGCGTCGGGAATCGTTGTTTGTTATATCTGTCGCTCTGGTGAAACAAGGCGCTAGACGGACAAAATACGTAAGCCTCACCAGTGCTCCCTCCCGTGAGGAGGACGGTCTTGCCATCTAGCCGGTTCGTGCACTTGCATTTTCTCAGAGTCACACGGCTGTAGATCCAGCCTGCGAACGTGAGCACCCCAACGACGATGGCAGTTCGTGCCAGAAGGACTATGGTGCCCCAGACGTAAGCGAAGAGTCCACTGCCGTCGTCATCCATGGTTCAAATGGTTGCTTGTATGAACGAGCGAAAATTCGACGAAGCCTGTCGGATCGTTCCTATCTTGCGGGTGCCAACTTTTCCATTGTGTCTCCCGATAGCGAAGTCGAGAGAGAAATTTTGTTTACTCTCCGTGTTAGTTGGAGGGGGTCGCTTTGCGCGAAACGCGCTCAGCTAGGTCGGACTCGTAAAACCTAAACCGAAACATTCGAAAAATGTAAAATTGATTTTGTTTTTTGGTTGACGTTGTTGACGTTTGTCGCTAACGCTAGAGCTGACTCACGTCACGGCTTGTTTTTAATGTTAACATCGTAATTGCCTGCATAAACTAGCAATATTAGTTTAACTTTCTTATAATACGTATTTTTTATATTAGCGTAATGTATGAGAAAAAACGAAACTACGCCGTATTGGATGACACATTTAGTTTAGTCATTTGTAGATACTTTTTAAACATTTGTAAGCAACAGTGAGGAATTTGGTGTGTTCGAATTTGGCAGAAAGTGATAAAGCTTCACGGCACTTTACAACGCTCGAATATATAAGCAACGTTATTCTTACAGCTAAAACGTCATTAGTCACTCACAGTAACAAAACTATACATTTGAGTAACTGAATGGTCTTCAAGCGTCTGGAGTCGTGTCGTCTGCCCGTGCCGTCCGCATCCACAAGCTTTAAACACGCTTTAAATATTGACTGTTTTCCTAGTTTCTCCTATCGATTTATCTAGGTTATTATTTGATAATGTCATGAGCTAACAAAGCTTCAAGGCGCAGAATGCTGTCTAGATCCTCGAGAACGCTTTTGCTGCTCTGGAAAGGGTTCAGCAACCAGCGTCATGACTTGTTTGTAAAGCACGTGCATCAGTTGGTAAGTCATTTCATTGGCGCAAGCGATATTCTACCATTGTTTTACTTAGGCCCATGTCGCAATAAGCTTTCCAAACACTCCCGATGTTTAGACGTCTTGGAAATCCGGAGAAATAGGGTGGCGGGTCCATTCACACGCTCTCTGTCCCTAGACCCGTGTGTTCTGCGTTTCTAATTTGTCGCTCAAAGCTGATGCTTTGACGACCCGTATGCAGTTGTATAACGTTGCCTGTGTAAGACATATGCGATTTGATGTTGGCACCCAACGATGCAAGTGTCTGAAACCACAATGTGAAACCACAATTTAATCTCGGATAAACAGCTCACTACTTTATCTGCATCCCTTTGTCATTCCTGTCACGCAGCAGTTTTACATGATCTTTACCCTTTTTGTTTGCGCTAGCGATGAGATGATGCGGTGTGTTGTAATCCTCTGGAAGACATGTTTTACTGGTTTCATTATAATCCGTACTCAAATCTGGATCCTCTACTTGGAATGCGCTGCAGACGAATGAAATTTCAGTATTGTAGGACACACCACTGGATAACTGAAAATAAACGACAGCCATGTTTTCTAACACAGGATGTGCTTATTGGCTGCATTTTATGTGAAAAGTGTCATGTTCAACGGTTGCTAATAAGCTTTGCATGCAAGCCAAAGCTTGCATGCAAAGCTTATTGGGCTAAATATAAACCATATTTAGCCCAAAGCAGACACTAGCATCCAAACAGAGGGCAGACTTAGTCACATTTAATTATATGTAATTGTAATAATGCATAATTAATTGTAACCAGCGAGATTTACCGTGCGGCTTGGCAGGGATCGAACCTTGTACCGCACGATTTGTAGGTTGATGCCTTTGCTCGGCACCACGGCAAGGAGCCGAAAGGGACTGCAGAGAGCGGGACCAAGCAGCAGGGTACCGTCGGCACACACAAGTGACCTCCGAAGGATAAAACGTAGCTCCCCACGTGGTCTCACGACATCACGGGGTGGATCATCAGATTCATAACGTACCTACGGATAGCTCAGCCAGCGTGTAATATCTTGGCCTCACACAACAGCCAATAGATAGCATTGCGGGTGCTATAAACCGAAAGGGCCCCCTTGATGTTTTTGTGTTAGTTTCTGAAGTAGCGACATATGCGCCCATGCACGAGGCGTGTGCCGATTGTGCAGCCCTTGGAAGCAAGTAGCGGCACAGCACTCACTTGTGGCTCGTTTCCATGCATTCTCAGAATGGTTCTGGGTTCTTGTAAGACGCAAAGCGTGAATTTTATCGAGGGGCTTTAGATGAACCTAAAGTCCCACGATGCGTCTGTGTCTGTATTGCAAGTAACGTCAAACCATGCCTCGTGCCATGCCTCGTGCAGCACAGAAATCAGTGGTACTTGGAAGGTAATGGTAGTGCAGCACTCGCCCAAGACGCAAGTTTCACACTTTCGAACAACAATGGTCTATGGTACTTGAAAGAAATGCGAAGTGTGAATTCGAATAAACTTCAGAGAAAACTCCTCTCCTAGGCACTACACACATCCTTGGAAGAGGCATACTCCTCGTACAAATGCAATCCTGAATAAATTTGAACTTGCCTCGATTATTCTGATAAACCCAAGGAGCACATTCGAAAGCAGCTGAAGCCAAGTCTAACAATGCATTCGCCCTTCCATGGCCTCTGGGATTCTCGGTGCTCAAAGCTTTGCAAAAGCTTTTCGGAGGCCATGACTCTTCACAAAACAATAGGTCGTCGTGATTCCCATTTTGAACACCCCATGAAAATGGAGCGTTCAAAAAGTAAAAGAATAGAGGGAACATTGTTTGTCCCTTTTTTTTAAATTTCTTTTATCTCCAAAGGTTTATTCACACATCAGCAATTGACTGCATGTGACCAAGCCTTTTTCCATTTACAGGCACAATACAACGCAAGCACTGCGCTGAGTAAGTGGCGACGGTAGCGCCGATGCAGTGCTGATTCTGCACTATCTCAGCGCTTCGAGGCACATGTGAACTGGTGTTTCTGCTTTCCGAATCGCTCGTTTTCCTTACCCAGCACCATATTAATTAATATCACGGAAGGGCTTCGAGAGTGCTCTTGCAACCGATACGAATAGCCGTGACCTCTACTGCCGTTCTCCCTTTGCGCAATGCCGTACGCGACTGACACTACCAGTCACTGTTACCAGTACTGATTCTTCTTCTCCCACCAGTCCAGGGAGGACGTACCAACCATCACCACTCCGGTCTACCTTCAGCACAAGCTGAAGAAGCTGAGGAAGAAGCTCGAGGCCAAGGACCTGGAGGAGATTCGCCGGAAGACCAAACAGGGGAACAAGCAGCACCCCCTCATCACCTGCAAGCGGCCAGAGTTCAACTGCTATCTCGGCCACGTCCTCAACAAGCACGATGAGGTGAAGCTGGCCTCGGCCGGCTGGCATCACCGCAAGTCCGCGGGGGACCACTTCACCATTCACAAGATCACTGCGGTGCGAGTCTGAGCTTGCTGATTGTCGTCGTTGTTGTTGAAGGAATGCCAAAGCAATCTTCGGAGCTAAGTACAGTTGTAGCATGTTGGAAAAATATTAAATGCATGGCAGCAATAGGATAAGTTTTTGGGTTTTCCGTGTCTGCACCTGGTGTGTAGACTCGACGATAACGTCATCCTGATGACATCACGGCGTTCACAACGGGTGGCGTCTGACTGTGGTGCTGCAATGCTGAAGAGTCCTAAGAGAACAGCTCTCGGGTCATTGCTTTTTTGTGACAATGATGTCATGTCAAGTAACACTGACATCATGTGACAGCATGAGGTCATGTGACGCTGTGATGTCAGGCGACACCATATCACGGAGGACCCATAAATGCTATGCTTTTAGAGTGCCTTCGGTATATACCGAAGACGTGCAGTTTTCTGCGTGATGCTGACTGGATTGTAGATTAAACATACAATTTCTTGCCCCTCAACTCAATTAAATGGTCGGTTAGCCGATTGTACAGGTGTCTTCGTGTGAGAGTACACAATATGTTTGTCTCTAATTCAGGTCTGCAAGTACAGCCTCCGCATGCCGTCATCTTTCTTCCAATGGTCGTGCTTTGCTAAGGCGTGCCCATGTTGCCATACTGATGCCCCAACGAGGCGTTTTCCCACCCACAGTGGCCAGACTAGCGTTAGAAATATGACTGTTTGCAAACATGCAAAGCTTCTAGCACTGTGGTTGACAGTGGCATCCCAGATTGCTAGCAGAAATTTTGTTTTCAGTGGTGTCTGCTAGTTTTTGTTCAGTATATCTAAAAGAAAAAATGTGTGTCAAAGTGTTTTAGTAAGACATGGACAAACTTTTGGGCTCCTTTGGAAGCAAAAACACAATTTTTAAAAGAAATTTGAAACTGTCTTTTGCGTCGCTTTGTTAACGAATCAGTTCTGAAGCGCTCTGTCGCCCGACACCTATTCTTCTTTCCTCAGAACCCGTCCATCCTCATCCCCAAGGAAGAAGTATACGAAGACGAAGAGAACAGCTTCGAAGCTCACGGGGTTCATCCCGCTGTTCTTCGAGGGCTACAGGAAATGGGCATCCGGCAACCCACCTTAATACAGGTCGGTCCGCCTTTTTGAAGCCGCAGTGGACGGGTCTTGCATGACTTGCAGTTTTCTGCACTCTTAAAAGGGTTCTCCGGCAATTTCTTAGCTACGCCGACCGAGTGTATTTTATGACTCCTCAGCCTTTGCCCTCTTTCATGCCATTTAGTATAGTGAAATTCAAAATAGTACTTGAAAAATTGGTAAACGAAGGTAATACCAAAACCAACTTCCAGACCTTCCCGCTCTTTTCAGTGCCACAACGTCACTGGCAGACAGGCTCACAGGTCGAGCAAACAGTCTAGAAAACAGAGCATGCCGTGTATTTGTTTCCCCGCTGGTACGCGGGTGCTGGAGCGAAATTTCCCAAGCATTCTTTCGGCGCCAACATACTATTTGTAATCCATTTGGAACATTGTTGCCAGTGGACCTTTTCAGTTTGAAAAAGATGCGAAAACCATATTTGCAAATTCAGAGACTTTTTAAAAAAAATTTTTTTTTTTATTTCGGCTTATCTGAGTTTTTAGTTCAGCTATGTTGTTTGGTGTGTTTTGTCGATTTTGGGGCAAATTGGGGACCATGACGAAAACGCCGGAGTACCACTTTAAGGCTGGACATTTCTGAAAGCATCTCAATTTTCGCGTGATGAATGCATCCTAAAGTACAGTTCCGGGCACCTTAGGCTTCAACTCAATGTTTATTACTTACTGCGTTGAGAGCGTGAGAGTTCTTGAAGGGTGTCTGTCACTTATACGACGAGCGAGTTTGTCTGCTTCTTGTGCAAAGAGTTACAGTAACACCACAGTGCCGAGCTCCAGTTGGAGAGTCGCTGCGCTGCTGTGGGTGAAGGCACAGCGTCGTCTGCTACATAGTCGTACACTGGCTGCCTTGCCTTTTAACGCGACAGCGTTAAGGAGCTCGTGTCGCAAAAAAGCCGGCATCGGTGGCATGACGAGAAAATTGTGGATGCGAAAATCTTGATTGGTCGATAGGGTCATGACATCACATGATCTCGCGTGGGAATTTCAAACAACCCACAATGCTCGTGTGAAACGTGATGTCATGCGTGGAATGACAGTGATTGAAAAACATGACCTGTAATGTGAATTCAAGCTGGCCGCTTGTCTCAAATGATTTCACTTTATTAAGCAATTCATTTGCCTCAAAGGTGCACTAAAGACATTCCTGAGATTGTCTGTTCTTGGTGATAATTCATTCTACGGATTTTGAGCATCCCAGAAATAAAAAAAACGTTATGCCCCTGCGATGTCTATATCCCTACTGAAAATGTAATAGAAGTTTGTGCCACTTCTCTTTCTGGGCGGAAAAATCTGCAACTCAGAATTCAGCAGAAGTGCCGACGGCGCGACAATGGGCGCGCGTCAGCCAATCGCAAGCCGAGGCGTCGGCAGTGGAAGTGCATTGGCGCCGCCGGCGCCTCCGCTGGATTTTGTGCTCCAGATTTTTCTGCTGAAAAAGGGGCGCAGCACAAACTTCTATCACATTTTTAGTAGGGAAATAGATGTCGCACAAGCATAATATTTGGATTTCTGGGATGCTTCGAGCCCGTAAGATAAATTATCACCAAGAACAGGTGATCTCAGAAACGTCTTTAGTGCACCTTTAAAGAAAAACTTGAAGAATTTTAGGCACAATTCAAACCCACGACCCTTTGGTTGCGAGCCAGACATGCTACTGACTAAGCCACCGTGTCCGCCGCACTTCCTGCTCACTGGCAGGAAGAGCGTGAGAAGTTTCCAACAACGCCATCGCGTTTCACTCTTTAAGGTGAAGCTTAAGTGTCCTTCAAGTTTTCTATGGCTTCTGTGAAATCAACCCGTGCCTTATGAGCAAGGATTCCACCTTTGAGAAAAGAGAGCGTAAATACCACCAAGGGCACCTTTCTTTTGTCACCTAACAACCGCCGGCGGCACTTCAATGAACAAAAAACTCTAGGCTGAGGTGTCGTTCACCTGCTGAAGAGAATGCCGCCTGCGGGGGGCAGAGCTTGGTTGCAGATGCGATTGACCCTCCTCAGCTTTAGCACGTCTTCTCTCGCGTGCGGAGAGGCGTGTCGCGGTCAACTCGCCCATCGCACGATGCCCCGAGCGCGTCTCCGACCGGCGCGTTAGCTGCGTCCTCTACCGCGGCCCATGGATTCCCGCCCAACGACGTCGCAGAAGTGTTACGTCGTTACCCGTCACGATCCTGGCAGTGGCGCAGCGACGGAAATGGATGCTGCAGACGCCTGTTTAGCTGCGGGTCGCTTTGCAGCTCGGCTCGCGGAAGTGTCTGCAGCCTGGAGTCGGGGCGCACGGCGACGGCAACGCTCGCATTCGCTCTTACTTTTGGCGTGACTTCTACGATCAACCGTTCGGATCCTGGCATCCGAACACGACGTACCAGCTTCTGCGACGTCATCTTTCGCCGATTCGGGACCATTTTGGATGCATGGGCTATCCCGCCCATGCATCCAAAAACGCGTCGGTCGGAGACGCTTTCCAGGCGCCACTGTGTAGATCTTTGCAATCGAGGAGAGGTCTAGAGGCTCGTCGAGGTTTCTGCGTGGCTTCTGACATTCCGTTCGTTTTGAATCAAACAGAGGGAGGCGATCCCAGCCATCTTGCGTAAGAACAACATCCTCTGTTCGGCGGAGACCGGCAGCGGCAAGACTTTGGCCTACCTGGTCCCCATCCTGACAGCACTCCTGGGCAGGAGGGACGGTGCCACGGGCGGCGTCTCGGAGAAGACGGGCGCCCCCGAAGTTGTGATACTGGCGCCGGGACGCGAGCTCGTCAACCAGATCGGGGTGTGTGCATACCTAGTAGTCGCGTTTAGTTGAGGAACAGTTTGACAAAGAGCAGGGGTCTTATTATCTAACTAGGCTGCTGCTGAAGGGTGATTCACACATTTGCATTTGAGTGTAACCGAAGGAGCTTTGTTCGCATGTGACTGTTCGCAAGACAACACGTCGGCACCGTTTCTAGGGTAGCCTCAAGCACTTTTAAGCTGCGTGTAACTAGGCCGGACGCTTTTCGGTATTTGTGCGACCAAACTTTGCACTACCTCTGAGAAACGGTCGCTTACCACGTTGTTGGAATCAAGATAATCTTTTATGTAATTGTTCATGTACTGCTATGTGTATACTTGCCGACCCACTGCTGTCAATTGTAGCTCAGAGTTTCTTTCGCGGCATTCTGGTGGCGGGGGCCTACACTTACATTGCAAGCATCTTGTATACATAGTGCTTCATTCTTGTGCCACTCCTATTATATTCCATGTATTGGAATAATAGTATTGATAAATAAATAAAAATAAATAAAATAAAATTTCGAGCCTCAAAGCACAAGTTGCGCACAACTTGAAAGGTAGGGGCTCGTAGAGGTGGTTTTAAATATGGGCTGGGACTCTTTTATTATAGTTTTTGGGTGGGAGTGGGTAGATCTAAATTGTTGTATGTTTGACTGGGGAGTGTTTCGGGGGGCTTAGCTGCAAACCTCAACCTTTGCGACCTCGCTTAAGAGTCGTTTGACTCTGACGTTTTTTTGCCAGTTTGTTGTACGATATATGCAAGTGCATTCTTTTAGTCTGCCCTCTGAAGGGATTTGGCGGTGTTTCACCGGTGAATACTAGCGCCCACGCAGCATGCTTCTCGGTTGTGGCAAGTTGATTGGCTTGCTGACTTGTCACAACCCTGACTGCACGTGAAGGAGGAGGCAAGAGGAAGAGACCAAAACCTGTCCAAACTTTCCCTGTGCAGCTCTGAATAGAATTAAAAGTTTCTTAAAAATAAACCGCTCGCAATAAACGAGGGCAGAGAAGAGGAGTATTCGAAACAAGGCACTGACTTGCAACTGAATATTTATTAAAAAAGCAGCCATGCCACAGGAAAACAATTATTTGAAAACAAACACTCAAGAGGTGACCTGCGGAACCACCATGTAATATTCTCAACTCCTAACTTGCGAAGAAAAGATGCCTTCCTGATGCTGTTGTCCATGACCTCCTTTTATGGCATATGCCTCGAGTAGTTACTTCCTTTGTGATTTTTTTTTGCAATTGCCAAACTCTTTACAATTTCAATTTGTTTTTTCTTTCTTTCGCCCTTTAGCAATTTTATCGTGCCCACTTTAAATACAGGTTCATTGAACTTTTACGTCACACTTTCATTGTGCCATACCTTGTTTTTTAAGGTTACATTTGTTCGCAATAGTCACTTTCACACAATATAGCCCTAGTTCCTGTGGAGAAATAAACCTCCAATCAATTTTGCTTTTCAGGACGTGGCACAAAGGCTGTGCAGCCACGGCAACATTCGTGTGGACATACTTTCCGGCAGGAGAGCTGTAAAGGTTTGTCGTCGCCTCAAGCACAAAATTTAGAGTCTTACGGTACATTTGTGCGGCATTTGGCATTGGCACTTCCATAGAACTGGTATCAATCTGCATGTTTTGCACAAACAGTTCCTTGTTATCCCTTCCCATATCCATCGACATGTTCTGTATTGCTGGATGTCCAATTATTCGAGAAAAAGAGAAATACAGTGTAGACCGCATATAACGTATGTCGCGGGAGTCGCGAAAATCTGCACTATAAGCGGTACCGCGCTATAACCAAAACATTAATTTTTCAGGCCAAAATACATGCCGTCGGACAACTTACCTTTGTAAAAGAATTTATTTTATGTTAGATGAAAAATAAAGCTTAGCTTGAGGAAAGTCTTTATTTCACCAGCCTAGTACACTTCTCTCTCAAGTGTGTCACACATTTTGAAAGAAATGGGCGACTTTTGCCTGGCGCAGCCTTTAACGGCGTCGCAGGTTGCGGACGGACGTTGCGAGCGTTCAGGATTGCTAACCCTAATCACTTTTTCCGGCGATGAAAACGCGTGAAAATTCGCATTCTTTATACGGTACGCGCCAGTAATACCTTCAACTTGAGCACAGGCATGAAATGCTCCAAATAAGAAATCCGGGCGATGTTCGAAAACACAAATGCTTAGAAAGCACCACTGTAGTCGACGTAAACAAACACGACGACACGGGCGTTTCTGCCGTCTTGAGAGTGCCGCCACAACATCACCGCACGAGTAGGTGGATCGTCCCTTCTAGTACGTGCTGGGTTATCATAGCGACACACAACGAAAATTCAAAGTCAAGGATAGCGCTTTTACACGGAACGACGAGCTTCCACCAGGCCGTCTATGTCGACTATCACAACCGACGCCATGTTTGCGGATAGAAGCAGCCGGCCCGCGACCGGCATGCAACGCGCGCAAACACTTCTCCTCGACCTGCGATTGGTCTGTCATTGCGGTTGTTTGTTTCCAACGCAGCGGAGGGACGCACGCACGTGAACGACACGTGCGTGCGTCCCTCCGTCGCTATGGCAAGTGAAGCCTCTCTCTTCGCTTCTCCCCGCTTCTTCGAGCAACCTCCTTGCCCCGCGAGTGCCACTTGCGGCTCGCGCCGTTATCTAGTGTCGCACAGGGAAGCGTGCTCACAGCACCGGTCAGTCGGTGCGCTGTTTCAGAAATTGCACTATAACCGGTATTTCCCTTCGCACGCCTGCATTTTAAGTGGTATGTAAATACATGAAGTTCTATGGGAGGCGAACCGGTGGTTTAAAAAAGCCGCGTTATACACCGGTCCTGCACTATAAGCAGTTACGTTGTAAGTGGTCTATACTGTACAACCGTGGAGTCAACAAAGCCGAAGGACTAATCCGTTTGCATGGAAATGCAGTGTTCCACAGTCGAACCACGTGACACAATAACAGCCGGTTTACGCATACATTGCAGTGTTAAATCAGCGCTAGGAATGGCGCTGATGCAGTGCCAACCTTCAAACGTAACATAACACTACTGCTGCAGCACTGTATCATTTCTGCATCACTAATATAGTGCGAAGTAAAAGCTGCATCAGCGAGGCCAGTATGCTGTTTCCAGCACCGACTAGCAGTGCCGAAGTAGCACCGTGGCGTGTGTGATCCGCAACAGTCCAAAGTACCGGAGGAAGGACACAAGCTTTGTTTCCGCGCAGCTGGGCTCGGAGCGGCTGGAGGTGGTGGTGTCCACCCCGGGGCTGCTGGCAAGCCTCGTTCGTCGGGGGAAAATGGACCTGTCGCTGGTCCGGCAGGTGGTGGTGGACGAGGCGGACACGCTGCTGGATGACTCCTTTTCCGACACAGTCACCGAGATTCTTCAGGATGCGCAGGTCGGTGGCCGACGTCTCGCGGGTGAGGGCCCCGATGGCAGTACAGTAGAATCTCGTTAATCCAAACTCTTTATTCGAACTTGCGGATAATTCAAACTAACATGCAGGTCCCATCCTATGCGTCTCTGTGGGAGAAAACTCTCAGTAATTCAAACTCTGCTTTATTCAAACAATTGTTCGGTCCCCCTCGAGTTTCAATTAACGAGAGTCAACTGTATCGTCTAGAAGACAAAGCCTGTGCTTTTTTACCCCCAAACGCCGTCTCTATTCTCCGTTTCTATAGTCCAAAAGTGCATTGTCAGGTGCTCGTCGTCTTTGTGCATTTTCTGTTTGCGGCTAAACCAGTCACGCACAGCGAGTGCCCCATGATCCGGGTGCAAGATAAGCAGACGGGGAAACGGCCACTAAAACCTGCCGCTCGGCAGGTATGTCAGCCTTACGGCATGTTGCAAGGCGGCATGCGGAAGGCAATGCACTCGGGTTTCTATGGAACTCTGCGAGAGAACGCATTGTGTCAGTGATATTCTTTAATTTAAAGTAGAATTTACTAAATCCTGGCAAAATAAAATTACCGCACAATTATTTATCGTCATTTTTCATAACTTCGGTGCATTTTCCAAACCAAGCAAGCGGCTGGCAATGTAAAGTTGTCTACAAAATGTCTGACGTGCTTTTTGCTTTTCATTTTGTTTGTTTTGCTCCCAAACATGCTTGGAGCAGTCGAATATGGCGGTAGCGGACGAAATTTGCATTTCTAGTCGTGCTTTGATGCCTGGGGACGGCCAAGATTCTCGAGGCAAGGGCCGCCACTGTTGTCTTCCAAACTGTCGATTGGGTTACGACCCGAAGAAAGAAAAATCGGCGGTATTTAACGCGGGCGATGTTGACGTCGGGTTACTGCTGTGCTGGACACAGTACAAATGCAGTCTAGTGCGACAGCGTGCTGCTGGCTTCAAATTGCGTTGAACTGAGACCTACCTTCCTTGCATGTAAACAATGGAAACTTGTAAGCTAGATTGCTGAACACATGTGCAGCCAGAGTGGAATTGACGCCGTCGACGCATTCACGACACGCCTGAGCCAACTTCTCAGCTCGCCTTTATTTTGTCGCGCAGCGTGCCCCCTCAATTATTTTAACTTGTAATGTAAAACTGCGGGAAAAACTGAACCCATATGTTAAAGATATTATTAGTTTACTCGGTTAAAGTTCCGTGGTTCATGCAGATTTTAGGAAACAAATTGCCAGTGGGTCGTATTGCCTGCAAAATTAATGAGGATATTTTGTTTTTCGTTTCTTCTTTGCATGGCAGCATCTATGTGAAGTGCCACGAACCTCTGTTAAAGGGGCCCTGCAAGGACTTTTTACTGGTTTTTAATTTGCACCGGACCTGAGCACACTAAACGTAGTAACTTAATGAATCTTTTGTGTTGTCGAATTTTGCTTTATATTAAAAGTTGTAGGCAAATTAAAATTACAAAGACAAGCAAAAAAAACAACCTCCTTCATGACGTCCTTGGTCGCTGAGTGGCACTGAACTAGAGGAAAGCTAGTGAGCTCAGCGAGCGCTCACGGCTGCCGCACTCCGTGTCGGCGGCTTGAGAGCACGCCGCTAAAGCATGTGCTGGATAGGCTGTATGAAGCGGGCAGCCGGGGTGGCTCGCATTGCATTTGCTGCGCGATTAAACACTAATTCGGCATAACACTTTATTGGCCACAAACGACAGCAAACATGGGGTGAAGATCAGTTCAGAGCGGGAGCCGCTTGGTGCTGCCATACCGTCAGACGGCCAAACTGCAAGCCAAACGCTCACCAAAGGCCTTCGAAACGCTCGGATCCTCGAGCCCGTATATGACCGCAGCACCGCCGCATACATCCGGGACCTTTCTACGCTCGCCGCTCTTCAGTGCCTGACCTCACTACCCCTTTCTAGTATACGCCGCCTTTTCGACCGCTTGATGACGGGTATGTCAATGGGTCATTTGTTGTTTCCGCACCTTATAAACTGCATTTGTTTCTTTTCTGATCTAAAGTACTGAACAAATACTACTTTCATAAATAATTGAAACGGTTCGTGCTACTTATATTTTGTATTTCGACTAAAAAGAAGCTTTTAGCGGCTCTGACCAGTAATAAGCCCAGGACCAAAAACTTCACATATTGTGCGCTTTCCGTACCACGGGTCGCCCCCGTAGGTGGAGGAGGCTTCCGCGTTGTCCGGTTAAAATATGACGCACTGATATTTAGTTACTCTCCGTGCTTGCTAGCTTGCCCGAACCTCAAGAGATGTGGAAACAGCTAAAAAGGTAGACGCTTAAATATGATTGCAGGGCCCCTTTAAGTGGGGACACAATCGAGTCGTGCAATTTCCTCTCGTTTCCTCACCTGCCTATCTTACACCCCGCCTGTAATCCTGCGCTTCTTTCCATGCGTGATTGGATTAGCCGGCGATAAGAACCGCACAGAGACGACGAGGGACATGGTGATGCACTTTTGCTGCCGCTCAATTCACTCCGTCGGATCGTAGTTGGATCCGTCTGATCAAACTTGGAGCGAAACAGAATATAGCGGATTCACGCAGCGCTGCCTAGCTTACGTCCGTATGGCCGCCAGCACGTCTTGCAGCATCTCTCAACGTGCGCCACGCCGAGAGGAATTCGTCTGTCACTTTGTGACTATTGAGACGCCAGTTTTAGTGTTGGAGACGTCTACGTTGCCTGAATGGATTCTCAATCCTCTGGTGGGTCATCTTCTAGACGGTCCCCAGTTGTATCAGACGTATTCTCCTCGGGGTTCATTTAATTTTGTAGTGTTACGGCATCACGGTAGGGCCGCATTTAGACTCTTGGTGTTCGGGTTTGTCACCAGAAAGGAAACAAACACTATGGAGGGATTAACAGAACCGTCTGTCCTTGGTTCTTTTCACCTCTTACCTCGACATCTTACACTCTTGGCTGCGCTTCAAGTCTGGCGCTTTACTCCGAGGTTGTCCGTCTCGGCTTCGGCCGGAGATCTATCTTCAACCAAAGGTCCAACTTTGGCCAAATGTCCAACTTTGGCCAAATGTCCAACTTTGGCCAAATGTCCAACTTTTGCTGAATGTCCAGATTTGGCCAAAAATCCAACTTTGGCCAGAAGTCCGGCTTTACCTAGAGGTCCACCTTTGGCCTATGTCCAACTTTGGCCATAGATCTCATTTTGGCTAGAGGTACTACATTAACTGGAGATCCGACTTTGTCCGGATGTCCAATTTCGGCCGGAGACCCCACTGCTCATATTTTTATGTCTCCTTGCCGGCGAATAGGTCCAAGACCTCAGGCAAGACAACTTCCAGGTCGGAGCGCAGCTCATCCTGGTGGGCGCCACACTGCCCACGGAAATCACGGACTCCCTGTCCGGCCTGGTGGACGAAGAGACGCTGGTGAACGTGACTACCCCACAGCTGCACAGGCTACTGCCCCACGTGCAGCACAAGTTCCTGCGTCTCAGGTCAAGCAGCAAGGCAGGTCCGTACCTGAAATCACTTTGTAACGCAGTGACCGTTAGTTACCATAGACCCTTTCCAAAATTCAGTGCCGTCTGTTGGCTCAGAGCAGTTTGACTTTTTCTGTACTAATGGCAGTCATAAAACTGTTTCATTGGGCGCCATCACTTTCGCACGTCAACAACAGCCAAGAATAATATTTTTGCCTTATATCTTTTTATATGCAATGGCATCTCTTTTGGCAGCCCTCCCCCCCCCCCCCCCTCCCCCGGAAAATTCTGTTCTGCAATATGAAACAAATGCACGTGCATGTTCGTTTTGAGTGTATCAGATTTTGTCGGATTTATCCGAGAATACAGAGCCCTGGCACTTCTGTCTTTTCTAGGTGCGCTGATTGAGACAGTCAAGACGGACGCCAATGCTGGGCGCCCGGTGATGGTGTTCTCCAACGCAGCCCCTTCGTGCAAGTGGGTGGCGCACTTTCTGGCAGAGAACAACATCTCCGTGACAAGCTTGCATGGCGATCTCCTTCTAAAGGTGGTGACATAGTTTGCTGTAATGGTATATTTCCAGCAGTTTTTTTTTTCTTTTGCTATCCTCTGCATTGCCTGTAAATGTTAAAACAATACCGCATAAGCCATTTGAAGTCCTACACTAGGAGTCCCGATTTGTTTTAATGCAGAATGTGTTTAATGATTGGCTTCTAAGACTAGAGTATCGCTAAAGTTTTTAACGAAAAACATGAAGACACAGTCAGGTTTGTTTGCAAAAATCACTTTCTCCTTTGGTGGGAATCTGACCGACAAACTCTCGCTCAATAGCCTGATGCTCTACTCCTTTACTATTAGAGAGCGGCTTAGAAAAGCAGTGTTTCAGCTACTAAATATGCAACTCCCAATTTTTCAGGACCGTCGTGAGAGCTACAATCGCTTTTCGTCGGGAGAGGCCACCGTGCTTGCGTGCACCGATCTCGGTTCTCGGGGTCTCGACACAACTCACGTGAGTCCCGCTTTTAGAGCAGGAGCTTTACAGGGCCAACTAGCCTCTGGGGCTTCCTAAGCCCGAAATGTGCCGGTCGGTCAGTACGTAACCGCTAAACGATATTGAGAAAAATGGCAACCGGTGCCAGTGATCGAACCCTGGTCGTTGGCATGGAAGCTGAGTGTGCTGGCTACTGAGCTAAGGACCCACATGCAGGAACAGGAGGATCAGGAGCAGGTGGTGTAAGAACCTGCGGGGAGGGGTAGAAAGGGCGAGTAAGAGAGGAGCAGAAAGGGGTGGTGTAGAAAGGGCGCACGGAACGAGGAGGAGTGGTAATCGCGGGAAAGCACGCTTCCCCTAGCTTGGTGACCCAAATAATTCAGCATGAATGCTTTGTATCTTGGTGGTGCTGAAGGGAAGTGTGGGCAGCGTCACAAATAGACAATGGTGTGACATAATCTGTTTTCATACAAAACCCCACCCTAGGCACCACCCTAACTAAGAGCACCGCCCTCCCCTTTAATGTTACTGCATTTAAATGTGTTTGGCAGAATACTCAAAGATGCAGTCAATGTTCTTTTGGTTTTTTTTTGTCTTTAAGAGAAAGATTAAGCTAGGAATCTGTAGTGGAAGGTTTGATTAATAATATTTTTGTTTCCAACGTTTTTCGTGTTTTTTTTTTTGTTTTTTGTTTTTTTCATTTTGGATTTGCATTAGTTGAATGATTGTGAGACGTAAAAAATAGTAGCGTAGTAGTTTTGAGACATCAGGACTACTTCTCTTTGTAGAGGTGCGAGCAGAGAGGTTTGGGTTCTTGGACTCTTGGTTAGTGTTTTTGTGCTGGGTAGTTTCCTTCCAGACACTAGCAGTTTCGCTAAAAAGATCTGGTGAACTTTGACAATGTGATAACCACAGCACTGCTGCTTTTATTTTTTCAGCCGTGTTTCTTTTTAGTTTCCCTTGTTTTGTTTTTTTCACCAGTAATGGTTATAAGATTTTAAGGGTCTGCTAACGCATTCTATGGCACTTTAAAAAAAAAACATAATTAGCTTCAGCTTTTGTGCTAAAATTGATAGAATCCTGGAGGAATAATTTCGCGTGCTAAATGGCTACTGATTTTGTAGCTGTACAGCGCTATGGTGACTGCCAGCTTAATAAATGCAGGATAACTACTTTCTTAAATATGAGGGAGTCTAATTTGGTTTCTGCTTTCCTTTTCTGAAAACCGAACATATCTTGCTTGCCAGGTGGAGCATGTGGTGAACTTTGACTTCCCCCACCACATGTCGGACTACATCCACCGGTGTGGGCGTGTCGGTCGCGTCGGGAGCACCGTTGACACATGCCGGGTCACCAACTTTGTCGTCACTCCTCCTCAGGTGGATCTGGTGCAGAAGATAGAGGCAAGTCGCCCTCCTGTCTGACCAGGCCTATTCTGATCTGACCTAACCTAAGCTGACCTGACTGTGCCTGACCTAACTTAGTGTTAACCGATTTGGCCTGACATAGCCTAACCTGACCTGGCTTGGCCTGGCCTGGCCTGGCCTGGCCTGACCTAACCTAGCTTAACTTAACCTGACCTAGTACAAACTTACCTGGCTTGACCTAACCTGACCTTCCTAATCTTGGCTGCCCTTGAACTATTTTTTAACCCTAACCTAAGGGTGGCAATCTAACCCAGATTAATCATTATGCAACCTAATTTAACCCAACTCTACCTCCTCACCTAGGTAACATTTTTTTACCTAAGCTACCTTTTCCTGCCTCTGCCTATTCTAACCCGCTCCCCAATGTGACCTAATCGAGCTTGATCTAAAGTATCTAACCTAGCTTTTGCCTTGCCTTACCTGACTAAACCTACCAACCAAGCCTAAGTGAATTTCATTTCGTCTAACCTAACTTTAGCTTAGCATATCCTAGCCTCAACTAGCTTTACCTCAGTTTTCGCCCTCCCTAGCCTAACATAATCTAGCCTGGCCTGACATAACATTGACCATACTTGACATAAACTCTTTGATGCAACATTGGCGAGGCTGGCATAGTTTCTACATTGTTGCAGTAACGCAGTGCTACACGAGCGTATGGTTTCCTCTTGTGTCTCATTCACGTGCGCTGTTGCACAGAGGAGATATTAAGCGAATTAAGCCACATGTTCGGACAAGTACTAGGTTCGATAGCGCTATGGAAACTGTGCTGGCCTTGACAGCTTTGGAAAAGGCTCACTTTTACTTATACCTAGGGTTCTGTGTTTTCAATAAATACCAATCAACGAAGTAAAAAAAAGCATTGCTTTTTTTTTTTAAACAAATTGGAGTTTTAGTTTATATTAGATCTGTGATATAAATCACTTTAGCTAGAAAAGAGTGACTTTTTGTCACTAGATATGCTGTTAAAAATGACTGCCTGATAGAAATATTTTTGTTTGATCATTATTTTTGTTAAATACAAAATAAATTACCGTGGGAAGCATAAAATGATAGACGCATGGTACATGGAAAATACTTTAGGGATTGTTTCGGGGGAAAAGCGTTTAATTTATATCGTCGTAGCCAAATCAGTGCAATGTAAATCACAATTTAGATTGTTATTTAATTCACGATTCACCCGCAGCTCCTTAGGACTGTCTGCCTTAAAATCTCTTAGAACGCACTGGCACCACCTATCGGGTAGCCTGCGACACTTGGCAGTCCCATTTCTTTTTCTTTTTTTTTTTCTGACTCATAGTTTGCTTTTTGCCTGGAAAGAATTTTGTCAATGTTATAGACGACCGTTTCTTGTAGGTAGTACTTGCATTTTATCTCGCAAATACCGCAAAACCTTCGATCTAGCGAATTGCTCTTCCGGGGTCATCACACAGATGGCATCAACGTGCCAGCATGTTCTCTTGTCGTAAGAGATTTCAAGGGGTTTTAATTTTAAGGCACACGGTTCAAGGGGCTGATAGTGTGGGAATGGGCCTGAAGCCCCCTATACACGCCGATATTTTGTGCAACACTGAAAGTTGACACTAATAAACCCCGAATCAATGCGAAAAAACTAACCTCAAGATAAACACCCTCGAATTTGAAATAAGAAACACTAGCCTGGCAAAGGCAGTGGTAACGCAGAATGTGATGTGTTAGTGTCGAGACTGGATGACGCGAAAGGGTCCCGTGTTGTGCACGGTAAGCGCGTGACCGCTCCGTGGATGTCTTACTCGTGGGTGCCCTCTTCCGCAGTGGCAATGTAAATGCGACTTTCTCGAAACCGGACAGAGCGTGCGAAAAACGGAACTGTCGGAATGCGGCAGCACCAAGGAGAGCTCTGCTGCCACCTCGCGGCGAAAGAGAACAAGATGCTCGGAAGTGCATCGACCCGTTGTGGCAGAGAAGTCTCCTCTTGTTCTTTCTCTACTTTTCCGTTGCTCTCTCGCGCTCTTTCTGTCCCCGGTCGGAAAACGGAAATGGTTAGGTGCCTGCTATATAACACATTCTCTGTTGAAACGAAAAAAAATGAAACCCTATTTAAGAGTTTAACTCGGCTGCCTTGCCGTGGCTTTGCGTTGCAGCGTGCCGCGCGCCAGACGAAAGCTCTGCCCCGCGTGGATGCCAACATTGCCCGCTTCCTGGACGAACGGAACCAAGCCAAGGAGCTCGAAGAGCTGGGTCGCAGGGAGCCCGGCACCCTGCGTGAGGACGGGCCAGAGGAGGAAGAACCGGCCAAGGACGCCTAGCGGTGCTCGGACCTCGTGACTCGCTGTTTAGGATTGCCTTTGTAGAGATAAATTTTTACCTTTAACATGGAATGGGTTATATAGACCGACACGCCGTTTACAAACAAGTTGGCGTTTGTCCGCGCCAGGTGTGGACACTGCGTGCGTGCCGAAACCGAATTCCCGCGAGATGAAGCAGCTGTGCAAGCGCCGAGCTGACGGCAGCAACACGACGCCGGAGTCGCGTGTCGGGGTATGGGGTAGTACTATAGGTGCTTTCTAGCCGTACAGAAGTGCGTGAGGTAAATGCAATATGGAAATATAAAATTTGGGGGGCCGGGCACCGCCAGCCAAGTTTTGCAGACGGTGGTCAGCTTACATGGTCAGCATGATGGTGGTCCCATAAGGTCGTTAGTGTGAAGACGCCAACCACGTCGTGCGACATCGGTTCATATTGTCACGGGTGGTGACCAACGAAATAGGAAGAAATAAACGTTTAATGTGGCGAACTTGTGCCAAAAAAAATAAAGGGTACAACGATAATAACAGAGCGTCGCGGGCTTCGAAGTCGGCGGAGCAGCACAGTCGAACGCTGGGGCGAAACTGGCTCCGGCTTGCCCGCGGAGCCGCTTTTGTACACACGTTGGCTTCTGGAGCATTCGACGTAGAAGGTTCGACGCGTAGAACATTCTGACCTCGAATCAGCTAGACGGTTCTCGATTTCACCAGAACATCACATTACAGTGTTAACAAAAATGCGTAGCCGCGGCCAGGAATCGAACCCTGGCCCTTCGCGTGGGAGGTAAGCGCGATAACCGTTAGGCTACGGCCGCGCTGCCTACTTGGCGCGCGGCATTACTCCCCCCTTAAAAAGTGCATCGCCCCGATGCATCCCAAAACAAAATAAAGCACATAAAAAGAACGGCAAACTAAAGAGTCACTTGAAACACATAAGATCCACAGTCCTATCGAGCGTAGTACGGCTTCAAGCGCACGACGTGGACGACTTCAGGTCGTGGTGGGCGGCGTGATGATGTTCTTGTTCCGTCGGGCATCACCTCGTAGTTCAGCTCGCCGAGGCGACGAAGTACCTTGTATGGTCCAAAATACCGTTTCAGCAGTTTCTCACTGAGGCCGCGGCGACGGATGGGCGTCCACACCCACACCCTGTCTCCGGGCTGGAAGTGAACGTCCCTGCGACGAAGGTTGTAGCGGCCCGCGTCGACGCGTTGCTGGTCTTGAATCATGAGTCGCGCGAGCTGGCGGACTTCTTCGGCGCGTTGAGCAACCGCCTGGGCGTCGTCGCTCTCATTGTCAGATGGCTCATGGGGCAGCATTGCGTCCAGCATGGTCGTTACCTTCCGACCATGTACCAGCTGGAAAGGGGTGAATCCGGTGGTCTCCTGAACCGCCGTATTGTAGGCAAACGTGACGTAGGGCAACACCTCGTCCCACGTCTTGTGCTCTACGTCGACGTACATAGAGATCATATCGGCGATTGTCTTGTTGAGTCGCTCGGTCAGCCCGTTGGTCTGCGGGTGGTATGCAGTGGTTCGACGATGGCCGGTGCCACTGAGACGAAGGATCTCTTGCGTCAGCTGGGCCATGAACGAAGATCCGCGATCTGTAATCAGAACTTCGGGAGCGCCGTGCCGGAGGACGATGGACTCGATGAAAAACTTGGCGACTTCCACAGCAGTCCCTGAAGGAAGAGCTTTCGTTTCGGCGTACCGCGTGAGATAATCTGTGGCGACGATGATCCAGCGGTTCCCCGACTTCGAAGGCGGAAAAGGACCAAGTAGATCCATTCCGATCTGCTGGAAGGGTGTAGTTGGAGGAGAAATGGGCTGCAGAAGTCCGGCCGGCCTCGTCGGCGGTTTTTTGCGTCGCTGGCACTCGTGGCATGATCGTGTGTATAGGTGGACGGTCTTGGGGAGCCTCGGCCAGTAATACTTTTCACGAATACGGGCCAGTGTCCGGCTGTAACCAAGGTGTCCGGATGTCGGGTCGTCGTGGCAGGCTTGGAAGATCTCCTCTCGAAGGCAACTCGGGATTACCAGCAACCACGGTGTGTTGTTGTCGCCGAAGTTCTCTTTGTAGAGTACACCTTGTCGGATGGCGAAGGTCGGCAGCACTCGTGAGAAGACACGTGGCATGGTACTCCTACCCCCTTCCAGGTGCTCGATTAATGCGCGCAGCTCAGGATCGTCCCGTTGACGTCGTGCCATATCGTCGGTGTTCACTGCTCCTAGGAAGCACTCGTCGTCATTGTCGTCGCTGCAGCCGGAAGGGGTTTCGACGGGGGCTCTGGACAGGCAGTCGGCGTCGCTGTGCTTGCAGCCTGACTTATAGACCACTGTCATGTTGAATTCTTGTAGTCGAAGACTCCATCGAGCGAGGCGTCCTGACGGGTCCTTCAGGTTCGCAAGCCAGCAGAGCGAGTGGTGGTCCGTGACTACACGGAACGGGCTCCCGTACAAGTACGGACGAAACTTCGTTATTGCCCAGACGACCGCAAGGCATTCTTTCTCAGTCGTGGAGTAATTTTTCTCCGCCTTGGACAATGTCCGACTTGCGTAGGCGATGACTCGCTCGATGCCTTCTTGCACTTGGACTAGTACTGCGCCCAGTCCCGCGTTACTTGCGTCCGTGTGAATTTCTGTTTCCGCTTCCTGGTCGAAATGTCCAAGCACAGGAGGAGTCTGGAGTCGTCGTTTCAGTTCGTCGAATGCCTGCTGTTGCTCCTCGGCCCATTCGAACTTCTCGGCGTCCTTCGTGAGATTCGTAAGTGGTGCGGAAATCCTTGCGAAATCCCGAACGAAGCGTCGATAATAGGCACAAAGTCCAAGGAATCTTCGCACGGCCTTCTTATCTGTCGGCGCTGGAAATGCCGCGACGGCGCGAGTCTTCTCGGGGTCTGGGCGGACGCCTTCGTTACTAACCACGTGGCCAAGGAACTTCGGTTCGTCATAGGCGAACCGGCACTTTGACGGCTTGAGTGTGAGTCCGGCGGTCTGAATGGCTTGAAGAACAGCTCGGAGTCGTTTCAAGTGCTCGTCGAAGTCAGCTGAAAATACTACGACGTCGTCAAGGTAGACGAGACAACTCTGCCACTTCAGCCCTGCCAGTACGGTGTCCATGACACGCTGGAAAGTTGTTGACGCCGTGCATAGTCCGAAGGGCATCACCTTGAACTCGTACAGTCCATCCGGCGTGACGAAGGCTGTCTTCTCTCGGTCCCGTTCGTCGACCTCAATTTGCCAGTAGCCGCTCTTCAGGTCCATCGATGAAAAGTATCGAGAGTGGCGCAGCCGGTCTAGAGTGTCGTCGATGCGGGGGAGTGGGTAGACGTATTTCTTCGTAACCGCGTTGAGCTGCCGGTAGTCCACGCATAACCGAAGAGTTCCGTCCTTTTTCTTAACCAGCACGACTGGAGAGGCCCATGGACTGCTTGAAGGTTGAATTATGTCGTCATTCAGCATCTCTTGAACTTGCTGATGGATCACCTCCCTTTCCTTAGCGGAGACTCTGTGCGGCGATCGATGCACAGGGCGCGCGTCGTCCTCGGTAACGATACGGTGCTTGGCAACTGCGGTCTGGCGCACCTTCGACGACGTCGCAAAGCAGTCGCGGTATTCGGCGAGGAGGTTAACCAGCTGCCGTCGTTTCGGGTCCGGAAGCTTAGGGTCGATGTCGAGCTGCGCTGGCGACGTACTGTCTTGCTGGGGCGGCGAGGATTCGTCAGTAATCGCGGTGATTTCAGCGGGGTTTCGGAGTTTCTCGACGTGGCCCACGGCTGCACCTTTCGTGAGGTGTTGCGTTTCGTTTCTGAAGTTCGTCACGAGGGCCACAGTCCGCCCATCCTGAAGTTCAGCTACTCCCCTTGCGACGCCTATGCCTCTTCCCAGGAGCAATTGGAGGCTTCCCTCGAGAAGAACTTCGCCACAGGAAGCTTCATCGATCCCGACAAGTACGAAAACACTCGACCGCGGTGGTAGGTTTACGTGATTTGCGAGGACTCGGACCGTGGGTGACGTCGCTTGGGGTTCCTCCGCTGGTGGTGCAGGTTTTCGTAGCGTCAGCCGGTTTGTTCCGAGGTCGATGACGGCGCCATACTCGCAGAGGAAGTCCATTCCGAGGATAACATCCCTCGAACAGTCTTGCAGAACGACGAACTTGACAGGGCACGTTTCACCGTGGATCTCGACGCGAGCAGTGCATCTCCCGACTGGTGTGATGAGATGTCCTCCGGCGGTTCGTATTTGGGGTCCTTCCCACGGCGTCATGACTTTTCGAAGGCGGCGGGAGAGCCTCCCACTCAAGACTGAGTAGTCTGCTCCGGTGACCACGAGTGCCGATGCGTCGTGGCCGTCGATGACGACGTTTAGGTTGTTGGACACCGTTGCAGGGGCGTCGTAGCGATGCGTGGCGTCGGGAGAGTGGGAGCGCTCCGGCGTTCTTGGAGGCTCTTTACTCGGGTCGTCTTCGGCAACGGCACCTCCAGGCGTTGCCGCACTTAGTTTTTCCGACGAGATAGGGGGGACAGGCTGTCACGGCGCGACCGACGGAAAGGCGACGCGGAACGTCGGGGGAATGGAGAACGGGAACCTCCTGGTGCGGTGGGCGCTGGTGACGGAGGGCGACGGAGGTATTCCTCGATGTCCCTTGGTCGTTCTCCAAAACGAGGTCGACGGTCGTTTGGAGCGAATCCTCGCAGGCCGAGCTGGCGGTAGGGGCACCTCCGGTAAACGTGGTCAGCCTCCCCGCAGTGGAAGCACACCGGGCGTCCGTCATCCGTGCGCCACACGTCGGTCTTTCGAAGTCCACGCTGCTCTTTTGCGCGGCGCGTACTGCGGCGAAGACTTCTCGTTGGGGTGCAGATGGGTACTGCCGAGCAATAGGAAGCTGCGGACGATGAACAACGGCAGCATAGGTCACAGCTGGTGGTTCCGGTGCGGCGTCGGCGAGAACGTCTGGCTGGAGCGCCTGCTGGACCTCTTCTCGAACAATCTCGGCGATCGAGAGTGAAGCTGGACGTTCGGCGGCAGGTATCAGCTTCTTCAGTTCTTCACGGACGATGTCCCGGACTATTT